TTTTTTTTTTTTTTTTTTTTTTTTTACTCTGCATTTGTTCTATGTCGGTTGCTGCTTTATGGGCCTGCGCATCTGCTTCTTTCCCAATTTCAAGGGCTTGGCTTCCTTGTAAACAACTGCAAATATATCAATCATGTCGAATTTCGAATAATTTGGGCAATGACCAGAATTTGATCATTGATTGCAGTGTTAACTTTCAAACCCAGTTCGGAGCGGGGGAACATAGTTCGCAATACAGTACTCATGATTATCCAGACAGGAATGAAAGGACCGGGGCGTTGACACAGCGGTCACTCATTTCACTCGAGATGACATCACTGTAGGGAAGAATGCAGTAGTTGCCCGTGCTCAAGGTAATATTGTTGCCATTATTGGTAGATACCATGGTGAATTTTGTGTTGGTCCCCAGGGTCTGACACCCAGCTTTTGAAACCTCCAAACTCTTTGCCTGCGCCTGAACAATTAGTAGCGGTGTAGTAAGTAACAGACCACAGAGCAGACGCTGACGTGGCCAGTCCGAGGACGAAGGGGAATTCGAGACGCATGGTTGTAATGTTTAAATGAAATGTGTGGTACAGGTAGTTGGTGGAATCGAAAGATCCTTCTTATATATCTTTTTGCAAGAGAAAACATAAGAGTACAGTCTGGCTAGTTCGATACAGTACCATTTGTTTTCATTGAGAGCACCCCTGGTGAGTTTTGTTAATCAATTTCGAGTCAACTAAGAACTCAGAGCCCAGGAAATTAGATAATGGATGGAAACGATGGCTCAACACCCACAGATGTCGATGGCGCGGCGGGAACCAAAGCTTCCATTGTGTCCACTGACATATCATCTTGTAATTGAGGGAAATTTTGAAAGAACTCTTTGCACATGGTCCACATCCCGATGTCGCGAATGTGCATCTGAAAAGTGTTTGAGAAGAGATATAATCCACTGGTAGCATCATACTCATATATGTCACTGATAGGATAGGGCCAGATCAGCCGAAAACAGGATGCAAAGCCTTTGAAGAATCTATTCGTCAATATCTCGCAGTCCGAGACCACCAGACGTTCGCGGAAACCAGGCCTGAGAGATTAGCCCATCAAGACATTATAGGCCAAACGTATCAAACAATAGTAAATGTGTGTGCATACCAGGCAAAATAATCAGCGGTAAGTTGATGACGAAAGTTCATTTGGGTAGGCCTGAACAAGCGATATCAGCAGATGCCAAGTCTTTTGAATCGTCGCTTATTTACCTCGGGCGATACCATGCCGGAAGGCACGCAAACGAATCATTACGAATAACTGCCTAGAATCGCCAAGATCAGCAAATATATTCAAAGAAAGGGGGAAAACAGTAAACAAGCCACTAATTGAGCAACGTACTACCAGCATGGTATGGATCATTGTGAGCATTGATAATCTCGTCAATACGCCACTGTGCATGAAGATACACTCGTCAATTTGGCTCAGGGGCTTCCACAGCGGACACGAATAGGTCATGCCTCGCAATGTGTGCCAACCCCCGAGTACCCCGCGGATGATGGCATCGTGGTTAAGTCGTTCGTTTGTGCATATGTCGACCGTACCGACTTGGCGCACTTGGAGCAGTATGTCATTTGTCAATTGAAGAATGGTATAGCTTCCTTCTTCAAGCAGTGGCCGAGAGAGAGTGCAAAGGGTACTGGTCTTAAAAGGCCAATCTGGATCTATTGGATCGCAGGGACTCTCGACCGGTGGTGGGGCATCCTCGGTCGTAGATACGCCATCTTGCATATAACAAAGCGGGTCAAGTAGATATAGTGACGAAGAACCAGAAACATTATTGTTGAGAGGGAAATCAATGGGCGGGGAGTTAACGCAGGATCCTAAGGGTCATGGTAGTATGTTAGAAACGCTGTCCCTTAGTTCAACGAGCAGAAAGCGTGTTTTCGTACCTAAATGTGCATGGATCAGATCTTGAAGATGGTTTATTTGGCTTTGGATGTCTCTAAGCCCATCTTTTTGTTTCTCTGCTTTGGCTCTCTTCGTTGTCCTATCATTGTGGCGTTTCGCCTCACGCTGAGATGGGGACAATATCCGGCCTGACGACCAGGGCTTGTGTGTTGTTGAAGTGCGCGACGATGCTGGTGATGGCATTGGGCAGGAAGAGTATGTACCGTATTGATGAAGCTGTGACTCCGGGGGACGTGAGAAGGAAAGAGAGACATGATTAAATGATCAGGATGTTCATTACCCCGCATTGGCCAAGTACGACTACGGGGTATATACACTAAAGAACCCTCCGCCAAACTCTCAAAAGGTCTCGGGCGGGGTTGATGGCCTTGTCCCAGGCAGCTTTGTACAAGTACAGCTATCATGCCAGGTTATTATATATTTAATTTGGGCTATAAAAGACCTCACACAGTCTAAAACACTCGTTTATTCTCTTTGCCCAATGGTTTCCCATGAAAAGGCGCGTCATCACCTGCATCCTCGAGGTTTAACCGTTTAAGAGAGAGTCAAATTCGTTCTTTATACCATCGGTGTCATTGAAAAGATTGACAAAATCGTGTAAATTCATGTTGAACTCTTCCGGATTTAATGCTTCGTCCAGAATCTTCGGCTGTCTGCACACTTCCTGGACGGGATTTAGAGCTGGAAAGCAGGTGGAACGGCCTGGTGCGTCTATTTCATCCCCAGTCACCTGAACTCCAGTCTGAATGGCAGCATATTTCAGGAGATTTGTTGCGAAATCGGCCGACGTGTGAATCTCTTGCAGTCGATGTAGAATTTGCATGCACTGTTCGAATCCACGTAATCCGACCAGGGAGACCTCTAGATCCTTGGACCTGATTTCCAAAAGGTGAGTTGCTCCCGCAGAAAGCAGAGTAGTAACACCAACTGTTGGAAGGTACCGCGTAAGGTTGAGTTGATGTAGGTCACTTGCAATTGTTGTAGTCTCGTGTGCAGCCTGTCGAATCCTTCGTCTTGAGGCGTCACGAAGCTCTGCATTCAGATCTGGGAAAAAGAGCGCCGGTGGACGGTATAAGGCGCCTATTGTCGCCAAGTAAACCATTCTCAACACTGCTCCATGAATATGAAGAGAGCTACCCACGTCAAATGCACTGCTCTTTGACCTCAATCGCTCAATACGAAGCTCAGTGGGTAATCGAGTAACCCAATCTTTCAACATCGCATCACACTGTTCGAATTTGTCAATTTCAAACACTGTTTTCCTTGGTGTCAACATCGTCGTCGTCGCCGCAGAATCACCAAATCGAGTGCTGGCGACACAGTACTGTACTGAAAGGACCTTGCTGATGCACAGGGAGAGTTTGACCATTTCAATAAAAAGCAAGGCAGAAAAGCGTTGTTTGTCGACTCTCTGAGGCATTAAACCACAACCGACAGTTCTCAAAAGCTCTGGTGAACCGAATTGAAAATCATCAATTGTGAGCATCGGGATATTGTAGCTGTCATCATGCACCAACGCAGGCCGTCGCATTCCTAGTGCTATGAGTCGATCACGTGCATAAATGCACCACCATAGTCTTTTCCGGAGTTGTTTTCTTTGCTGGTCCATATCGGATTTGACTTGTTCACGGTGCAATCTGATGGTGTGAGCCTGCGATAGACAGGCTCCCATCCAATGCCAGGCGTCTTTTGGGTTACCGGGAGGCTCATACCAAAGTGTCATGAGGAGAAGGGATTGAATGAGTGATATACGGTCAGTCTCACAATCAAAGTTGTATAGTAACTAAGCAGTCAGCAATTGTATTGCAAGGAGGCCGGCGCACATACCACACTTTTGTTGAAGAAACACTTCTGCGCATCTCGTCGGTTTGGAAACCCCGCATTGTAAAGGTGCTCCTCACTAATGAAACCTGCGCCTGCGAACATAACAGCCTGGAAGAGCAGTAATCCCACTCGATGGACCCCGTCATTGAGAGCAATCGCGTGCAGGATATCGTCTATATCCAACACAGGCATATGTGGATGCACGCAGTGAAAATAACATTTGAGTAGCTCATTTCGTAGCTCATCTGCTGGGATTTTCAGTGCACCCTTGGCTCTTAGATAGTTCACATCGTCGGACCGCAATCGTCGTGGCAGCTCACGAATATAATGTGGAAGAATCCAGGGCTGCTGCATCTTTATTGGCCACTGTGTCGTATTCGCGGTATCAGCGGCACCATTTAATGGGAATGCATCGGCGATATTCTGGTCATCATTCATATGTCTCCAACCGACGTAGGGGGCATGTATTTGATCTTGTAAGTTGTAGCGTGTTAGCTTGCCTATGTAAAGGATCGGGTGGCCACTAACAAAGCAGATGAGGTATATGCTTGTTGGTAACGCACGATTCGCGATCCTGAGCCGTGTCATCGGCCAAGTTTTGATTTCTTGCCGTGAGGTCAAGGAACGCATTAAGCGCGCTTGCGGTTTTCTCGCCGGACTTTAAATGCTTGTGGGCGCTTCTACTTTTTTTTTTTTTTTTTTTTTTTTTTAAATAAATCCAGGGAACGATCCCATTTTGGTTTTGGTAACTCACTTTTCTCTTTTGCGGTTAAAGGCCAAGCATTTTACTTGATCCAGGCGACAACTGGTACAAGCAAGGCCGATTTGGTCCACGTCGCACCTAACCTTGCGCATACGACATGAGTCACAAGCTTGAAGATCACATTTGTTTGAAATTCGAGGTATCGTTGTTCTTTCCGATGCATAAGCCCTGCTTTTCCCTTGCGAAACTGGTCTCGTAGAGGGTGCAGTTGTCATTTTCAATCATGTATATAAGCCGCAATTCTCAAGGGATGGGGTTCGAAAAGAGGGAAGTGTTTTGGAGATAAGGAAAAGCCTCATATTTTTTTAAATAAAAGAGTCGATCTTCTGATAGTTTGGCCTACGTAGTCATCTGGCTAACCCTAACTATTGGATTGCCGAGGCTAAGTCGAGTTGTGCGAGTCGCACAGAACAAGCCCCGAGGGCCGCAGGATCGAGGTCGCGAACACCCGGAGGGTATGGAATAAGAGTTAGATCAGATGCCTTCCGCAATGCTTGGATCACCAGAGTATTCCCAGAGATCTGGACATCCGGGACCGATCTACAGTGGGAGGCAAAAAGTTTGAACCTCCCCCCCCCCCCCTAGACCGCTTTCGCCTACCGCCTCCCTAAACCAGTGATTATTCAATACTGTTAGCCGGTTAACTAGTTTAGCCAACTTCGTCTGTGCCATCCAAAATGCCTCGGGGTAAATAATTAGACCCCCAAACTCGCTCAAGAATATGCGAGTTAAAGTCAATTGGATGGGGAGCCAAGCGGATTCATCAAAAGCATCCAGAAATTCCACTCAATACAATTTAAAACTACAATTCGACGTGAAAATCAACGGCTAAATAATGTATCACAACCCCGATCTGGCCGACCACGACAGTTTACTGAAGAGCAACGAGATCATTTATATGATCTTACTACAACCAATCCTCATATTAAAATGCATGACCTATTAGAAGAGGTTGACCATGCAGTCAAGAAGCGATCAATTCGGAACCTCTTACATGAGATGGGACGCCGCAAATGGAGGCAGCTTCAGCGCCCTGAAATTACTGAATTCCATGCTCAAAAGCGCCTTGCTTGGGCCCAAGGATATGAGCATTTTATGCCTCAAGATTGGGCCAGAGTCCACTGGTCTGATGAATGCACAGTTGAAAGAGGTGCTGGAATTCAGCCAATTTGGTCCTTTCTACGAGACTACGCCCTAGTCAACAACTTCTTGAGAGAGATGTCTGCACACACCGTACTGGAAAGAGTGTCAAGCAGATGTTTTGGGCTGCTTTTGGAGAAGACACTCATACTGGTCTTATTCCTTTGGATGGTGATCCAGAGGCACCACGAGGTGGTGTAACAGCCCAAGTTATTTATGATCTTTATCAAGCTTTTTTACCTGAATTCATCCAGCCTGGGGACATCTTTATGCAAGGTAATGTCCCAGTACATACGGCACGCATTGTCAAGGATATTCTTGAGGAATTACAGATTCAGGTCATGGTCTGGCCACCATATTCACCTGATTTAAAACTTATTGAGAATCCCTGGGCTCTCATGAAGCAGCAGATTTATAAGCTGTATCCTGAGCTTGAGCATGCTTCTAATTCAGAAGAGACACGTCAATTATTAATTGGGGCTGCTAAAGAGGCATGGCATAGCATTGATCAGCAAGTGCGGGTTAAACTGTCTTCTACTATGCCTAACCGTGTAAAGGCAGTTATCAAGGCAAAGGGTTGGTATACGAAGTATTAGACTGGCAGAATAGCACAATATCATTGGCTGATGCAAGCGGTCATTACTGGCAGTAAAGGGGGGGGGGGGGGGTTCAAACTTTTTACCACACAGTGTATGAGTGTAGTTGCTTATCTTTCCCCGCCTCCCAACCCCGCAACCGGGTGTGCGAGTCGCACTCGCACTGCACCACAATGCTCCTAGTTTACAAATCGTTCTTTCGAGGACGGTATAAGATGAAATGTCTTGTGCTGTCCACAAGATCACCCAAGTTCAAGCACTTAACAATTTTTTCTGATCCATTACGAAACCATCGTGAGGACCGTTTACAAGCCAAAGAATCGACCTGAACAAGTACAACGATGACCGTTGTGCAATCCGTTGAACATGGGACGAGCCATGTCCGTGGCGGCTTGAACCTTGACGCGATTATCATCGGTGCCGGTTTTTCCGGCCTTTACCTCCTTCACAAACTACGCGATGAATTGAAATCGAACGTCAAGGTTTTCGAGGCCGAACCTGATATCGGCGGCACGTGGCATGCAAATCGCTACCCCGGAGCACGAGTTGACTGTCCGGCACCTCATTACGCCTACTCATCCAAGAAGATTTGGCAGAGCTGGACGTGGTCAGAGAGATATCCCAGCCAACCCGAGTTAAAATCGTACTTCGAGCATGTTGACAGAATCCTCCACGTTCGCAATGATTGCATTTTCAATTCTGAAGTCAATAGCTCTACGTTTGACAAGGTTTCTGGTCGATGGACTGTCCAGACTGCGGACGGGAAAGTGGCAACAGCAAAGTACCTGCTTGTCGCCGTTGGCTTTGCTTCTAAGCCGTACCTCCCGGACTGGCAGGGGATTTCTTCCTTCCAGGGTCCGATTTTTCACTCCGCAAAATGGCCTGAGGGGGGTGTCGACGTGAAGGGCAAGAAAGTAGCGGTTATTGGGACCGGCTCAACCGGTATCCAAATCACGCAAGAATGGGCCAAGGAAGCTGATGAAACATTCCTGTTTCAACGAACCCCGAACCTCTGTTTGCCTATGGCACAGCAAAGATTGGATGTGCCGAAGCAAGAGAAGAGCAAATTCAATTACGAGCACATGTTCACATACTGTGTGTCGACCTTTGGGGGGCTGGAGTACGAGCCAACTCCTAGAAATACGGCAGACGATTCCCCGGAAGACCGCGAGGCACTTTATGAGAAGCTTTACAAAGACGGCGGCTTCAAGTTTTGGTTCAACAATTATCAGGACCTGCTGTTCGATGCAACCGCTAACCGAGCGGCATATGACTTCTGGGCGAGAAAGACTCGCTCCAGAATTAGCGACCCCGTAAAGAAGGATCTTTTAGCCCCCTTGGAGCCTCCCCACCCATTCGGAGCAAAGAGACCATCCCTCGAACAAGACTTCTACGAACAAGTTGACAAGCCTAACGTCCACATCATCGACACCAAAAGGAATCCAGTCGTTGAAGTTCGGCCCCAGGGTATAGTCACTGCAGACGGAAACTTGCATGAAATCGATATTATCGCCGTTGCAACAGGATTTGACGCCTTCACTGGTGGCTTGAAGCGCTTAGGTCTCAAAGGCACCGATGGAATTGTTCTCGGTGAGCGCTGGAGGAATGGTGTGACTACTAATCTGGGGATGACCGTCAGTGGATTCCCAAATATGTTCCTTCCGTACAGTCTGCAGGCCCCTACTGCCTTTGCAAATGGACCAAGGATTATTGAGATGCAAGGAAATTGGATTGCGTCTATCATTTGCAAAATGGAGAATGAGGGAGTAAAGTCCCTGGTCGCGACGAGAGAAGCTGAAAGAGCCTGGAGTGATGAGGTAAACGCTCTGGCCAACATGAGTCTTTTGCCACAAGCCAATTCATGGTACATGGGCTCTAACATTCCCGGCAAACCTGTTCAGTCACTTAACTATATCGGAGGGCTTCCCACGTATGGAGCGAGGTGTGCAAAGGCCATCGAGCAGGACTTTAGGGGATTTGTTAAAGAATGATTGTGATGTACAACATGAGTCAAGATCAGATTTTTCCTACCTCAATTCGATTTATATTTGACCTTGTTAGTCTGTCGACTATTCTTAGACAAGGATACTGTAGTTAGGAGATATCGAAACCCAGGTACCAAATCTCGAAACGAAGTTGTTGACTTCACATTATCCATCCTCTCCAGCTTGAACTAATTGGTAATCACTTGCAAATTTTGTTTCTTCATCATATTTCATTCCGTCCCGGTCTCTATCTTACAGACCTTTGCCAGGGAGATTAACTAACCGACGATGCCAGCAAAAGGGTTGACTAAAATTTTGGTAAAAAGGGAGCTTAAACCGGCGTCGGTTAGCGTTGTGGTGTAATGAAATATATAATAGACAATAAAATATATAGTAGATTGTACTCTGATTATATTATTGTATCAACTGTTGTTTCTTCGACATAGAAGACAAACAGGCCAAACTCGGCATCCCGTCTGCGCGATCTCCGCAGCTCGCAACTGTTTCTATCATTATTATTCTCTGCCCTTTCTCAGCTCCAATTCCCCTCACTGTGATACCCAGACACCATGGAAGAAGAAGACGACGACTTTTACGACCCGACCGACGTGGTCCCGCCTACTCAAGTGCAAAATAATCCGCAACATGCTCCGTCTAATGGTCACGAAACGGGCGATGCGGAGGAAGAAGAGATAGAGGTGGAAGATGACGATGTTCGTTGCAACTTGCGTGCTTCGACAAAGAGTATTGGGCTAAATGATCTTCTTAGGATGACTTCAATATCATTACAGAAGCATCACCAGATGCGCCGCCGCCAGAGATGTGAGTAGCTGCTCTTCATCAGACAGGACCATGCGCGCCTTGTTCTAACAACACTTCTCGTCTTGCAGACCACATCCTCGCCATGCCAACCTTCGGAATGACTCCCAACGACCCTCATCCATAGACGCGCCCGTGCCAAAATCCGTCACGCCAACCCCGAAAGTAGAGTCCGCAACCCCAGTGCCCGTCGCTGCCAGACCAGCCGTGCCACAAAAACCGGGCTCAGCATATCCACCCATCCACGCGTCGAATATCGATGTCCATATGAACCCAGTACACCCGGCGACTGGAAAGCCGATCCTCTTGACAGACATGGACAACGATTTCCCTGCCGATGATAAACCATGGCGGCGACCGGGATCCGACATTTCGGATTACTTTAACTACGGATTCGACGAGTTTACGTGGGCCAGCTACGTCTTGAAGCAACAGGAGCTACGACGTGAAGTGGGAGACCAGAGGAAACAGCTAGATGACATGCAGAACTTCATGAGCATGGGAATGCCGCCAATGCCCGGTGGTCCCCCACCGGGACCTGGACCTGGACCTGGCGGCGCACCACCGGGAATGCCGCCAATGCCTGGCATGCCCGAGATGTCTCCCGATATTATGCAGGGCATGTTGACGGGCATGATGTCTCAGGGTCTGGATCCGTCATCGATGGATCCCATGTCCTTCATGCAACATGCGCAGGCGATGATGGGCCCACAACCCGGGGCCGCTCAACCTCAAGCTCAAGGATTTGGAGGACAAGGTGGTCACCAGATGGGGTACGGAGGATATGATCAACGAGGCGGATTTGGAGGTCGCGGACGGGGACGAAGATGGTAGAATTTAACCTATTGTGAATCTTGCTTTTCCATAATTCCCAGTGACGGGACGGATATCGCGGCGTTTGAAAATGCATTTGCATCGATTTAGGATATAGCAATTGAGTGTTCTTGCTAATGAACTGCTTGTGTTCTCATATCGTGGAACCGCCTAGCATCTTGTTCGGGAAAAAGGAGCCGGGCGTGTTGTATGCTGTAGAAGAATCTGCGCACACGACCTTGTACGGCTCAGGAGGACTACCAGCTCCCTGATCCTGCGAGAAACAACCAGACCGTAGACAATTGTTTGAGAGAGTACAGATCCGTAGAAAGATGCAATTGTTGTAGTTGAGGCTTACCCTCGGCAGTAGTGATGCTGGAAGCTGCGGTCTTGGCATTCTGGAAATTTCTCGCGAGTCCAGATCTTCTTCCACCACTTCTTTTCTCCCCCGGACACTCTTCTCCTCCTCCACGCCTCTCAGTCTTCCACTCCGTCTCGTCTTTGTTGAATTTACTGTTCCTACCCAGTTCGCTGCACTTATTCCGTCAAAATGGTACGTGGTCCTGGTAGCTGGTGAGCTCTGGAGATCGGGTTGCTTCTCCGACTCACCCGGGCAATTTTTCTCCATTGCGGGGGGAGCTCATCGCCATATCGTCTTGGCTCTCAAGACAGCAATTGTTGAAGAACATGCGCTAACACACTTGCTTTTCTTGAATACAGTCTATCCTCCGTAACGTCAAGACCCTTGCCCCTCTCTTCGACCGTGTCCTGGTCCAGCGCGTCAAGCCCGAGACCAAGACCGCCTCGGGTATCTTCCTCCCCGAGAGCAGCGTCAAGGAGCAGAACGTTGCCAAGGTCCTTGCTGTTGGCCCCGGTGCCTTTGACATCAACGGCAAGAAGATCCCCGTCAGCGTTGCTCCTGGTGACCACGTCTTGACTCCTCAGGTACGATAGTTCTTTGCTTAATGACCGATTCAGGTTTTCTGCGCCATGGGTTGTGTAGTTTCGCATGAGCACCTGGTTTATGTTCTGGGATGTGGTTCTAACATGGTTTACAGTTCGGTGGTAGCCCCCTCAAGGTTGGCGATGAGGACTACACCCTCTACCGGGACTCTGAGTATGTGATCCTTCTTTAGTTTCTCACTTTTTTTTTTTTTTTTTTTTTTTTTCAGTACTGACTTGCGAATAGGATTCTTGCCAAGATCAACGGCGAGTAAATTCTTTACGAAATGCAATGACGTTCTGTCGCTTTCGGTTTGTTGCCTTTCCTAGCTCGACCCGGGCTGAAATATCGCCCGAGTGAGACGAGAAAAGGCGTGTATTATACGATACAGTTATGAGTTTCGAACGGTGCACCTCATGAAAAACAACCAAAAAAAAAAAAAAAAAAATTCTATACACCCCGGCGGATGGTTCGGAATTGGTCCATGAGTACGGAGTATTCGTGGACCTATTTTCTTATCTAATCCCTGCATTTATCTTTTTTGTTTAAGCGTGAATGACTTGTTATTTGCATTTATGTATGCTTGATGTATTTTATGTCTAGCAAGCGGTCTGTCCCATGCAGTTCTGGCGGGATAAAAGCGAGTAATTGAAGACATGATAATCTCCTCTCTTACGTTCTTATATTTGTTCCAAAAGAATGGGCTGACTGCGTCAATGATAGTTACAATATACTTGGTGAACCTATCTATATATGTAACGTTATATTTATACAGCATCAAAGTTAAGCGCCCAGTCACATTGCCACTCATCCATTATATCCTCTACTCTCTTCAGCACTCTCTCCCCAATGATTCCTGCAAACAGACGTCTTCGCGTCTCACTTGACATCTCTATAAACCTCGACAGTGCTGAAACTGTGCCCTGATCATAAGTAGAACCTAATTTTAGCTTCTCTTCCTCCCTCCTCAACGCAAGCAAGACAACCTGCGCAGCAAACGGGTTCAATCCAGCACGACGGAGAAAAAGCTCCCATTGCGTCTCGGTTTCAACCATCGCTGGATCAACTCTTGGCTTGTTGATACTGGGGTTGATAGGCATAAAGCCAATACTCCGCGGCACACTGGTCTCCAGTAGTCGAAACGAATGCTTGTAAGCGAGCCCTAGGATCCATTGCGCCATAGTTTCCGGTGTGGATGGCGCGATTATCAGCGGGATAATAGTTGAATGTACCGATGCAGAGTTGCAGAATGCCGTGAGCGATGTAATAGATTCTAGCGTCCGCTTGTCGGCCGTGGGTTGCTTCTTAGCTGTTCCTCCAGAGTGGGAGATAAGGACGTAGAGACGTTCGTATCGCGGGGCTAGGAGCATGATGCGCTCCCGGAGAGGTGAGTTGATGTCCTTAATGCCATCTAGGTGTGGATGAGCGGGTTTGTGGCCCGGGAGGTATAGCTGTGTCGTGGCCTGGGATGTTGTCAGTATTGCACCTGTTGAAGGTGAGATGACGATGTCCGCTTCGTGTTCGAGATCGTGGTTGATTGTGTCATAGTCTCGGTATATGAGTGTGGGTGGTGGATCTTTCGTGTTTTCGAGGATTCGTGCCAATCGGAGGTGTGACTTGAGGAGTGATGTTGATAGGAAGAGTAATGGAGGTTCTTGGTTGTTTCTTGGGTATTGGGGGATATGCTGGGATGCAGAAGTGTTCGATAAAATAGAAACTCGTTCCTCGCGTTGCATGACTGGTTCTGCGTATTGATCTGATACCACGACCATGGACTTTTGACGCTCTGTTCGATCATCAATCGGTTGCTTATTCTTGGTTGCGATATAAGAACTCTCTGCGTTGACTCGTCGCTTAGGCGCTATGCCTCTCATTTCCATGAAAGCAGGCAAGGAGCCCAGTGCCGTGGATGGTGATGACAAGTCTGAGCCCTGGATTTCGGCTGGAGGTCGCATTGTTGCCCTCTTTTTTCCATTTCTGTGTTGTTTTCCCCTGAGCTTATTATCATCTCTTGCCTTCTTCCTTTTCTGTTGACGATTGGGCGTTTGATCCAGACATTTCTGCGCTTTTTGACGGCAAGTCTCGCCAACAATCGCTGGCCCGTCAGGTATCAATGTCGCATTATGGGAGCTATCGTTTGCTGTGATAGGCTGCTTGTTTGCTCTAATGTTCGACTCGCACCAGTTCCTGTCGACGACCGTACTGTCTATATTACCTCCATGGCTGGTCTCAAGTGGCTTTGGCGTTTCTAAAATCTCCCCTTCAACGAAATCCTGGGTTCCTTGTTCGACCTCAACTGAATAGTCAACGTCGATGTCTCCATCGTCCACTGTCTCTTGATATGTGAAGCAAGGATATGACTGGAGAGTAGACGGAAAGGATGTAGGATGTCGACGTGCACTAAAGTGATGCTCAGGAGCGAGTTCAACTTCGGGCCGTGTTGAAACCACAGTTTGGGCGAGGTTCCAAGTTGAATATGGCGGGTGAAATAGATTTTCATAGCCTTCTATACTTCCCCCCTCCATGGGACCAGAAGATGCGTGCTCAATGGGCATCGGATATTCTTGAAAAGACCTCACTTCCTCTTCGGGTTGCGCATTAGAAGACTGCTCGTCTTCAGAACCTCGTGTCCTTTTATCTCCCTCACCAAACTCTAGAGGTATTGAGGTCAATGTGCCCGTCTTCTGTAAACAAAGTGGCGATTCGTGTCGTTTGATAGGAGTCGAGGAAACGGGACTGGGGAGCATCTGCGGCTTCGGGCTAGGCGATGGACTGTATAACTCGTCGAAGTCGATTGGGGTAAGAGGAAGATCCGGTTCGCGAAACGCCTGCTAGAAGCCAAATCAGTTAGCAAATAGGTATAATGACTCTCTCAGGAATAATACCTCATATGCCAGTAAATGAGTCTCGAGACAATCCATAGCTGGGCTGATATCCCCATACTTCCTAGCATTCTGAATCAAAAGAAAGGACTCTCTGGTACAATTGAGTCTCTCTATATTGGTCTTCTCGTAAATTCCGTGGCTCGTAATGAAGCTCGTAGAGGACTTTGGCAGGGAATATGGTAGGCAGGTTTGCAGCAACGGCAGCGCTTTATTTCCACGACGAGAACGAACAGAGCTCGTTAGAGCATTTATTTCCGATTCATGATGGGTAGTAAGAACAGGAAGCTCGACTTTGAGACCCTCGATTCTAGGTAATGACGGAAGGCAGTCGTCCCAATTCACTTCCACGCGCTCTGCTCTCGAGTCGCGAATCACCGTTGAAAGAAGTCGGGCGTCATTTTTACCCAGATTGAGCTTTTCGCTGTTAAGCAGTCGCTCGATGGACTTCCAAGGAGGCGTAGTATGACTGTTCAAAGCAGGCGAAGATTCATCTTTGGAGGAAGGGCTGTTCTCGAGTATCTGGTCGATATATTCCAGGGGATTAACAGTAGTGGATGGGGTTGCAATTCCATGGAAACGAGCGTATTCGAGAAAGGATGGACATTGTTTTTGATCCATAGGGAGTTTAAGCTGTGGTGTTAGCGAAGAAATCGCAAGTTTTTTGTTCTTGCGTGTGTCCTAGTTCAATGGGCCAATTTAAGGTCAGACAGACCATACGCAGGCATACTGATAATACCATATTACCATACCATACAGCCGTGGAGATCCCCTCAGATAAAGTTGAGCTGGTGTGGGTCACATGAGCTTCCACTAACGTCTGACGTACATGAACCATGTCCGTCAAAGACTCTCCCTTTGCTTTCCCATATAACTTCTTCCTTCGCTCTTGAACAGTCTCTCGTTTACAAAATGTTTACAAAATGTCTACCATGCGTTGCGCGGTCAGGAATGGAAACAAGACAAAGCCGGTGAAGTCGAAAAACTATCATCGTATCGATGACTTCAAATACCAGCAGAAACGACTCCGCGAGATTCTGGGCTTCTTAGACCGCGTGGAGGTTGAAGGGCGCCAAATACCCGAAACCCTTACAGACGAACAGTTCAACAGCCTCGGAATTGAACTGATTGACCTTGATATGAAGACGGGACAGACTCCTCCCTCGATCACCCGATACTTCCTACCCGCTACGGACGATGCCTCAGGGGTCTCGAGCAGCGCTACTGACCCGATCGATGATCGTTTTACCGAGTACAATAAAAGCAGAGCGAAAAGGGTCTGGTGATTGTGGGTGGTCGAAATATCTTGCAAATGCTTTTGTTGGCCATGCATATAATCAAGAGCGTAAAGTGTTTGTATCTCTATGGAAGTAACTCATGTAAGTACTTAGGATCTCTTGACTTGATGGCTTTTTATGGACCGTTACGCTGACACAAGCACCTTCTCGTCTAGTCTCGATGATTCTAGGAGAGGACGATTGTTCTACGTTGGCCACAGCCTCGATGTGAAAAGTGGAAGCGAATACGGCGGCGCACGTCATGCGCGTCGTGCCGTTCTTGCTGTGCTGAATAGAAGGGTAGACGAGCACCGACCGTCGATCGCTGAATTGATTGTACTTGTCAGCTGGATGCTGGCAGCAGTGCGTTACCAGGACGCCGCGAAAGTGAAAAGACGGAGAAAGGGAAAGGCGATGCGATTGCACATGATCTTTCCGGCTTGCTCTCTTGTCCATGGACTGTTAATGATTGTACAGTATACTAACAGAATAATAGACCCTTGTCTATTGTTTTATGCAGCCTGCTAAAGCGCGAGTCCTTTACGTTGAAAGTCGAGGCTACCAAAGCTCATAACTTCGATGTTCCAAATTATCGTGAGATGATGTATTCTCTCGTTCGGTGGACTTCCCCAATTATACATGGTAATACTGAAATGGGTGAGTCTCTTGCTGCCATTGAGGAATATAGCGAAGATGGATCGTAGGACGAGCAAGATGGAAAGCGAAAGAGCCAATATATGTCGCAATGCTGTTCAAGGTTTTTAATCACTGTTTAATTATATTTACGTTTTATGTGAGGCAATTGCATGAGAAAATCAATTTGGCACTATTACTTTCATCACGCTTCAGGTAGTTACATAGAGAGAAGACCCAGAATACAACCGCGGGAATGAAAATCCTCCTCGCCTCACATATTCACCAATACCTCAATACAATACAAGGCACCGAACAACGACAATCTCCGTTCTCTTACCACCACTGGTCCCAGCTTTCTCTCCCACACCCATCTTCAACAAACCTCAAGGACTGCAAAAGGATACTCAATCAACGTCGTTGGCGGGAGAGCTGGCTTCCAGAGAATGAATCCCTGCCTCTTCTTCTCTTGCAGCCTCCTCATATTGCTCTCGTTTTTCTTCTTTCTCTCTTTCGGCCTTCTCCTCGTCTTGCTTTCGTCTTTTCTCCTCTTCTTCGGCCGCCTTCTTTCGTTCCTTTTCCCTTGCTTTCTCGCCCATGGACATTTGAACTGTCATCGTCAACGTCATTCTCCCTAGTCTGAATACATCACCTGCAATGAACAGATCGAAAGGCCCAATGAGGGTCAACTTCAAGAAGGAAAGCTTAAAATCGGACTCAAGACCTTTCAGGAAATTCAAGAAATGAACCGGATCGAAATGGGCCATAACAAGAAAAAAACTGATGGCGGTGACAGGCCGCCATGAAATACCTATGCGATGTTCAGCTACGAATCTCAGTTTATGGGGGGTGGGTATAACAGCGCCTCTTACCGTTCTTTTTGTTTACCATTGAATTCACAGTACAAGATGTAAGTGAGCATCTCGATACCCGTCTGCATCAATGCCTGCTCCAGACGCTTCGTGACGGCAAATGCCTTTACCTCCAGGATCCCATGGACATCGTCTTTTCGGTCAGAACTGAGACATCCGTCGGTGTATGCCCTGATATATTTCTCCCCAAGTCTGTGTGCAAATCCCTTCCTAAACCCCTCCCACTCTAATCCTGCTTCCTTGCAACCCATTGTTACCGTCCGGAGAAAAGCCACTGCGGCAATATTTACTGTTTCCTTCCCCCTGGTCGGTCGGCGGGTACATGTTGGTGTCCGCGATGGAATGTACAGAGCCCCCGGCTAACGACTCCGATGACCCCGCGTCGGATTCGGTGTAGGCATCAGAGCGCGAGTTGGGTGGTGAACTATCTCCGTTCGTGTCCATTCTGTCCTCGACGGGCGATGAGATGGCTTGCGAGCGACTCTCCGAGACTTCGCTGGCATTTTTTTTTATCTCTGTCACTGGAGCCCTCGGATTCGGGGATACCATTGCTGATCACCCATAGGCGCGAAGCAGCCTAGGTCCCTCGTTTGTCCAATGGGTGGCCGTTGACCAGGAGCGTCTCTGATGTCCCTGCAATAATGTCTCCAGTCCAAGAAGAATTTGAGGTAGTTTCTGGGAATCTCGTCGGCTTCGTAAGAGAGTTTTAGGACATCAATGAGATACTGCAGCAAGTTCGACTCAAAGCCAACGAGCGGCTTATGTCCCCATAGAATTTTATCAGGTAGTGGGGCAATTAGACTTTAGAAGCGGATTTCCAGCCTCCTACGTCGCGAAACGAGACTAGAGTCCCTATACCTGCTTCAACCATTCTCAAGGTCCGATTTATAACCGGGAGCTCCGTGTCCCATGTTGTCTATATCCAGATCAACTCCGGTAGGTAATGATGACCACCGCGTAATCCTCAAACAAGGCGATATTTTTTCGTTCCTAACACCTATCTAGTTAGATGTGAAGGTCATTCTCGGGGTACAACAGTGCCCTACCTTTCCCTGTCTATGCCATTCAATCCACAGTAAATTATGTAGGCCAGCATCAATATTCATCTACATGGTTGTCTTTTCGGTGTTGACGGTGACGAAAAAGGGATTGGCCTCTATAATGCCATGGATGTCGTTTTTTTGGTTGGTGAGCAGATATCCATCTGTATGGCCTCTGATCGAGGCTTCGCCCAACTGTCTTTCGAAGCTTATCTATCGGGATTCCTATTTATAGTTCTGCTTCTGGGCACCACATTGTCAGCACCCGTAGAAAAGGTACAGAAGTCACATTGACCACTTGTTCACCAAGTGAACGGGGGTGCATTGTAGCACCAGCGATTGAGATATCAGTCCCATGGGTTGGGGCTCGGGGAAAAGGGACTTGAGGGATTCGGTAGAGTCATCTATATTATCCCCGTTGAGGTTCCTTCGCTCTCCGGCTGATTTCTCTAGGCATGCCTGTTCTATCACAGGTTCGGCACCAGATTGAAACATTTGCTGCGCCGTCTTTCTCGCTTCGAATTCTCAAAGCGATTGCATCTGGAGATGCCTGGCATTTCTTGTGTCTTCACATCCCATTGCTGGCCTCGAATGATCGATCGAAAAGCATCCCAGCTTGGGTGCATTGCCCTTTGGCAGCCGTTTCGTGCATCTTGAATGTCCTGTCGATAAGCCTTCCAACCAGGGATGCACCTCACTGTCGTTGATATCGCCCAGAAAACGGAGGACCGAGGCGAATTCTCTTGGCCATTCGGAGAGACTCCCGAGATAATCTCTCGTAGAACAATCGATTTTTAGAGTCTGCCACGGCCCACGATTGGCCGCAGATGAAGGTAAAGCACCCTGGATTTGCCCGACATCCCATGCTTGTTTCTCCTTTGCCATTCTCAATATTCCGTGTAATTTCTCCAGTCACGGTTTTCTTCGAGATAACCCTCCAGAATTGTATTGACCTCAACATGAGGTTCTTAGGATCCGTCGCAGATTCCAGCTTTCCGCTAACGCTCATTCCCAGTCCCTTCAATTTTTAAAAAAGGACCGAGAAATATACGTCAGTTAAGAAAGACATAGGAGTTATGGTGGTTGATAGCTCCATACCGATATGAATGGTATCAAAAGCTGTGGTTGACAACAGAAAATATCAAACTCGATATTTTATAGCAGCATAACTATGAGCTCCGTCATTTCTGTTGTAGACAGCCAAGTACCAGTCTTCCAGCTGGAGTAGGGCTAAATAAGTCACTGACTGATGTACATTGCTTTTGCAACTTTGTGATTCAGTCAAATGGTTCTATATGGACTACAATTCCATAGATCTAAAAGCACGAAAAGAAATAGAATTATCTAACCCGAGACGCCATCCGCAACAAATTATCGACTGCATAACGTCAAACCCGTCCAAAATCGAGTTCGAGGTTTTGAAAGAAATAATATACACAAAAAGCACAGGACGTCAAGCCCCAATAGCACGCTCAGCCATGCACCTATCATGTCATTAAATTAAGAAGTACCAATTCATACGTTGAGTCTCCCATCGCCCACGGATGGGGGGCCCAACACGGTTTCCTGCACCTGTTCGGTGACTCCACCCAGTCTGCTAGCAACACCCAGAATACCAGTCTCGACATCTCCAAGCACCACGGCGAGGTCGTTAAGAGCAGAGCTCGACGCCCCAACGGCGGAGTCGTCGCGGCTCCGGGATGCCACGAACTCGTGGACCTGGCGGTTCAGGGTAACCTCAACTCCATGGAGATGGTCTTCAATCTCCTTCGTGTGTCGCGTGTACCGGTCGAGGACAATGGCCATTTCGTCGGAACGCTGCGAGAAGTAATCGACCAGGTTGACGGGAACCCCGTTGACAGAGTTAGCAGTGGCTGGATCGCTCTCAACGTCGTCAGGGAGCGCAAGTGTGTTCTTGCGCGTAGACCGGAGTGACTGCTTCTGGTCCGGAACAGACCACCAACCAGCACCTCCTGTAGACTGGTACTGCAAAGGCAACTTGAGGGTGTCAATGGCGCGGAATGCAACTTGAGCCTCCGCTGCGTCGCGAGACACCAAGTTGCGAAGATGGTCGATATCAGTTGCATCATTCTCGAGTGCCCGTTGCATGGTTTCGAGTTTCCCTTCAACGAATTCCACATCGTTCGGTATTGTGGAACCCTGGTTGGCGATGGTAGGGATCAAATTCCCAACCTCGTTGCACATATTAATCTGATTCAGAACAAATGTGTCAAAGCGTTCGAGCTCTTTCCGGATCTCATCGGCGCAGCTTTCGTATTTGGTAGTCGGGAGGAGGTTGCTGAGGTCCACCTTGACTCCAGGAACAACTGTCCCAGTTGCGGTAGATTGTTGCATTGGTTGTTGCGCCGCAGTACTCTGGTTTCCGAACAAGGACAGCGAAGGCTTCTGGGCCTGTTGTTGCTGTTGTGGCTGCTGAGTTGTAGTGTTATTCCCTCCACTATAAATTGAGAGATATTAGCCCAATATTGTTTCCATGATTTGCGACTTTCAATGCTACTCACAAGAGTCCACCGCCACCCGTCGCCGTTGAGCCCCCAAGACCTCCACCGAAAGGAGGCTGGGCTTGCGTCTGTGCCGCGGAGCCGCCTCCTAGGTTTCCGAACAATCCTCCGCCGCCAGTGCCAGGCTGGGCGGTATTGCTCCCGGCCCCGGATGTCCCTGCAAACAGCCCACCAGACTGAGGCTGCGATGTAGTCGCCGCAGAGCCCCCAAACAAGCCTCCACCGGTCGCATTGCTCTGTTGTTGTCCTCCACCCAATCCTGGGAACATATTCGAGCCCGAAGACTGTTGTGTATTTCCGCCAAACAAACCGCCGGCAGGCTTAGGCGTAGTCGAACCGCCCAAATTCCCGAACAATCCTCCAGATGTGCTTGTTGTACCGGGTGTACTTGTCGATGTCGATTGAGCGTTGCCACTGTTAGAAACGAAAGTATTTGTTAGCCCTTCGCTGATTTGCGGTGATCAAAACAAAAACATTGCCTGGGTTTCTGGAGATATGCGAACACCATGTGTGACACTGACGTCCGGCGCAATGCGACCCCAGCACATATATGATTGGAAACAGGTCTGCATGATACTTACAACAGAGAATTCGCGGAGCCGGTATTGACAGACAGGCCACCAGTTGAGGGCGCCGAAGGTTTGGCGGAGAACATAGCTGTGGCTGTCCGGAGCTTTCAAAGCCACAGATTCCGGGGAATGCGCGAGGAATGAAATGCAAGGAGATCCGCTCCCTTATTTTCTGCCCTTCTACCCTTTGAAGTGAAAACGGGTGCTTTGCTTGTAGCTGTTGCTGGGCTCTTGTCGGTGATGCAGTCGAAAAACGAAAGTCGCAGATCGGAGACACACGGAGAAAGGATCAGCCGGGTCCGGAGAGTCTGACTTCACAGCTTCAAAATCGCCGAATTTGGAGAACTTTTGTCGTCCGATTTTGTTGTTCTCCTGGTTTTAGAGGGCAGCTTGTGGATTTGGCACGGAGAATACCCAAATACTATTTTTGCTTGCTGCTTTTGAGGCCGCTATCTGCAATATCTGTGCTCTATCAAAAAGTCCGTAGTCAAGGGGTCGTTGGTCTTTTGGATAGCTTCACTGCGGTTTCCTTTCACTACTTGGATTGAGTCTCTATCACTGAGATTTGGAGCCTGGCTTTATTCCCTCTGTCTATGATTTAGTGTAATCTCCAACTTCTTGGTGCGCTAGCTATCCATAGGATACTTCATGCATTTTGGCTGCAAAGCTGTCCTTTTCATAACACTCCTTGATCGCCGGTGACAAAGGGCTTTTTCCCTACGGCCCAGAGGATAGTTCCTACGGGTCGTTCGTGCCAAACAAAATACATCATGGCTGAAGAAGTGTCCGACTGGAAGCCCATCTGCGTGGCTTCGACGCAGGGCAATGACGATACTCAAAGTCCCGGACCTAATGCTGAGAGGCCTGGCCATGAAAACTCAGGCTATTCGGGAGCAAACTATTTCAAAGGCGCACAGTGGTTTGTTTCCTATAGCCCTCCTGCCCAAATGAACCGTCGGCTAATCTGTCCGCATTGTAGGTCGCCCGATGGCACAACTCTTTTGACTGATTCAGCAGATCACCATATCAGAACGTTCATTCTGTAAGTTGTGCTGTCTCATTCTATCAGATCCCGCTGACAGGGGTCAGGCCGCCGGATCTCTTGGATGAAAGGGCATCGCCACATCGATTGTTTCCGTATTCTACTCTACCGTCAGCAGAGCCCACATATGCTACCGCCATATACCCATTTTACTCGCTTCAAGATCCGTCTACTACATTGTTTCTCTCCTCAGTCCGGGATCACCCGATTAAACTCACGTCTGCTCTTGCTCCAACCACGATGGCAACTTATTCCCTGGTTCATCCGACCACGGAGGCCTTCATTGCGCCGCACACCGTAATATACCCTTCTACCCTAGGGGGCACACATTTCCTCACCGGGTCAGACAGTCTTATTTGCTTGTTTGATGTTTCCCGGCCGGGGAGTGACGGCCCTGTCTCTTGGATGCCCACGATCCCTAGCAAACGAAAACAAATTGTGGGTGGAGGTATCGGTATGAAAGGTATCGTATCAGCGATGGCTGTCAATCCAGTCGGAGATGGTATACTTGCCGCGGGTACCTTCACGAGGCAGGTCGGCCTTTATGATTCCAACGGATCCGGGCAACTTTTAGGCACTTTCAGCGTTGCCAAGACAGAGGCTAATCGCGAGATCGGTGGTCGAGGAGTCACGCAACTTCTCTGGAGCCCATGTGGGAGGTATCTGTATGTCTCTGAACGAAAAAGCGACGGAGTGTTGGTTTATGATATCCGAGTGACGGGGCAGCTCCTTGGGTGGCTCCGGGGTCGCAAAGCATTCACGAACCAGCGCATAAAGATGGATGTCGTACCGTCAGGTGACGGCGATTCCCATGAAATCTGGGCCGGAGGAACCGATGGGTTTATGAGGGTCTGGCGGAATCCCACCCATACGGCCAGTGGCAAAGATCCTGATTGGGAATGGAAGGTTCATAACGGTAAGTACCTACCATGATCATATTTTGCGAAATAGAAATAGCTTGCTAATGTAGCACAGACTCTGTGACCAGTACTGTGCTCCATCCAATGGGAACTGTGGCAGCTACATGCTCGGGGCAGAGACACTATCTGAGCGATGCCAGTGACGATAAGAGTGGCTCTACTTCCACTATGGAAATTGACAACTCCCTGAAAGTCTGGTCAATGCCGTTTCTTGAGACTCAGTCAGATGGCTAGACTTTGTCGAAGTCAAGATCTGTGTGACTCGAGGGAATGCTGATTGGCTAAGGCTCAGCCCTAAAGGTTTCATATTTTCAAGAGCACTCTATAAAGCCGGAATTTGCCTCGATTGTACGCTATGGAATCCGCAGCGAGCGTAGGCTCACATACCCGTGGGTATTACCTTTGTTTTGGTATCTAATTCTAAACATTATATGGTCGACCTGCGGAAACGTGAGACATTTTCAACTTCTCTTTATGGCGCTTACTCGGATTGACAACGTCGAGTTACCATTTAGCGCTACTCCTTCAAAGAGCTGAATAAGTTGAAGGAGATCAACTTGTTTATGTTTATATTCAAATCGGTCCCCCTCCCCCCCCCATAATCTGATGAAAGAGCCCAAGCAGGCTACATCAGGTCACTCTTTACGTCTTGCTTGATGGATTAGTATGATATGAAAGTCGAGTCGTCCCAATTGTTGACTCGAGTGTCAGCAATTGCCTCGAACCGCAAAGTTCAGATGGTACTGGAGAGGCTGGGGGAGCAATTCACTGCTAACATCTCAATGGAACATTACCAGAGGCGCTGGATCCAATGATATCTACTCTGAAACAATGTCTGGCGAAGAACTGGCGTGGTCTGTCTTTACCTATGGAAGCTATCGTGTGCTTAGTCGATGCAAACGCTTCTCACACTGGGATCCTGGCAACGATGTTTATGAAGTTTGCCTTTCCATCAGAACTTGAAGGTGAATGATGGTTGATATCGCGTCTATAGACGACGCGACTAGCGCGCCATTCACTACTATAAATACTCGCAGCCCTAGGCGATTTCCCCTCGACTTCTTCTCATTTTCAGCTCTTCGCCACCTTTCTTTTTCAACTCTCTCCATCTTCCTCCACACCAACTTCATTCTTCCTTCACTCTTGCAAACCTCTACAAATCAACTTAACATTCACCAACTATTTTTGATCTCTTCTCCAAACTTCGAATCAATATCTTTAGTCACCTCATTCGTTCTTGGATCTTGGCCTTTCCTTGTTTTGTCGAACAATCTTTTTTGAGCTCTCTGGTCGCTCATTACGTGTTTTCTCATCATGTACGATTGCAACGAGCTTTTCGACGATATGGACGCGAAGCTTCAGGGCCCTGTTGCCAATGGTGGAGTCAATATACACTGGGAGAATAATACGATGGACTCGTGAGTTGATAATCTCGTGGCCGTCGCCTGATTGTTTGCTTTCTAACAGAAAGCAATAGCTCCCAGAATGACACACACCTGGCTGTTGATGACGGACAATCAGACGGCAGTGAAGGCAGCTTCGACGAGACAGACTATGACGGCTCCCCGGGCGGAACGCAGGTGATTCAGTCTGTGGAAGATGATATACACTCTGGCGTGCCTTTTGGTGAGGGTTTGAAACGGCTGGAGGAGGAAGCAGCGCCGCATCATCCTCCTACCGATTACGCTACGTCGTTCTCCAGTGGCAGTGCCAATCCTCCACGCGGGCTGTTTACTCAAACCTCAGCGAGCTTTCCAGTCTACGAGGGAAACCAATGCTTCACAACTACACGGGATCACAGTGGCCATATTGCAGTTCACCCTGTCTATCCTCACAGTCCTGCATTTGCAGCTCATCCGCATGGCATGGGACATACCTATTCCAATGAGCGACTGAGCAATAGTTCAGATAATACCAAGTATGCACCCTTGGTCAAGCGACAGACTTGTTATGGTTTGACATTGATATTGACCATCTCACAGCTTTCTCGTCCCTGACAAATCGGAAATCTCACCAAATCCTCGTCCCTCTTCTCATCCCACTAATGACGGAGATTCGACTTCCAATGGCTCCCGCAATGAAAGCCCCGCTGGTTTTACCGGTCGTCGCAAGAAACCAATCGTCAAAACAAATTACGCGTCTGCCACCCCTCCTGATATGAGTGCAAGACTGGCTGTGTCGACAAGCAGTGAATCCTCGACTGACGATGGCTCTGAGACTGACGAGGAAGATCTGCCGTACTTGACTTTCGTCGATCCGGTCGTTCCTGACTTTGTACCAAAAATGTCAGACCTTTTGAACGTGAAGTATAGCAACGCCGACCAGAACACAATCTTTGAAACTGCCGAAGCTGCTAATCGACTTGTTGGCGCTGACCCCGCCCCTAAAGATAACACACTTCCTCGCACCCAAGCGCAGCGCAGGGCTTTCGTCAAGGCCGTGTTCAACGCGGTGAAAAGCACCGAGCATGCGGAGGATAATCCGGGTATGATCAGACCGTTCGCGGAAGGCAAATACTCGGACCGTCGAATTGAAGTTTTGGCCTGGAATATTTTGCATACTTGTGTTGTCCGCCATACGACTGGAGCTCTGTTGGCGCCGTTCGATGTGAAGAAAAAGGGGACCGCTGAATTGTCCACTTTTGCTGACCGCATGGCGAAGGTTATTGAATGCCTTACGGTAAGAGCGCCCGAGGCAATCTGTTTAACGGTCCAAAAGACTTACATCTCTCAAGACCCAGAAAACGATCTGCAAACACTTGCTCGACCCTTACTACCTGTTCCAGTTTGTCGACGATCCAGTCTCCTCTCAGAAGCGTGTCCTTGCAAACAAGAACCTCAACAAACGCAAAGGCGATATCATGAACGCTGGCAAGCGAATGATGACCAAATCTAGCATCGCCGGCTCGCCACAGAGCAAAATTGACGATTCTTTCGCCAGCGAAACACCGTCGAGCTTCGGACCTCCCCATGACATGACTCCCTCCAGCACCCAGGACGTAAACGATTCAGAGCAGACCATAACCCCCGACGGAACCATGACTGAAAGCATGATGGCACGCAGCTTCAACTCCACAGCCTCTCCTGCGGCTCGTCGCGCCTCGCTCAATCTGGGACCGGGTGGTACTATCACTCCTCACCACATGCCCCGCAGTGCTCAACAGTCGTCTCCGTCTCCCGCTCCCAAGAGTGGCGCCGCTGCAGCTCATATCCGCAGATTCCATGAGCGTCGCTTGTCCAACCTCGTTGCTCAGCGTCGGGCCCAGAACGCTCGTACCCCGAGTCACTCTCGCAACAATTCAATCGATGGCTCTCTGACTATGAGCTTCTACGCTCCCGAAAAACACCATTCTACAGCTGGAAGTATGCCAGGAAGGCTCAGGTCTGAATCTACGAGTACGACTGCTAGTCACAAGCGTCGCGCTTCTGAAGTGGACGATGTCGAAGACAATGCGTCTCCGAAAAAGCGACGTTGAAGCGAGACAGCTTGATTTAATCTTCACGAGTTACGACTTCCGATTTACGTTCAACTTTCTTGTCGATACCATTTGATCCCGATTTGGTCCAATTGTTCATGATTGGCACTAGGTGCATTTATGCCGGCGTTTATGCTGGCGCGGCTATCTTTGCATCACGTTACGCAATCTACGAATTTCCTTCACTATGGCTCACGAATCTTTTCATTCCTATCATAAGCTCAGGAGGTTTTCTGTTCATCACAGTTTGGGTGGGATCTTGTTCACTTCTTGTCCATACACATAATGTTCTTGGTCGCTGTCTGACGGCTTCTGGCACCGTTTAGACTAGACTATTTTTTACAAAATATCTTTTCATCTCATTCTTTTTGTTTTATGGTTATTTGGGCTTGTTTTGTTTCGTCTATTTTTGTTTCTTGTTGATACATCGGAGGCGTTGATTTGGCTTAGCCCTATCGCACCGTACTACCAGAAAATATGTCGTTGGTTGTTTCTATTTCCTATTTTCCATTGATATTGTTGGGAAAATTGTTGTAACTTTAATCAAACAAAAATCTAGATTGGTGTCTTTATCTATCCTCTCACAGAAACCTGCTTAGGTATCTGGTTATTGTACGCAATGAAGTAAACGGAGCACATGGAGACGACCACATCTACTCCACCGGCTGAATCCCATACTTCCCATAATCAAAGTCCACCAAACTCCCCACCAACTCAGCCCACCCATCCCCGATCGTCCCAACCTGTCCAGCATCCCCCAGCCGCCCCTTCTTCAACGCATCCGTCTTCTCTTCCTTATGCTCCCCCGTCGCCCCAGCCAAAACTTCCTCTTCGCCCCCCTTATACGCCTCCAACAAACCCGGGTGTGGACACCAAATAACCCGCATCCCAGCCCTCCGCCCAGCCTCAACACCAGGCACCGCGTCCTCAAACACAAGACACTCCTCGGGCTTGACCTCCTCTTCACCCTTCACCCTCAACCCCGCATTAATCGTCTCCAGCGCAAGTAGATAGATATCCGGAAGCGGTTTACCCCGTCCCTTCGCAATCCGCGTATCATCGCCCAATACCTTCTGCGACGCAGGAAACACATCGAACAACTCCTGAAGATGCTCCGTCTTCATCTGGTAGTTCTTGCTATGCGAGGATGTCGCGAGGGCGAGATGCACCGGGTTCTCCGTGTCTTTCGTCGAGGATAGTCTGGCGAGAAGGGTCTCGACGCCGGGGAGGGGCGCGGATTCGGGGAAGAGTTTGGCTTGGAGGGTCGCTTGTTTCTTGAGGTATTCTTCGGGAGTTATGGGGAGTTTCGCCCAGTCGTGGAAGATTCGGCTTGCCTGTTGTTCAATCAATGTTAGCTTATCTTCAATGCGATCTGTAGTTTGTTGGCTGTGTATAGGTGGGTGGGATACCTCCGGCTGCGGCCGGCCCTGCAATTGCGCCTTGATATTCCAGGGGAGTAATGGCTTTCCGTATTCCTGGAGGATTGTGTTCGTCACGATGGTGTATTTATCCTCCGTGTCGAGGAGAAGGCCGTCCATGTCGAAGAGACATGCTCGTACGCGGGGGAAACTGGTGGGGTGTCAAATGGTTATTCTTCGGGATATATGGTGCTTGAGGGTAGAGTTCTTGTTTGGGGTAGAGTTCTTGTTTAGCGTAACGCACCTAGGAGAGGCCATTGTCGATTAATGGGTACAGTATCACTGTGTGAGTAACTGAGGATTGTAGAAGGTGATGTCGAAAACGAGCTGAATGACTGCAGGATTGCGGGGGAGACACGGTTTTCCTGAAAGGGTATAGTGTCATGTGAATCTTGGCGTTCAGGGATGCAGCCCTACACTGGCTGGACTTGCTACGGACAAGAAATAAAAGAGTAACATGTCTATTCCTCCTGAAATAATTGGGGCTATAATACCGCTGGTCACTCGGGCTTGCTTGTATTCACCATTTATTGTCGTAGGCAGGCAATGGACGATCCTTCGAAGTGGGCTTCCTTGTATCCGGCATTGAATGCGGCAATGGGGGCTCTGGAGAGGCCTATGAGATTTCGTCTCCAAAGAGGTCGCGTGCCGGTTTACCGTTAAGGAACATCATCGGTTTTAAAGGATACTTCGGAAGCCTTGTGTTTCCGATGGACTCGCAGTTCCGTAAATCACTGGCTGCTGTCATAATGAAGTAAATGAGCCGTATAGTTATATCAAGGCGTTGACCCTAAGATAGTCATGAAGTTGGGGAAGAAAATACAGTTACTCTTCCTATCAAATACAGCAGCAAATAACGCCGACGCCAGTTAGATGGCCATGGTTGGAGACTCAAAAAACGGCCCTATCGACCATTAGGCGATAGCTGGCTGAAGGATCTTTCTCCCAACATCAAGAGATACCAATATAAGGGGAAACAGCAATTTCAGGAGGCATTGGATGTAGAATATGACCGCCTGCAATACGGAGAGGCCAGTGAATGGCTACTCTTCGAGGTCGATGAAGAAACATTCTCTTGCGATTTTCTCAACGCCAAAGCCACACAAAGTACATCTTGGTCTTCATCCAGTGCTATTGAACGACTTCTACTTGTAAAAATGATGTCTTACAAGCACGCCGCCGCGCAGGGCGCATTTGGCGATGCGCTGATCCAAGCTCTGACGCCGATAGGTCTCGGACAGGCCTTGCAGCCAAATGCAGGCGCGATCATCAAGGGTGGCGAAAAGGACAACAAAAAAGGAGATAACGCATGAGGTCCATTGCGACCACCGCGCAGCCATGATAGCAACTGGCCCACAGTGGTACTCGAAATTGCCGTCTCCGAATCTCAACTGAAGCTTCAATCGGATGTTCGCTTCTGGTTATGGCAAGGTCAAGGCAAGGTTAACATCGTCTTTACGCTGACCGTTGACCGCCAGAACCCCAGAATTTGGATTGAGAAATGGGAGTCGGCGGGTGACCGGGAGCATCGTACTCAGCAGGTCACGGTATACCGAGGCGCAAACAACCGCATATACACAACCGGTGACCTTCTTACCATCGAATTTCCAAACCTATTTCTCCGCAATACCAGCTGTCCCAAAGAGGCATACATCCAATTCCCGCAGGATGTTCTCGAGAACCTCGCGATTCCAATTTGGCTCGCTCAGAAGTTTGATGTCTGAGACATCGCCTAGTTTCGTCTTAATCCTAGCATCATATTCAACCATCCCCACTATCGAAAGATCTCTGGGTTGTTCAAGAGGCAATGGCACATCAGTCTGGCATGGTGACAATGATCAGCTTTGATGACCGTGCGATAAAGAGTTATGGATTGCGGCCCGTGACCGAGATGGGTACAATATGGCAAAACATAAGGGTAACATGTCCATTTCTTGTGGAGACAAAACTACTGTACACTAGGTATCTCAAAAGATAATGGCAACATTGCACAGATAGCCGTAGAGAAAACGAAAGGGTATGTCATGTAAAATGAAATGCGACTAAATGCACACAGATAATATGATAAATGAAATCTCACCAAAACGCTCGACACTACACCGCGAAAATGCCAATAATACAAACGAGAGCAACAAAAGAAACGAGAATCCCGACGATCAATGTCCCGGCGATGTCGGATTGCTCGGCAGATACTCAGCCGGTACCTTGGGTACACGCGGAGACCCAATCGTCTGCGCCATAGCACGTTGCTGTGCGCGGATCATCTCGCGCTGACGCTCCTTTTCGCGGTTCGTTGCGGCGCCACCTGTAAGCCGTCTCATTCCGCTTCGGATCATGGACTCGAGCGAATGTGATCCATCTGTCACGCTCCGCGTTGGCGGCCCCAGGGGATGCGAGATTGCCGGTTTGTTGATTGTCAGGCGATCGTCCATGTCAGACATACTCTCTTCGGGCTCGTCATCGGAGAAGAAAGCTGATTCGTTGAAACCAACGGATGGAGTATGATTTTGTGGGTTGGATGTTGGCGAGAACAGATTATTCACTGGGGATGTGATCGAACGAGTATGCGAGACTGGATACGATGCTTGAATAGGCGCGAGAGGTGGGGTGCTTGTCACGTTGCTACTGTCGATGCGCAGATTGGGCGGTCGAGACTCGGCCAAGCCGTTATGGAATGACGACGATGAGGCAGTCCGCGCGAGAGACTTGCGGAGAATAGGTGCCGTCTGTTGATCGTAGCGATTCTCGCTGGTATCCACATAACTACCTGAGAACCCTGACAACATGGTGTCTGAAGCAGGTGTCATTGACGAATTAATCGTCTCTGTTTCTTCAAAGAAATCATCAAGACTGTCCAGCTTCGACACAATGTCCCCCATATTACTATCCATTTGCGTGTCGATCGACTTCATCGTATCAGCCCGCATAGGGAAGAACGAATCATTGTATCCGTCCGTGTGGAACTCCACCTCAGTAGGAGCGGTTTCTTGCGCTTCCATGAGGTCGACTTCTGCACAGGTGTAGAACACAGCGTGGACGTTGTGTCGTGTGAGGCTTGACTGCGTAGCAGGCATCGGGATCGACCACCCTGTAGGCTCGGGTATACCGTACAAACTCTGGATCCGCTCGTATTCTTTGCGAATGGCCCGTGATGACGAAGACGACGCCATACTCATCCGAAGATGATGCCGCTCCATGGGATTGCCTGAAACAGTCATGATATGATCCATGACCTGCAAAGCCCGAGGGCAGAGATCCGTCTGCAAAAGACGTAAGAGCGGCGAGATCAGATCAGGTCCGTGACAAGTGACCTCACCCCTTCTCATATCGATATCCGGTATCAACACGCAGAGAATCTTCATAACCTTAACCCGGAACCAGTCGGTCGTGTTGGTCAACAAGCCCATGAGGAATATCAGACTGTACACGTCCTGTCGCGGGAAGTAATACGACCGGATCTCGGAGATAATGTGGTTCAGGAAGTCGCCCTCTGCCTTGTACTGTCCGTTGGCAAATCCTAGAAGCGAGGCTGCCAGTCGCGGACAGTTCTCGCTTTCCGCAACTCGAGCCAACATGGTGGCTCGAGCAAGAGTCTTCGGGTCGTCGACCTCCGAATCGAACTGATGGAGGAAATGGGCGAGGTTGGCCAGGATAGTAAACAACAACCGAGATCCGTCGCCAATAAGTTTGTTGTTGGGAAGACCACTCAATCGATGTAGAATATCCAACGCCCGACTGAAAGACTCCGAAGACTTCAATCCCTTGTAGACCAGATTCTGAAGACCATCAAAGCCACCTTCCCATCGGGGCGGCTGACCCTCGATAAGCTGTGTTACCACAGCCGGGTCGCTCATGTCGACATTGTCCATGAATTTCTCGAGCATGCCAACGCTCTCAATGAACTCAGTCTCGTGGATCGTGTTCAAACACGCGCAAGTAGTCCAGAAAAGCTGGGGATACCGCAACAAATCAGCGGGCGACAGAGAACTGATGATGATCTTAAGTGTGGTAAGGATCTCCATGGAGAATGTCTGGTAGTCAGCCTCTTCATCGGCAATCGTGTTGGAAAGTCGAGCAAGCATATCCGCAAGCATCCTAGAGTCCAACGACGTGGAAATACAGCGGAAAATCTGGAACGATCGACAAGCAAGATGGCGGACAGGGCAGGATGTCGCCCAATTCAATGCCTCCTTGGCCCAGAGATCGTTGACACCTTCGTAAGCAAGACTGAAGAAACCGACGACTTGACGGGTCACCGTAGACATTGACAATGGCACTCGGCTCGCCTCATCGATATCCTCCTTGTCACTGTTGTCCTCGTAGTCCCAGACAACCTTCGCATCACTCTTGCGGATAGATTCCACGAAATCCTCGACGGCCTGACGAGTTTCCACAGGCCCATCATCCTCAACCTTCGCAGCCACCAACTCATGAATCAGATGCACCAACATTTCTCGAGCCTGCTCTTGCACAGTGACCGTGTAATGATCCCACAGGATAAGGACAACGTGGAGCAACTTGACGACGTCTTCCAATGCCAGAGTGACCGGAGCAACCATCAAATCGACCAGGAAAATAAGGGCGACCTGACCAAGTGACAGGCCTGTCTGCTTGTTGCCAGCCGGCAACACGGCGCCCAAATCCGCGACGTACGGCAAGCTCTTGGTATCCGGAGGAGCCGGGGTGATCTCCTTCCTTTCCTGCACCATGTTCTTGGGAACGACCTGCATCAGGAAGAACTCGATCACCTTTGACCCAGCGAGTGTCCCAGATAGGAACACAACAACTTGTTTGGCATACTCGACAAAATTCCGCTCTTTGCGTTCCAGGCAGAGGTTGATGATGAAGTCGAGTACCAGCTGCACATTTCCGCCATGAGGACCCGTAGCCAGAGCCTGCCAGAGGGCTTGTACCTCGTTCGGTAATATAGTGCTAGATCGGATGGTTATCTCAAACAAATTTGCGAGCAACATATACGACTTGGCCGTCGGGCCACCGTTGGGATCAACCTGGAGTTCCATTGTCTGCACCCACGGCAGAATGGCAGCGACCATATTCCGCTGGCTGTCGGGCCGAATGTTCCTGAAGTGCAATGCAAACTCGGAAAAGAGAGTGAAAGCCAAGTCCGAGTGCTGCTTCGCCAGTCTCTTCGACGTCTCAAACTGGGCGAGCTTGTAGACGGCCGTGGTCTTGTCAGAAATGCTGATGTCGAAATCTTGGAGTCGGGAACTCTTCTGCTGACGTTCTTCCAGAATCCGAAGGAGCTTAGCAGACTTCATTCTTATTTCGCGCTTCTGATTGCCGAGGGTAACGAGCACAGCACCGAGGATTCTCCAGAAGTTGAAATGGTAATCAGTATTCTCTATGAGCACCTCAGTGACCACTTCGAAATAGCTTTCCAGTGCTTTCGGGCGCTCTGTAACGTAGCACATCTCAATAGACCGTTCGAGCAGGTACGAATGCTCTTTGTTGTGGATGATGAGGTTCTTGAATGCCCGTCTGCCAATGGCGTGCCACTTATCGCTGATGGTGTTGAAAATGATATCGACCCATGACAGCATACGTCCAACATCAAACTGGAGTACCACGCCGGTTTCTGTGGTGATACTAATCGGGCCTGCGCAAAGTGACGCCATGGCACTCAGAGCGGCCGCCCGTAGATTCTTTTTCTCAATTTCCATGGCGGCAGCAGTGTTACGCAGTTCGCCTTCATGGTGGGCGAATTTCCGCATGTGCTCCTCCCTTTGGGAGATCTGGGGCTGGTTGGGTGAATATCCACACCAATCCTCCATCAGCGAAAAGGCAGACTTCCGTGACTCGAACGGTATCCAGCGAGAAGATTCTTCTATTCGGTTGATAGCCTCGAAGAGCTCTTCCATCAATCCACAGTAATGGAACCGTAGCCGTTGAAATTCCCAGTCATTCTGGACTTCTGAGTCACTTAGGAATATGCGCAGGTCCTTGGTGTATGTGACTAGGTTATTGACGATCCAGTCGTCATTGTATACCTCCGGTTCACGAAGGAAGTGAGAGGTCAACTTGTACACATGCGTCACCTCTGTTCGCAATCTATCCGTCTTCCTGTTGCGTCGAGGACTGCTGGGAGACCGGTAATGTACACCGATTCTCATCTTAGCTTCTTCGTTGCAAGTCGTAACGGCATATTGAAGTGATTCGAGTAAAGTTCGGTAAAGGTTCTTGTTGATCGATCCCAGGGCGGCCACAATGGCACTCCGAATGGAATCGCGTTCAGCCGACAGTAAGGGGATGACAAAAGCAAATAGACTCCGGGCTGAGCTGATCTTATCCTGCGATTGCTGCTGGCCCTTGGACGATTTGCGGGCATGCTGAGCATTTGCCAATTGACTCTGCGACTGCGCACCAACGCTATTCAAAGTGGTGCAAGCCATAGCCAAATACAGCTTCCACTGTTCGATTAGAATTTCAGCTGTCATGCTGTTCCGACCAAATGTTCGAGCTTGCGTGACGTCCACGGGGCCATAGTAAGGAGGTCGAGGGTTCTCAGCAAGTGCAGTGATCGTCTTGTGCATTTGCACCAGTCTTGCGCAGACTATTTCTCTGCCCAGAGTGACCGCAAATGGACATGTCTCGAAACTGATACGAACGATGTTTGGGAATACCTTTGACCAGAGAGTCGAATCATACGACACCTCGCTGCTGCACAATTCGATAAGAGTATTTTGAGACGCACTCTTTCGCTTGCCCTTTTGAATGCGACTCCTTTCGGCGATCGTGAGTTGTTCGTCATTGACATCGAAGATATGCTGCGAGTCTGCCTCGAGGATTCTAATGATTCTTGTGTTCTCTTTGCCCAACGCGCTGTCGAATTCCGTGATTAACCGAAGCACCGTAATGGCAAACGCTCGGACTCTTCGTGATTGTGAACACAAGAAGAACAGTCCATGAGATTCGATTTCTTCGACGTGTGCAAGGACGGTAGAAAGGTCCAGCTGCAAAGCCCGGCTTCCAGTACTGGACTTATCCCCTATATATGTCCCAGCGCCCTTGGTCTTCTGCTTGATTTCCTCAATCCAGATTCCCAAAAGCTCAACATAGAGTCTCAGAGTGGATTCGATATGCCCCGGTCCCAACATTCCTTCGTCTGACATTGTAGAGTATCTAGCGTCAAAATTGAAGATGAACCTGGCAAAACCAATGGTAACTTGCTGCGCATGCGACTGCCGCGCGATAGCCTTGAGCGATTCGGCAGATGACGTCGCGATGTTTGTCTGAACGTGGGCGGTTCCGGTACACAACAGGTTGATCAACGAATTGAAAGGAATATGGTCAGACAGACAACGAGGAAGTGCCTGAACAGCAACATGCATCAAATCGTAGAAGCCCTGTTTTTGATCTCCTGTGTTTATATGGTCGTCACGCCGCGAGAAACCAAACGCCTCCGAAATGGGTGTCTTCGGGGTAGACCCGCCAAACTTCTCATCCAGTACAGCCTGTCCGCCAAAGGTATTGTCACACAAGAGCGTTATTTTGCCCAATATCTCACAAAAGCGAACGTAGAATCCTCTAATATTATCGCTCAACTTGGAGGTATTGACAGGACGCACGGGCGTTTGGTCCTCAGGGGTCTCCGTAGCACCTAGCACACGTGGATCAGCAAGTACTTGGGGCCGGTGCAGAGGAGCTGAAGTGGCCGAAATATCAGTGAAGGGGTTAGGGATCGATCCCGTGGGGAAAGGAGGACACAGTTGGTCACAATTCTCTAGGTCCGTCACAATCGCTATGAAGGAACGAATCCCAATAACCATTTTCTCTGGTTCCATCTGCTCGATCTTCAAGTCCTTATTAGACAGGAAGATGTCTGAGTTAATCAAAGGAAAAATGACGTTGCGAATGCAGACGTCGGGATGCTTAAACCCAATCATGCGGATCAATTGGATTAGAGGTTCAGCAACGGCTGGTTCGGTGGTCAAGTATGTCCTCTTTCCTAGAGGAAGGGCTATCTTGGCAACTTCATCGATTTTTCGAAGAGTGGTTGGAGGAGGGTCCGTGTGACGGAAGAAGTACGTCCAGAGTAGACGACACATGGCTTGTAGGGCGGGACCCCTAGTAGGGCGATCCTTCAGTCTCGCGGGAAGACTCATGATGACCGGAAGCCATTGTGACGAAAAGGTCTCCTTGGACGAGACGCAAAGAAGCAGCACGTGTAAAGGAAAGGAAGCGACCCAGTGGCGGGGTTTAGTGAGCATTTGCGACAGTCGAGATTGGACGAGCTCCAGAAACTCTTTCCATTTAGGTAGGGATAGGTCACAACCAGGATTTGCGGCTACAGGTAAAAGTAGCTTCTCAAAGATATAGCAATAGGCCTGCTTGATCCGCTGCCCATGAGCATTGCCAAACAGACGTGCCAGAGATCGCATAAATTCACATGATTTCGGCCATGTATCTGGTTGTGTTCTGATTTTCAGATGCCTCATTCCCAGGATAAGGAGCTCGACTCTTGGCTCCCCCTCTTTGGATGGACCTCGAAGGGTCTCCTCTTTCTGAAACCGGTCCAACTCTGACAGGAAGCGAGTCGAGACGCTCGAGAAGTTGCTTTCACTCATGATGCCCAGCAGCTGACCATATATTCTCCAGTTCGCCATTCGGAGCGGGGACGCTGAGATCTGATCCGGATCCACAGTCTTGAGTTGACCAAAAACGATATCCTCCAAACGGTCAGCCATGTCGAGCGTTATTGAGGCAAGGTTACTCTGGTTGAAAATTTCAATCAAGACCCGGCACACAAGGTAAACCGACACCGTAGCGCGCCGTTCGGCCAAGTGGACATCTTCTTGTCTGGATAAAAGGGTACTGGTACTAGGAGGGGCGGACGGGTCGGTATTAGCAGCTTGTGCTTGTTCGGCAGCCATCTGGAGAGGTTCAGTATTTCGTCGGAGCAGTGCAGCGGGCTCTGGGGGCGAGGGCTTTGGCTAGTTGTACATAGGTGTATTAGATTTGGGGGTCATGGTTCTGTTTGACTTTTTTATTGCATACCTGATGTGCTACGTGCTTGGCCGTAATCGCTGCATCCCCTTTGGCCTTTCGCCAAAACATAATAGTATCAATCAGAGGTTTTGGCTTTTGTCGCGAGATGTGCCCGAGTGCTGAGATCAATTGATCAAAGGTCGGATCTGCCCCGGGGCCGCATACTTCTTCAACCGGGGCTTCCAATTCCCCTAGTTTCAATATAGCCTGGTTGATTTTGTTGTCCGCTTGGCCGACAAACTGATCACTATTAGCAAAGTTCACGCACTTGTTCCACGGGAGGAAAGTATATCTCACCGAGTTGAAAAGATGGTGCAAGGCATATTCGCCCACCGTCCTCAATTCAATGTAATGCCTCGAATGCGAACGACTATGGGAGCGGTCCTGCCATGTTCTCCCGTTTGAGTTCATCCTTCTATGCACATGACTTGCTGGACTGCTATTGACGATGCTCGGAACACCTTGATCCTCCGATGATCCCTGCAATCCATGACTCGAGCCGTTGGCTCCGGGGCTCTGGTAGGTTGGCTGCATATCGGGCTGTTCCAGGCGTCCGAATGACGGGAGTTCCTGTTCATGGGCGCTAGCGCCAGTACCAATACCACCACCACGATTCAGCGATGCGATCAATTCGGGACTCAGAGGACTATTTGAGGTCGACGAAGCGGCAAAGCTCGGGTTGCGGGAGTGTTGGATTCCATGAACGATCGACGTCTGGCGGTGATGGCCATATGAGGAATTGGATGGGCGTCGTTCTAGTCCGTCATCGTATCCTAATTTGGGGCGTGAGGGTCCAGAGGTCTCGGGGCTCTTGGAATGGGATTGACCGCGGCGGTTGTTCTTAGGTTGTAAAGACGAAGTATTCAAAGCGGAAGGATCCAGCGCTCTCCCTCTAGTAGTAGTAACTGCAGAGGCTTCCCGACTATGCACCGCGGATGCCGGAGTACTCCTTGAAACAAAACGATCCGGTGGAGATGCGAGGCTATGGTGCGACACAGGGCTCGAATCATCGGGTATGAGGGGCATCGGAGTGGTGGATTGGACGGGGCCAGTCTTGATAAAAGGATGGGAAGCCACTAGAGAACCATTGCAGAAGCATGCGAGTCAGTAATGGCCTTTTTTTTTTTTTTTTTTTTTTTTTTTTTTTTTTTTTTCTCCTTATGTGTCTGATGGGTGATGTGCAGGCGCGTATTGCATGAACGCCGAGAAGGACGGTGGTGGTGGAGGGGAGATAAATTGGAAGGCTGAACAGAGCTTCCCTCAAGCCGCTTACTTTTAATTAAGATTATTAGGGGGTCTATAGTATCAATTCTTTCGGTTTTCGGCACTCTTGAAGCAGTATTATCCCGACAGCGCTCAGTTCACTGCCCGAAGCTCACGCTTGTTGGGGTCGACTTGAAGGACACGATCGAGTCGCACATTGTCGCTCAACAGTCGATGGCGGATAGCATAAAGGAGGGACTGCTGATGCTGGGTAGGGAATGTATCAGATTTGAATCGAATGAAGAATGCGAGAATCCCCTGGGAAGAGACGATGAAGGAGGCTGGTTGTTGTTCCTAAAGGGCGACCGGAAGAGAGGCGGAGAAGAAGTCGAAGCACGGGGATCATCCAGTTCAGGAGAGGTCAGGGAGAGGCATTTTGTATGGATATTGAGGATTATATCTATAAAGTAGAGGTATCTTGACTTCTTTTGGTTATGTCTTGGTATTTCTTTGATTGTCAAGTAGTGTGATCCATTCATCTACGGAGTACTCTGTAGCTACCAGGGGTATCAAACCTCCTATCTACGGAGTAGACACAATGAAAGCAATCATACAACACTTCAGGGACATATAAAGCTCGAAACGAAGTATATAATAAGCCCAGATATATCCTCCGTTTTCCAGAAACATGTGGGGTGCGCTTTTAATCACCCCAACTTTGTTCAACGCTCACGTGCTGCAGATACATATGTGCAAGTATTCTAGAGTATGGGGTCTACCACCTCTGCTATGGATTTCGACAAGATCAATTATGCTATTGGACGGATTTTCAAACAGTATGAATACTTTGGCGAGTGCATAGTGAGTACTCCGTACAGGGGCACTGCACCCAAGCACCACAATATCCGTTAAGCTAGCAACCGTACAACGTGATTGCTCCAATATGAACACGCTAGAACACGCACCAATTGCTATCCATACAAACCACGGCATCTTGTATCCCCAGACTATCTCTGCGGTGATCCTCGGCAGTGTTTACATTTGGACCGAGCTGTACTCCGTATGGAGTACTCCGTACGACCTGGTACATGCAGTCGAGTCTTGGATATTCCAGTTCGAGTGCGTGACATGGACAGAGACTCGAAGCACCTTTTATATCCTTCTCGTCGACGAAACATGGAATTCATGGCCGCTCTTGTGCGGAATCTGTCCGTCCTCTTCCGTCCACGAGATTCCCACTATGCCTCCGAAACGACCGAAATGGCCATTAGACTCGATCATATGCAGGAATGCCTTGCGCTCTGTCCTGTACTCTGCCGTCATTGCCCAATTGTCCGGCTGTATTGAAACCCCGTCTGCCTGTCATTCGGAATATCACCTCCGACCGCTCAGCATAGATACATTCATGACGGCTCAACGTGATCGATCTCCGGAGTTGGTTGTGGGGTAAAATCGAGCAGAACTCCGGAAGGCTGAAAGAACACCTCTTTACGGAGCATCTTGCCTCTTTTCTCGTCCCCCGGCTCTCCGTACACAGCGTGGGCGAAAGGCGGAACTCGGCTAGACATAGTTCGGCAGCTTGTTCGGGAGATTCCCCTCATGATTTGACCGACAAAGATGGAAGCGCCTCATTGCCACCCCCAGACTTGGACGGTCTTGTCCAGCTGGGGAAGACCTTGTGCCAGATTTCCAGTCGACCAAGCGCCGAAATCTCCTTCCGAGTCGACTGTTTTCTCGGGCTGATGCTCGGGTTGACTGTGGTCGCCCCCAATCCCCCACCAGAAGGAGGATGTGGTTATATATAAGCGAGCGTACACCGTAAAATTCCTTCTGTAGAGGACATTCTGTACTTTATTTTCTCTTTCCATATTGTCTGTTTCCCGTTGTATAAGTGCAACTTCCCGAGCAAACATATAGATCCCGTGACCGCCCTGAATAGACACGCACTGTGGGATAATGCAACATCCCTCATAATAGTGCCGGTTCCCTTCCGCTATCACACCACGTCTATCAAATTGCTGTCCTTTTCTTCGCTTTCTTTCCTTTTTCTTCAGCTTCCCTTTTTTTTTTTTTTTTCTTTTCTCTCACTGTGCCATCCCCTTTAGTGAGTGCCAATTGCTGCATTCGAGGGGCCTTTCATCTGGATATCTGGGAGGTTTTGTCCTCTCTGGTCTCTTCTCTCGCTTTCTCTTATCCTTTTTCCCTGCCCGGCTTGTCTTCAGCTTCCCGTTCGGCATTATTAGCGCCAGGGGAGTTCATTCCCTGGTTGGATTGCTCGCCTGGTTCGATTCGGACCAATTGCCACTATGGCACAACTCGATATTCTCGATGTGGCCGTCCTGGTGGTGCTTTTGGTAGGTAGCGTTGCCTACTTCACCAAAGGTTCCTACTGGGCGGTCCCTAAGACCTCTACTGCGACTCCGGCCGCGAACGGAGTCGCAAAGCCTGGCAAAACCAGGAACATTGTGGAAAAGATGGACGAGACTGGCAAGAACTGTGTTATTTTCTATGGATCGCAGACCGGAACCGCCGAGGACTATGCGTCTCGGTTGGCTAAGGAAGGATCGCAACGCTTTGGCCTGAAGACCATGGTTGCTGATTTCGAGGATTACGATTACGACCACCTGGACACTTTCGGCGAGGATAAGATTGCGTTCTTCGTGGTTGCGACTTATGGTGAGGGTGAGCCCACAGACAACGCGGCCGACTTCTACCAGTTTGCCACTTCCGACGACGTGGCTTTCGAGAGCGGTGCCGCCGCGGATGACAAGCCTCTGTCTTCGATGAAGTATGTCGCCTTTGGTCTCGGAAACAACACCTATGAGCACTACAACGCTATGGTCCGTCACATCGATACTGCCCTCACGAAGCTGGGTGCGAAGCGCGTTGGTGCTGCCGGTGAAGGTGACGATGGCGCGGGTACTATGGAAGAAGACTTTTTGGCCTGGAAGGAGCCCATGTGGGCTGCTCTATCGGAATCTATGACTTTGGAAGAACGTGACGCTGTCTACGAACCGGTATTCTCTGTTTCGGAGGATGACTCGACCAGCCCTGATGATGAGAATGTCTACCTCGGTGAACCGACTCAAAGCCATCTGGAAGGTCAGCCCAAGGGCCCGTTCTCTCCGCACAACCCGTTCATTGCTCCCATTGTCGAATCTCGTGAATTGTTCAACGTCAAGGACCGGAACTGTCTGCACATGGAAATCAGCATCGCTGGAAGTGGCCTCAACTACCAGACTGGTGATCACATCGCAGTGTGGCCGACCAACGCCGGAATTGAAGTCGATCGGTTCCTCCAGGTCTTCGGCGTCGAGGACAAGCGTGGCACGGTTATCAACGTCAAGGGTCTCGATGTTACCGCTAAGGTCCCCATTCCGACTCCCACCACCTATGATGCCGCCGTTCGTTACTACTTGGAAATCTGCGCTCCCGTGTCCCGTCAGTTCATTGCGACTCTGGCTGCTTTCGCTCCCGATGAGGAGACCAAGGCAGAGATCGTGCGCCTGGGTAGCGACAAGGATTACTTCCACGAAAAGATCACTGACAAGTGCTACAACATCGCCCAGGCCTTGCAGAGCCTCACCTCCAAGCCGTTTACTGCCGTCCCGTTCTCGCTGGTCATCGAAGGTATCAACAAGCTCCAGCCTCGCTACTATTCCATTTCGTCTTCGTCTGTGGTGCAGAAGGATAAGATCAGTATCACTGCTGTCGTCGAATCCACTCAACTGCCTGGTGCTTCCCACATTGTCAAGGGCGTCACTACGAACTATCTCCTGGCCCTGAAGCAGAAGCAGAACGGTGACCCCTCGCCTGATCCTCATGGTTTGACCTACGACATCACCGGCCCTCGCAACAAGTACGATGGAATCCACGTGCCTGTCCATGTCCGTCACTCGAACTTCAAGCTTCCCTCGGACCCTTCGAAGCCGATTATCATGGTTGGTCCCGGTACCGGTGTCGCTCCTTTCCGTGGTTTCATCCAAGAACGTGCTGCTTTGGCTGCGAAGGGCCAGAAGGTTGGCACTACGCTTTTGTTCTTTGGTTGCCGCAAGAGTGATGAAGATTTCTTGTATAATGATGAGTTCAAGGTTCGTTTTCCTTATTCATGTCTCCGATTCATTGATGACACTTGGCTAACATTCTCCCCATAGACCTACCAAGACCAGCTTAGTGACTCCCTGAAGATCGTCACGGCGTTTTCGCGTGAAGGTTCCCAGAAGGTGTATGTCCAGCACCGGTTGCGCGAACAAGCCACTCTCGTCAGCGATCTCCTCAAGCAGAAGGCCAACTTCTATGTCTGTGGAGATGCAGCTAACATGGCCCGGGAAGTCAACCTCGTCCTTGGCCAGATCATTGCCGAACACCGTGGCTTTGGACCTGAACGGGGTGAGGAAATGGTCAAGCACATGCGCAGCAGCGGTAGCTACCAGGAAGACGTCTGGTCATGATATTTCCTTGCATTGACTCCGTTTGTTCGAGTTCCTTTTTATTTTTTGTTTTTTATTTTTCTCTGATACATATATGTCTTTTTACATTATTGTTTTTCTTTCGGGACTCTTTTCCCATCTGGACGATATCGCATATATTCCCCCGCCTGATTCTGTGCCATACATTTTCTTTTCTCATTCGGCGCGGACTATGTATGCCTCATTTCTCACGAGTTGTGACGAAGACTTGGTTATTTCTATGAATTTTTTGGACGCGTCATGAGCAGGATAGACAGTGATAGTACAGGAAGATTGTATTCAAAAGCATTCAACAAGCATTCATTAGCACCCATATCGTGCTTTGGTAGACTACTCCGGAGTACTCGTAGCATAGATCGGTCATTGCGGAGTTAAGCCCAGCTTCGTCATGCAAACTTGCTCGGAGCTCCCGCAGAGAACTTCGACTCTCCCCACGGCATAATCTCATCCTCTATTCCATCGGATCCTGATGGGAGCAAACAACCACTGAAGATATGCTGATTTTCTTTTTTACTTCACATTGAGCTTTTCACCTCCTGTCTCTATTCGATTGAGCGGCGCTCGTGACGACTCCCCGCAGTGGTTCTCCACCACCGGCACCTGGATTGATAGCAACAACCGCCAGTCAACGTCGAGAGAATGGCCTATGTCGTGCCAATCCACCGAGCCAGCAGCATCCGGCATGCGCTCAAGCTGCAGTTTCTGAGACCGGAGGAGGAATCCTTGGTTGTTGCGTTGGTCTTGCCCCTCTCGTCCTTGGAAAGAGTCACCTCGACCGGCTTTGCTAACCATACGCATGCTGGAATAGGAAAGCGAATCGACTGGAATTCTACTCGTTGACTCCTGATGGGCTGGTTCTCACTGCTTCGCGGGCCCTTTATGCCCGGGTGACGATGCTTGCTCGACTCCCGGCCCCGGCCAATTTCCCTACCGATCACCTCTTCGTCGGAACCGATCAATACAGTTATTTTACATTATCGTGGGATATCGAGAAGAACCAGGTTCGCACGGAGCGAAATTTCGTCGATATTTCCGATCCCTCAGCCCGGGAATCCCAAACAGGCAACCGATGCCTTATCGACCCAAGCGGACGGTTTATGACGCTAGAGATCCACGAGGGTGTAATTGTGGTCGTTCCTATCGTGCAACTGCCGACAAGGAAGAAGGGGAGGAGTATAACGGTGGATTCTGGTCCCAATGCGCCGCGAATCGGGGAGTTGGGGGAACCGGTGCTTTCGAGGATAGAGGAGTTGTTTGTTCGCTCTTCGGCCTTCCTGCATGTGCAGTCGGATAAGCCGCGTATGGCACTGCTGTACGAAGATAACCAGAAGAAGGTTAGGTTGAAGGTTCGGGAGCTTCATTATACAACAGGCACGGCTAGTACGCCTACCGAAGCAGTGTTTAAGGAGCCGGAGCCTTTTTTGCAGGAATTGGATCTGGGTGCCTCTCATTTGATACCTGTTCCAGCTCCACTAGGTTCGTGCTTTTGCATTGTCATATCTACAGGGAGATTACCTTGGTGCGGCTGCTAACAGACACAGGCGGTCTGTTGATACTAGGGGAGACATCGATCAACTATGTCGACGTCGATAATAATGAGAGCTTCTCTCGATCTCTTGATGACGCGACTATCTTCGTCGCGTGGGAACAAGTGGATAGTCGACGATGGCTGCTAGCGGATGATTACGGAAGACTATTCATCCTGACGCTTGTGCTGGATTCGAACAACCAAATTGGCAGCTTGAAGCTGGATCATCTGGGCAACACATCCCGGGCTTCTGTCTTTGTCTATCTTGGTGGAGGTATTCTTTTCGTTGGGTCTCACCAAGGAGACTCTCAGGTGATTCGGCTTGAAAAAGACTCGCTCGAAGTCATTCAAACTTTGTCGAACATCGCTCCTATCTTGGACTTTACAATAATGGATCTTGGAAACCGGACAAGTGAAAGTCAAACGCATGAGTTCTCGTCGGGACAAGCTCGTATCATCTCTGGTTCAGGTGCCTTTGACGATGGGACTCTGCGAAGTGTGCGTAGCGGTGTGGGCATGGAAGACTTGGGTTTATTGGGTGATATGGATCATATCACGGATCTATGGGGCTTACAATCGGGGAATACAGCTGGTGACATTCTTGACACGCTGCTCGTTACGTTTGTCGACGAAACACGAGTTTTCCGCTTCGGTCCTGATGGCGAGGTTGAGGAATTAGATGACTTCCTTGGTTTAAGCCTTTCAGAAAACACGATTCTTGCTGCCAACCTACCAGGAGGACGGATATTGCAGGTTACTGAACGGAAAGTCCTGATTGCAGAGATCGAAAGCGGAATGGTGACTTTCGAGTGGATGCCACCAAACGAGCAGATTATCACAGCTGCCTCATCTAACGATGACACTGCAGTCCTTGTGACGGGTGGTCGAGCGTTGATAGTCTTTAATGTCAGAAATGATGCTCGGGTCATTGCCCAGAAAGAGTACAGCGCAGACACTCAAATCTCTGGTGTCACAGTTCCCTCTTCGCCCACGGGAGTTTGTATTGCGGCTTTCCCTCAGTTAGCGCAGGTTTCAGTTCTCCAATTGAAGGATCTACAAGAGTTGCAGACAAAGTCACTTGGTCCTGCTGGTGAAGCTTTCCCTCGGTCAGTTCTTGTCACCGATGTCCACCAGGCAGGTGTTCCTACGCTGTTTATCTCGATGGCCGATGGCACTGTCGTCACTTTCTCATTCAACGTTCAAGATTTCTCTTTGACGGGTATGAACAAGTTGATTCTTGGATCTGAGCAGCCTATCTTCAAGAAGATCCCTCGAGGACACGGGTTGTACAACGTGTTTGCAACGTGCGAAAACCCAAGTTTGATCTATGGCTCTGAGGGCCGAATAATCTACTCCGCCGTCAACTCTGGGGGCGCTTCGCGTGTCTGCCATTTCCATTCCGAAGCGTATCCCGAAGCGATCGCGGTTGCGACTGCTCATGACCTGAAAATTGCCCTAGTAGACAAAGAGAGGACGACCCAAATCCAGACACTCCCGATCGGAGCTACTGTCCGCCGTGTTGCCTACTCATCTCACGAAAAGGCATTCGGTATCGGTACCATCGAACGAAAACTGGTCCAAGGGGCGGAGATTGTTAAGAGCCAATTTGTGCTTGCTGATGAAATCCTCTTCCGTCGGTTGGACGCCGTTGACCTTAAAGAAGAGGAGTTGGTGGAGAGCGTGATTCGCGCTGAATTCGCTGCTGGCAAGGACGAGACTGGGAAAGATGTGGTCAAGGATCGGTTCGTTGTCGGCACGGCTTATTTGGATGACGAGGAAGATGAATCCATTCGAGGACGGATATTGGTGTTTGAGGTTGATAATGGTCGGAAGTTGACGCAGGTTGCTGAGCTTCCTGTCAAGGGTGCTTGTCGGGCTTTGGCTATGATGGGGGAGAAGATTGTTGCGGCGCTTGTTAAGACGGTGAGTATCTATCCTTGCCAACTTGAATTGATTGCTGACTCGTATCCAGGTCGTCGTCTACAAAGTGGTAAACAACAACTTCGGATCAATGAAGCTTGAAAAACTCGCCAGCTACAGGACCTCAACGGCACCCGTGGACGTGACGGTAACAGGAGACATTGTTGCAGTGTCTGACCTGATGAAGAGTGTCTCCATTGTACAATACAAGGAAGGCCAGAACGGCCTCCCCGGCTCCATGACTGAAGTATCCCGACATTTCCAGACCGTTTGGGGTACAGGCGTTGCCTGCATCGCGGAGGATACTTTCCTCGAAAGCGATGCTGAGGGCAATTTGGTCGTCCTCCGTCGTAATGTCAATGGCGTGACGGATGATGACAAGCGCCGACTTGAGGTGACCAGCGAGATCTCGCTGGGCGAAATGGTCAACCGGATTCGACCGGTGAATATCCAGCAGCTGGCTAGTGTGACTGTGACTCCACGGGCTTTCTTGGGAACGGTATGTCCTTCCCTTTGCCTTTATTTTATGTCTGTCTTGCTAACGAATTATGAATAGGTCGAAGGCTCAATCTACCTCTTCGCCGTGATCAACCCCGAACATCAAGACTTCCTTATGCGCCTTCAAGTCATAATCGCCTCCTTCGTCGACTCCCTCGGTGCCCTGCCATTCAACAAGTTCCGCGGATTCCGGAGCATGGTTAGGGAAGCTGATGAGCCGTTCCGGTTTGTGGATGGGGAGCTGATTGAGCGGTTCTTGGACTGTGATGCGCACGTGCAGAAGGAGATTGTGTCGAGGGTGGGTGGGATGGATGTTGATGGGGTTAAGGCGATGATTGAGGCGTTAAGAAGATTGCATTAGTTTGATTAATGATTACGATTGCGTATGAAGATATTGGGATAATTCGACGTTCATTAATGTTTGATTAAGTTCTATCAGTAGTACAGTACATGCGCCCACCATTAGATTCCGCGTACGTCGCACAGAAGAGTACAAGTCCGATGACTCGTACATTGAAGAAAAGCAAAGATGCGGTGATTAAAACATAGACGGATGATCAAAAAGTCTACACGCGTCGCAGCCAGGAGGACGGATGGACGACGAATGAAGAAAAAATTACTCCTTCTTCTCACCCTGACCCTCGTCCTCACTCCAATCCAACATCTCCAACAACTGCTCCTCACTCAGATTATGACTGGGCTGCTTCTTCTGCCTCCTGCGCACATTCTTCCCCCACTCAGGTACCCCACTCTCCTTCGCAAACCGAACCGCCTCCCCTTCCTCATCATCATCAACCTCATCATCCGTATTCTCCACCTCCCCCAACACCTTCCCACCCTCCTCAGCAGCAGCAGCAGCAGCAGGCTTCCCACTCCGCAAACTATTCGCAGAAACCTTCGCCTTCTTCCCCTCACTATACCCCGTCGCCTCAGCCTGCTTCTTCTCCTTTTCCTCGCGATTCTTGCGCTCGCGGTCACTCGACCAGCGGAAGAACCGCTCGATGTACGGCCGGATGATGATGTAGAAGACCACAGAGCCGATGACTTTTGTCCAGCGCGTGGAGGAGACTTGCGCGAAGGAGTTGTAGAAGTTTGTGGTGAAGCGGGTGAAGCCGGCTTGGGCGACGCCGAAGACTTGGCTGAAGAAGTCGTTTATGGCGTCGTGGACGAGGTCGTTGAAATCGGGTTCGGCGGCCATTTTGGTTGCTTTCCCGGATGTGTGATTTGATTTAGATGGAAGGAGGGGATTAAGGTATTAGGATCCTGGTATTGGATCTGGTAGAGTAGAAAAAACAGTGAATCGTCAATTCATGTAAAAGTAGTGAACAGGTTGGTGTAAAAAAGGAAATATTTCGTTGCAACTTTCGCTTCAATCTGTCTGCTTGCCTTTTCGGGTTAGCGCTGTCCAGCGCGGATAAACCGGCATATCCATTCTCCGCTTAGCTGACAGGAGCCAATCACATGCGGTCTGAGAACGCGTCTCGCGTCCAGGAAGGGAAAGATATCGTTGTCGTTTCTTATACTCGTTCCTGTGCAGTTTTAAAGGATCAAGGGCTGTTACTACAATGGAGCAAGACGAGAGAATTGGCTTGGAAGAGGTATGTCACTGTCTTAGTTGCCCCTTGTATCAATAGCTCTGTTGCTGATATTCTAGCACAGCGCCTCAAATCCGCTCTATGGCTCTCGATTGGGAAAATCGTGGATGAAGAGACTATCAAGTTGGGCGCGAATGCTACGCCTCAGTTTATCGGGGCTTTGACGGAGATGGTTTGGGCTCAGATTGGTGTGTATACCTTGCCCAGGTGTATACCACGGTGCTTGTGCACTGTATTGTTTCTATGCTCTAAACCGGAGACTAATGACAACGCAATGAGCAGAAACGTCCAGTCAAGACCTTGAATCGTTTGCCAAGTGAGTACCACCCTTCTACGTCTCCGAGTACTCGGGGCTAGCGCAAGCATGTCATTCAAGCAACCATGGCCGTACACGCCACTCTGTTTCCTTTTCTTGTTGAGAAAAGTGCCAATACTTGCACAGCATCATCCTATGAAACAATCTCGACGTCAAAATAAGCGCGCAGTAACTGACATCGGATTTTCCGTTCTAGGCATGCCGGACGCTCGACTGTCAACGTCTCCGATGTGCTGCTGCTTGCTCGTCGCAATGAGGGATTGGAATCTATCTTGCGCGCTTTTATTGACAAGCAGCGCGAGGATAACGAGAATGATGCTTGATCAGATGTTGTATCGCGTTGTTCTATCTCAGGTGACCGTGGCTACTGCGACTGGACAGTAGCAGTGTTGGCGGCGATAGACTTCCAGTCAGGATGATTGGTTATACACATCAGTGATATCCCCAGTCTGTCTAATTGGCTCCATTGTGAATTCTATGTACTAACAATTGCCAGTACAAAGTGTATCTTGTCTTCATACACGCTCATTCGCCGCAACTTATGACGCCACTTCTCCGCAGAATACAACCCGTATCTCCGGAACCGCGCAGCACCCCGGAATAAGACACTTGGCCGAGATGAATAACCTGCATTCTCGTCTGACATGGCGAAATCCTCACTCCGATCCTTGGAATCTCGTTGGCAAAGCGAAAGCAGCGGTACATTTCTTGATTTAGCCAATCAGAAACGCATGGTCCGATCGACCAAGATCCCGTCATGTCTGGTTGATAGCTGTCGAATCAAGCTTCCATGGTCGATTGTTCAACGTCCCGGTGGCTTTTGGCCAATGATTGTTGCGCGTGCTACGGAGGCTGGTTTGCGTGGTGCATGGTGTGATTCTACTATGGCTTTGTGTTTGGAGCAGTCGATTTGAGTTCTATCTAATGACGGAAATACTGTTTTTTAACGTCATTGCAACATCTTCTGTTCATAATTTAGCGTTCCACTTATTTAGTATCTATAAAACCCAGAGACGAATACCTAAGGTAGTCCCAGTCTACTGTTCTTGTATCAAACGCTTGACTTGGCCAATATAATCAATCGCAATGATCGGGAGAAGTAAATCAAGCCTAAACCTAAACGACTCAACCCAAACCCAAGTCGAAAGACCTACAAGAAACCTCCAGAGAATGCGAAACAGCATCACAACGGATAGCATTGACACACTACGGACAACGCTGAAAGCTGCGCCGCTGATGAAGTCGGTACGGTTTCATGGACCCGGGGATATCCGGGTCGACGAGATTGATGAGCCGTTTTGTAGAGCGGGAGAGGTTAAGATTCGGCCTGCTTTTGTTGGGATTTGTGGGAGTGGTATGTCTTCCTCTGGAAGGTTTGATGAGCAAATGTGCTGACGACGCAGATCTGCACGAGTATATGAGTGGGCCGATTTTGATTCCGAAAGAACCGCATAATATCACAAAGACGAAATTTCCCGTGACGATGGGGCATGAGTTCGCGGGTATCGTAGAGGATGTGGGAGACGGCGTGACGAATGTCTCTCCAGGACAAAGGGTGGTTGTGCGGCCGACGATTTATGACGGGTGCTGTAGCTCGTGTAAGTTGGGAATTGAGTACTGCTGTGAGAATATCGGGTTTATCGGGCTATCTGGTGAGCAGCTCTTGCTCTTTTCCTGACGGGACAAAGGCTAATGAATAGGCTATGGCGGCGGAATGGCCAAATACATGACCGCACCCAGTAACCACTTCTACCCCATCCCCGACAAAGTCTCTCTCGAAGCCGCGGCCCTGATCGAACCACTGGCAGTATCCTGGCACGCCGTCAACGTGTCTCCTTTCAAACCCAACCATAACGTGCTGATCGTTGGCGGCGGTCCAATTGGGATCGGCATCGTGCAGGTCCTCAAATTGCAAGGCGCGAAAAACGTCATAGTTTCCGAGATGATGGAGAGTCGTAAGAGATTCGCGCTGGAGTACGGTGCAACGCATGTCCTGGACCCGTTACAGGTTGACGTGGCCGAGAAAGTACGGAAGATTACGAACGGTATCGGTGCGGACGTGGTATATGACACGGCTGGTGTGGAGATTGCGCTGAATAGTGCTATCCGTGCTTGTCGAACGCATGGGAGTATTGTCAACATTGCGGTTTGGAAGAAACGGCCTGCGATTCATGTGAATGATCTGATGTACCATGAGATCAAGTATGAGGGTGCGACGTTGTATGATGAGGAGTCATTCCGGGATGTTATCAGGGCGTTGAGCTATGGTAAGCCCCTGTAGGCAGTTCAAAGACACGCATTCTAACAGTGTCAGGTCAATTGCAACCGGAGAAAATGATCACCGGGAAGATAAGGCTGGACGAAGTGGTGGACAAAGGATTCAAGGCCTTGGCAGGAGAAGAACGAGAGAAGCATTGCAAGATCCTGGTGGACGTGCAGAGTTAGCTGCATACAAGTACTTACGCTATGTACTTGTAGGAGGAGAATAAAGAGGAGACGATCACATGATAATCACGAGGCAGTGATGTGGCTAAGCAAACATACCTGATTGGGAATGGCTGTGTGCAAGTCATAGTGGTGACTACCCCGGCCAATAATAAACTAGCTCCACCTTAATCCCAGCAAGCCTTGGTCACGCTCTACATATCCACCAATCGCAACCCACAGCCAGGCTCAAAAAATGCCAAGTGACATCACTTGGTTGTGGCTCGTGGTTCCAAACCGTCCATGGTTTCCCGATTGAGCAAAACACCGGCCCTTTTTGGCCATGGATCGTCCCGAAAAGGCCTGTGGGTGGGCCGTTGTGTAACCGGGGAACCCACAGTCTCTCTCCCCCCCTGGGACCCTGCCAATGCCAATCTTGTTGCCTCGTCAGAGACTTGAATTTTCGCTGCCTTCTTACAAGTATTCTTCATCTTCTACTCTATACAACACTTCATAACTTATTCCTTACTTATTCCTGACTTATCCTCTCAAGTATCTTGTGTGGATATCTCATATACAAAATAACTATTCTTTATTGATCCCTCCCTAAATTGTTTATTTACGATCCCAGCCACCAGGCACCAGGAACCCACCGAGAATGGGATTTGGAGGCTTTGTGCTTCGCTTTTTCAACCTCACCATTCGAGTACTGCAGCTACTCGATGGCGCCGTCATTCTAGGGATCTTTTCCTACTTCCTCGCCATCCAAACCAAGCATAATGTCGAAATTCCACAGTGGATGCGGGCCGTGGAAGGTCTTAGCGGCGCGGCCACACTATATGGATTACTGGGTTGCATTTTCACCTGCTGCTTAGGAGGCGTTGCCTTCTTCGCGTATCTTGCGATGCTGCTTGATGTGCTCTTCGTTGGAGCCATGATTGCCATCACCGTGTTGACCCGTGATGGTCCCCAGAGTTGTCAGGGACAGGTCGATACACCGCTGGGATCGGGGGATAGCAATGATGATTCCCCGGCTGAGTTGAGCTTCGGTATGGCCTGTCAACTGCAAAAGGTTGTTTTTGCAGTGGCAATTATTGGAATGTAGGTTTTCACCTGCCCCTACATCTGTGACTACTTTGCTAATGCCAACTGCAATAGTGTCTTCTTCCTCATCTCCATCGGCTTGCAGGCTCTCTATCGTCACAATCACAAGCGCGAGAAGCGGTTCGGTCCTTCCCCTCACAACAACTACACCTACGGCACCCGTCGCGGCCGTGGTTTCTTCTGGCGCCGCAATAAGCACAACCCGGACAGCACCGCCAACCCCGACGATGCTCTCCCCGGCCACCCTACACCTCAGGATGTCGAACTTGGTGCCAACCCTGAGAAGTCGAACGGTAGTGGATTCTTCTCGCGCAACAAGAACAGCAATGCTGGTGCCAACGGATACGGCAACTCGGCGTATACGGGTAACTATTAAACCGTCTGGGCCCGAACGGTTTAGCCCGATGAGAAAAAGAATTTAATGATAATTTCGAAATCGATGTTTATGATTTCGCTTGCTATTTCCTTTGTTGATCTGCCGGATAATAACCGGCTCGGTTTGGAGTCTACACAGTGCTCCCGTTCCGTCCCTTGGCTATGGCGACGGGAGTCTAATGATTGATGAACTGAGATACCATTCTGTCGTTGATTTTACAGTGATTTGTTTGGTTGTGTATACTATCTAGCTAGCTTAATGTATGCATGGACGTATTACATGCATACATCTCCACGTTGCTTGCATTCCGACTTCTGACATGTCAGTACCTGCACCTGGGATTGGGATCTTGTAAGCTTAGTCGAGCGGATTGTAAAGGGGTCTCGGAATGAGTCTTATTCGCTATGCTATGTTGATAGGTATTCAAGCGTGCGTAGATGTCTTGTGAAGCTGGCAAGGGACATTACCCCTTGCTAATTACTGCGCAACGCCGTACGACTGCATACCAGAGCCCGACCAGGGCTAGGCGAGTGATCGTTATCTCGATGGACCTGCTTATACCATATGATTACAGGCCAAACGCACTCAGTCTTACACTTCACACGTAGGAAACTACGAAGGGCATAAGATAGATGGAAGAGTGGGGGCGTTTACTGCAAGAGTTCAAAAAAAAAAAAAAAAAAAAAAAAAATATTAATTTCTGAAGTAAACTACGAGAGGAAGTGAAAACCATAAAATCCGTTTGTTCAAGTCAAATCATTACACAATGTGATACAAAGACACCATTAAGACATCCAAGTCCAAGAAGACAAAGACATCGATAATGCAGAGATCAAAGATCGAAAAATTCTAAAATACAAAAAGAAAGCCATAACCAAGCCCGACATCTCCAAATCCCAATCCCAATCCAAAGACACTAAAGAGCATCATCCGTTTGTTTACCAAAACACAAAGAATCACCTCGCTCCGGACAAGAGAACCGTGATCATGATCAAGGTAGCAAGTAAAATCAGACAGGTCTGGTGCAAGAAACATGTAAGAGTAGAAGAGGCTTAAGCCCAGGTGATCTTGTCATCACGGCAGATAGTGCCCGCAGCGACAGAACCCATGGCGATCGGGGAACCGTCGGCGGTGAAAAGAGAGAAGTTCTTGCCGTCAGGAGAGCAGGCGATGCCACCAGGAGGACCCCAGGCGTTGTGAGGCTTACCACCATGGCCGTGGCCCTGACCGTGTCCGTGGCCGTGAGCAGCTTGACCCTGAGGAGCAGGAGCGCCAGTGGGAGGACCGAAGCGGGGCTCAGAAGCAGTGGTACCAAAGGCCACGGGATGCTTGTTCTCAATGCCGCCTTCGCGCTGGTAGTCGAGGATAGAGCTGGACATGGGAGCGTTGGCGTTGTCGGGCGCGTTGCTATTGTGGCTGGACGACGATTCGGTGGAGTTGGAGCTGGAGGTAGTGCTGCTGCCGGAGTCGGAAGCGAGGAAGTCGGCGTCGCCATCGCACTTGTAACCCTTGCCCTCGACGGAGCCCTCAACGGAGGGGCCGGGCTTGGGGAAGTTGACGTCCTTGCCTTCGACGGTCTCGCACTTGCCAGGGCCGTTGACGTTGGCAATGAAGATGGGAGGCAAGCTGTCGAAGCTCTGGGCGTCGGTGGTGCGAGTGGTAGCGTTGTTGGCGTCGATGTCGTCGTTATCAGCGTTGCTGACCATCTCGCGGCTCTGGCTGCCGCCCTTGCTGCCAATGTTGACCTGAGCACAGTTCATGTACATTTCACGGTTGCCGACCTTGTTGAACCAGCTCCAGGCAAGTAAAGCCTCACCAGAGGGAACGTCAGATGGGACAGTGAACTTGTACTCCTTGTCGATGGGGCAGCCACCCAGAATGGAGTGGATAACCTGGAAGGTCTTGCCCTGGTCGTACGACAACGAGATCTGGCAAGAACCGCCCTTGTGAGTGGCACTACCAGCGAGCTTCAGAGGGTAGCTACCGCCAGGGTTGTAGTTGGCAGTCGCGTTGAACGGGTCATCCGCGTAGCCCTTGCACGGAAAGTCAGAGCCATCAGTCGACAGCGGGTTGGTGTACGAGTAGTCCTTCTTGCCGTTGTTGTCCTTGTTGAGGGGACTGCGGATAGGGAAGGGTTCGCTCATCTGCATGTGAGCTGAAACAGACGAGGCCAGGAGGCCCGCCGCAAGGAGGAAGTTCTTCATAATGAAGAATCTTTCAAGGGTAGTTTGTTTTGAAAGAAAGTTGGGTTGGTCGATGCCTTCCAGGGCAGTTAAGAAGATCGCTGAAAGGTGAAAAGGAAAGAAAAGAAGAGAACGATGGGTTCTATGGGTTGGAAAAAGAGAAGGAAAGAATACTGAGAGAGCAGGTTAGTGAGGGGATATTTATACCTTTGTGGGTGGTTAGGGCATAGAGCAGAATGACAGTGAATGTAGATGCATGAGACAGCAGTGAATGATCACAATGCTTAATGTGAGACTCCATGGCCTTTCATATGATTCACAAAGAGAAAAATACCTCACTTACAGTGAATTGTTTAAAAGCCAATTGAAGTGAATGACCTCTTCTCCGTAGGAAGATGCTGGATAGATACAGAGTTCGAAAAACCAAAGGAACGGCAGGCAGGGAAGACAGCCTATGGTTGAGACTTCGGCTCTCTACGGAATAAACAGGATCACCTTAAGTATTTACACCCCAATGGCGAATTCCTTGCCATGTTTCTGGCACGGGTTGGTTGCTGATATGGAATGGCAGATACCAAAACAAGCAGTCCCTTTTGGAATGCGACCAGCCAAGCATAATAAACCGAGCGCTTCTATTTCCATTTCCCCCTGCCATACCGTCGACGTCAGCCTCTGAAGCGCCTATTTATCGTTTATACGTACCTCAGGGCTAATTGCAGCGCTTATTCGCAGCATTGAAGAATCCCATCCCGGTTACTCCCACAGATGACGAGCAGCTCGTCGTCATCCGGCGCAGATTAAGTTATCGTCGGTGCATATTCGATCAGCAGGGCATTGCAGAATCTGTCAGCAACGGAGATCATTTTCTGTTGTGCTAGCTGGGGATCCTGGGCTCTACGGATGGTGGCATACTTTATAGTGGTGGACGGGTGAGGTTGCTCTGGGGCTGAGCAGCGTTCTCCCCACATTGCGGTTGGCGGCGCCCTATAATGGGTTCAAATTTGGTTAAAGATTAGTTATAGACCTCCCCGGAAGTCCCGGTAAAGAGTCCCTAAAATTGGGCTTTAAAAATCCACGTGCTTTCGCGTCTTCCGCGTTTTTCTGCGTCGTTTCTCCAACTTCGGCTTTTCAACCACTGGGATGCCGCCGGCAGTACCTGCTAGACCTGTGCTCCCAACCGTCCTACTCTCTCATACTTCTCTACTCCATGCAACTATTTCTAACCATAATCTCCGCTGAATGTTTTGTCCTTCCTCTCACTGCCAGAGGTCCGCTCGTTCGCTTGCTCTGTCCTGTCCGCATACCACCGTCCGTTGTCATGACGCCCGGGCATTTTCCGTCACGTCCACTTCCCAGTCTGGCTTTCGCCACGCTCCTTCGTCATGGCGGATGACGCGCCCCGTTACCGTGGCGAGTTCCAGGAAAAGCTTGTCTGTTGTGCCTGCGCCATGGCCAGATCTCGTCTCTCACACTCTTGTTCGTCGTACGCGCCTTGATAGACTGCATTCCGCTGCCCGACTATCGAAGCTCGCAGGATCGGCAATCCCAAATCCATACTCATCCGTTAGACTATTCTCGTCCGGGGCAGCGTGTGGCGCGATGAAGGCTGAAGATCCGAATGCTAGTGCTGGTATCATGGGCGCTGAAGACGCGGTCCCACCCGGCATGCCGGCGCAGGATGGCTCGTTAGACCCGGAGTCCGAGGAGGATGTGCCTCTCGAGCCGGAGGAGCTGCAGGATGCTTTGACTCGACCTCCGCCGGTCAACAGTAGCTATCTACCCCTTCCTTGGAATGGACGCTTAGGATATGTGAGTTTTTCTAATTGCTCATATTTGCTCATGTTCTCATAAGCAATAGGCTTGTTTGAATACGTATCTACGGTACTCCAATCCTTCGGTATTCTGCTCACGAACATGCCGTATCGCTTCGATCCTCGAAAACCGCCATCCGCTGCAAGACCCCTTGCAACCGCCTCATCCAACCAAGAACCGCCCTGACCGGGAAAAGCCTCCAGATGTCGCTCGTGGCCAGACCTACGTGGAGTCCATAGGTGTCGCCAATGCTCGCGATCTCACCAAGATACTCGAGTGGAACGATAAATATGGCATCAAGTTCATGCGCCTGAGCAGTGAAATGTTTCCTTTCGCCAGTCATAAGGAATATGGGTACAAACTGGAACCATTTGCTGCAGACGTCATGGCCAAAGTAGGTCGACTCGTAGCCGACCTGGGCCACCGCGTCACGGTCCATCCTGGTCAATTCACCCAGCTGGGCTCTCCGAGAAAGGAGGTTACAGAGAATTCATTTCGCGATTTGGAATATCATTCCGAAATGCTACAGCTTTTGAAGTTGCCGCCACAGCAGGATCGTGATGCAGTCATGATCCTCCATATGGGCGGTGTATTTGGTGACAAGGAGGCGACTTTGGACCGGTTTCGAGTAAGCTACGCCAATTTGTCGCAGGACATCAAGAATCGACTGGTTCTCGAGAATGATGACGTGAGCTGGTCGGTCCATGATCTGCTCCCTATATGTGAAGAGCTCAACATCCCGCTTGTCCTGGATTACCACCATCACAATATTATCTTCGACTCGGGCCAGCTTCGTGAAGGTACGCTGGATATCATGGGTCTCTATGATCGCATCAAGGCGACTTGGACGCGCAAGAACATCACGCAAAAGATGCATTACTCGGAGCCCACTCCAGGTGCAATTACAGGTCGCCAACGACGGAAGCACAGTCCTCGTGTTGCTACTCTTCCCCCTTGTGATCCGACAATGGACTTGATGATCGAAGCCAAGGATAAGGAGCAGGCCGTTTTCGAATTGATGAGGACATTCAAACTGCCAGGTCATGATCTGGTCAACAATATCATCCCGTACATCCGGACAGACGAGAACAAACAGTTCAAGCCGCCTCAAAGGTCTCCTAAGAAGAATGGATTTGTTAACCTGGAAGCTTTGGTTCCTCCAGAGCGAATCTTTCCTGAAGAAGAAGTAGGCATGGGTGGCCCTGAGCGAAGAGTATATTGGCCTCCTGGGATGGAAGAGTGGCTTCGACCAAAGAAGGTTATTCGAACCAAGGCAGCCCAGACTGGGACCAAGAGAAAGAACAACAAGAAAGCGGCCGAGACTACGACACATGAAGACGGTGAGGCCGAAAATGGTGCGGCTGAGACTGCTGCGCCTGAGGCTGGTGCGCCGGAAACGCCAATCCGCAAGACCACGGCACGGGTCAAGCGTACGGCTAGTGCGAAGAAAACAACTACGACCAGGAAGCGCAAGGCTTCGGAGACGCCTGTTTCGACGCCACCGGAGTCGAACGACGAGGCTGCGGAACCAGTTGAATCACCCGCACCTACTGCGTCACGAAGAGACCGTCGAAGTGGACGGGCAAAGAAGGTCAACTATGCGGAGGAAAGTGAGGCAGGTTGATCGTGGTGACATTGGACCTTGTCTGTGCAGAGCATCGGTTTGTCACTCAACAGACTTGCCTCTTCTGAGGATGGCATAGGACCTGCCAACGTGCAAGTCCACTATAAGACCATCGCTTGCTGAGAAGCTAACATTCAGTCCAGCTCTCAGGATTCTTCAGTTCCCCGGATGCGAGTGATATTGCGTTCGGCCGTTGAGTCTAGGATAGATTCCTATCTCATTCAAATATCATTTCGAACCGTGATCTCCGATCCGGGGCCATCCTGTTATTTACTCGCAGCTAGCTGCAGCTTATATAGAGCATCTCTCATAAATATGCACAGGATTTCTTAATTCAAATTCTCATCTCGTAGTGAAACATCAACTAGCATTATCTTCGTCTCTTGTACACAAACCGGTGCTGCGCCACAGTAAAGCCACGTTCGATTAGGGATACTGTGGCTGTGTCTGACGTCTTGATGCACCTAGAGACCATTGTAAGGATTGGAGGCAATTTCAGATTGAGCATAAGCAAGCATACAGCAAGATACTTTCCTTTGGCTTTTTCAATGTCGAAAAATATAGGGTTGTATGGTGTGAAGTCTAGCCGCATACGGAGCACAGCCTTATATATTCTCCGCAACGGGCTAGACCACACCCACTCCACTGACAGGAATATTCGCTTCCTCGCTTCACTTTTGATCTAACAGACACGTCGCCAATTCATTCGATTTTATAGAGTATTCTGTGTTCTCTGAAATCGCGGTAAGTATTTGACATTCTACTGGTATCATCTACACATCAACTCCATGTTCGCCGCATCCGGTTCACAAAGCTGAGATGCAATTCATGCTGCCTTGTCGCAGATTGCCACTTAACTACACATAAGGAACTGACAATCCTGAACTTATAGAAACGGATTATCCTAGCAAAAAGCACGCTAGGCAAGAACCCACCCAAGTTGGCTCCTAAAGTTTCTTCCCGCAATCGACCTCCCGCTCTTTCCCCACGACCTACCTACGTCAGACGACTTCCTCCCCATCGATCTCTACCTACGACTTTTCGTTCTTCAGCACGAGACCGAGATAGAGATCCCTCGCATCCAGGGAAATTTCTACGCTTCTTCCGTGCCCTCTTCGGGCCGCACACGAGCCGCCGTGTCCATTCGCGCCTTTGGGGATTCCGCTACGAGACGCTCCCCGCTCTCCGCCATCGGGTACAAACACGGTTATATCGGGGAATTGTCCAGCAGCTAGCGCGGCTTGAGCAAATACGGAGATTAGGGAAAAGGGGAATCCTTTCGTTTCTTGTTGGGAGTAGGAGTAGGAGACGGTTGAGGGGTGTACGTGGCCCGGCCGCAGCAGCAGCACACTTATCACTCCCGAAACAGACGAAAGCGCGCAGGCCGCCGAATGAAACTGGGATTGTGAAGGAAGAAATGTCGGGATTTTCGTCGTCATGGGGGCTTGGGGATGCTGGACGGGAGCGTGGTGGACGCCGCCAGAAGGTCTACGGATATCTCAAGGCTGCGAATGAGTTGCGCCAGTCGTATACGTCACAGCTGGCTACATCTATTAACAATGTTCGGGAATACGGTGATGAGTTTCATGATACCCCTGGTGCATTTCCGGATGTTGAGATTGCGCGGTCTGGACACGAGGAGATGGTTATATTCCCCAGCTATGCGAGGAAGCTCTCTGGGAACAAGGCGGCGGATGCTCGTCGACGGAAGAGCTCTAGGAGTTCTACTGATACGATCGATGCATACCGCGGGGAAGAGGATGAATTCGAGCAGTCGGATCTGCTTGACTGGGAGGAGTACGAGATCGAGAATGCGGTTGTTGCTGTTGATGTGCGAGGATGGTTATATTCGCCTCATCGCGGGCCGATGACGCGGAAGAATCGCTTGATGGTTGCATTGGCGCGGAGGCTGAGTGGTGTCCCTGCTCCAGGAAATCCCTCGACGGATAATGGCGATGGGAGCGACAAGATCACTTCTCAGGGAGAAGATGAAATAGTCAACAAGGAAATGCAGTCCATGATCAGCAAAGCAGAGTCGGAAGCCGATCCAGCTTGGAAGAGCGGCGCGCGAAATGGCAGTGAAAGCGAATGCCCAGGGCGCCCTCCACTACGGACAACGACCACCTCAGCCACGGGACCTGCGCAAATGACCAAAGACGAGCTGTCTGTCGCCAACGCGCACCTCATGGAACGATTGCGACCTTTTCTGGCGAATCCAATGATGGATATGCCCGTGACTGTTTTCTTTTTTAACGACGAGCAGAGTCAGTCGAGGAGTGTCATTACGGATGCGTCGGGCCATTTTATCCTTCGTGCTGCATTACCGTTCGTCCCAACGCATATCCGTGTTTTGGCATCTGAGAATCTGTCTGCTGCCAAGGAGATCAAAGTCATCGAACCAAGCGGAGTTAGTCTGATCAGTGACATCGACGACACAGTGAAGCATTCTGCCATTGCTAATGGAGCGAAAGAGATGTTCCGGAATACTTTTGTTCGGGAACTGTCAGATTTGACCGTGCGCGGTGTCGACGAGTGGTATACTCAGCTGGCCAAGTTGGGTGTCGAGATTCACTATGTCTCTAATGCTCCGTGGCAGCTTTATCCTCTGCTGGAACGGTTTTTCAAGTTGGTTGGGCTGCCGCCCGGCTCGATTCATCTGAAGCAATACAGTGGTATGCTCCAAGGTATTTTTGAGCCTACAGCAGAGAGGAAACGGGCGTCATTGGAACGTATTTTGAAAGACTTTCCCAATCGAAAATTCATCTTGGTCGGCGACAGTGGCGAGGCGGATCTTGAGGTTTATACCGAAATTGTTTTGGCGAATCCAGGGAGGATTCTGGGAATCTTCATACGGGACGTCACCACGAGTGATCACGCGTTATTCTTTGAAAAATCCGTTGATTACTTGGAGAAGGGCCCTTCTCGAAGCCGGAGCACTGGCCAGCTCGTTCGAGATCAAGATTCTGATGCTGCGAACCGGCCTTCGCTGCCGCCGCGTCGGCCCACTGGGCAGTCTGCAGTTTCTATCAACGATGCTAGAAGCATTGACAATGGCGATCTTATTGATCTCCGGGAGGAAGGAGAAGAGGGCGAGGTATCCCAGAAACCGGGAGCAGCCCGTCCACCTACTAAGCCTTCGAAGCCGCAAACCTTGCGTACAGCATCGACCACCTCGGATGTGACCGATTCTTGGACTCAAGAAGCATCTCGACGTAAACCTGTACCTCCAGTTCCACCACGTCGTTCCGCTCCGTCCGTGGCAGACAATGCTTCGAGACATGCATCCAACCAAGACCTAGCACGGACTCAATCGTCTGATGTTGCAGTACGTTCCAAACCACCAGCACCTCCACCCCCGCCTCCGCGTAGGACGAACACTGGTACCTCAACTCCATCATCCGTCAACAGCAGCAAGAGCTCGACACCGACACCGCCGGCACCCCAGAGACAACAGCAGTCATATCCCGTAGCGGCAGCTTCTGCAGCATACCAATACGCGTCGGATCGAATCTGGCTACCGTCACCCTCGAATGTCTTGCGGTCTGCGGCAACTCCTATAGCGAGCCGGACAAGCAGCAGCAGCGTCAACGAGCAGGAGGGTTATGGCTCGTCTGGTCCCTCTGCACCTCTGCCAAATAAGCGCGAGGAGCTCTGGCGCCGGCGCTGGGAGCGGGCAAGTGAAATTTTGCAGCAGAAGGGAGTTGTACTCGGTAGCTGGCGGGTTGGGAATGACGTGCAAGACGTATGTATCTGGCTGGTTAAGGATGCGATGAAGGAAATGCGGGATGGTAATGCAAAGGGTGGATTAAAGCCTTGACACTAGGAGCTTGTTTTATCTGTTTATATTTGACACTGGATCCAATCAGTTTCTGGCTATTTGATCGGTGAAGGACAAGCTATCGTGACTGACCTATTTCATGCATCCTTTCTCTTCATGTCTCTCGTGTATGTTTGTACGTACATACGGAGTGCGCTGTAAATAATAGCTAAAAGCACCTGCATCTGTTCTGCTGAGGCGCCCTGTACATATGTATATCCAACATGTCCTCTCTTTCTCTTCATAATTCGAAAAGACGATTTGTAATAGGTGCATACGGATAGCACGGAAGAGTCTTTACCACTTCAACTTCCGATGCCATATTCTGCACAGATGACATGTACATACGTGCATTTGCAGCATAGCTCGTATATGCTAGGCGTAAGTACTGAGCATAATAGTCAGGGAAAATCGCGAGTCATCAAGAATGTATGGAAGGTCCGGTCGTGGCTGATAGCTATTCCGTAGGATATCAGGATGCGTTCTCAGTTACCGGATATGAAAATGCATTTCTATAATTACTGCATGACAGTACTATATTGGTTACTGGCAGTGTTAATTGGCAATATTAGCGCCAGAATGTGACTTTGAAAGACCAAGTGCCCGAATTTCGAGTACTTCGCACCGTTTATCTCGTCTTGCTACGCTTCCATTTCTGTGCTCCACCAAATGCAGATATTTTTTTTGCAGAGATTGACGGAGTGAGGATATCCCCCCCCTGTTTTTCTTGCTCAAGTGGACTTGGTGGATATGTATGGGTCGATACTGGGCGACTATTGTGTGTTCACTTCTTACGGGGTGAATTACCTATGTGATGGATGTGGTGGATTTGGCGTGATTCATGCGTAACTGTAGGGACTCCGAAAGATTTGAGTTCTCTGCCGTGCTTATTCTGGAGGATCTGGAGTAGATGTGCGTATTTTTGGCCCATGAATGTAGAGACTGCGTACTCCGTCCCGATGCGTATTGATGTTTGATAAGACAGCTTTCTTACTCGACGAGAACGTCCTTGGCGATAAGATGTTAGCAAATCGACATCATCTTCTTATTCAGATAAGGTAGATCAAATTAGTATCTGGCCGAAGCTCCGTCAGTTCCGTCAGCTCCGTCAGCTCCGATCAAAAATAGATCTGTGCTTTCGTGGCTTGCCATGTTGACTTGGCAAAAATATTGCGGATCGGGGAATGAAATAAGGAGACAGTGATTGGCCCCTAGCTGGCCAGGAGTTGTGCACAGCCAATAACGTGTGCGGTGCTGCAACCCTCATGCATGCTGCTATAAGTGATATCCTAAATAGGCAAGGGACGTGTCAGTGTCCATGATGCGATCTGGTCAAGAGTTCAGTCCTGACAATGACTCGCATGAACTGTTGCCGAATTGGACATAAGCCGTGCGGGGTGTAGAGGAGACACTGGTCGATCTAGATTTAGTGCTGACTGCCGTATACATGGTGCTGCATGTAGGCGCATGGTAACGGTGAGGCTGTACTCCGTAGAGGTAGTACGTGTGTCTTGCTCGCGATTTGTAATGCATCTATATGCATTCTATACCAAGCACTCCGTATCACGGATCAAGATATGGATTCGTTTGGTGCGTGACACTTTGTAATGTGCGCTGCGGGACTTATCCCGAGTTCAGCTCGGATCCTTTGTGCATGCAGTTCAGCTACGCCAGGTTATGCACTACACGGTGTCCAGGAACATCACTGATATCCATGGTCAATCATTGGCCAAACAAAGTACTCGGCTTATGGCACCAGTTGGTAGTTGCAGAAGTGGGTCGGCGGCTCGGCCCTGCGCGACTGCGTTCTGTGTTTCTGTATGGCCGTTCGTTGCAGATTGTGATATTTCAAATTCAGCTCGTTAAGAAGAAAAGGATTGATTACTGTGGATCTTGCGTGGTTTGTTTCTGTTGCTCTACTCTGTAGATCGGAGGTCGTTCCAGTGAATTTGAGGCAGCTAATGATTGGGTGCCTGAGTGCCCGAAAATTCCGTGATCGACAACCTAATTCGGACTACTCTGGACAACTCACTCTGTTTCTCTTCTTGCAATATTCACATTTGGAACTAGCTTTTCTCCGCATATAGTCGTACTATTGACATGGACTAATGTATTGCCTTTGTTTACGAACCCACCCCGCTGCTCCATCCACATTTCCTAACGAATACGATACGGCCATTCTGCTCCGCAGGATTATAATGCATGCACCCTGCATCAGCTGGGTCTCTACCAGAAAGCGCCATCGCAGGCACCTGCTATCTCACACCCACATCGCCCCAGCTTAGCCCAATGCCTTTGCAGGCTCCAATCCACTGTGAGCAGTGCCATTGTCCTTCTCCGATCCATCCTTTGAATTTTTCGACAAAATTGACGCTTGACTGGCCGCAGTGTTTCGCAATTTCTTCCACGTATAGGCGAGGTTGGCGACATTGGGAAGGTTGGGATTGTCTCCGCCTCGCGGGGGAATCGACTCTTTGTCCAGGATGCCGGCCTTGATCATCTCTTTCACGCTAGGGTGGATTACGGCGTCGTGAGGCAGATCTCGGGGAGCGCCCATGTTTGGCGGAAGCCGGCGGGGGATCCATTTGCCATTCTGCAGTTCCAGACGTGTGAAAATTGGAAGGAACTCTTTGATTTTCGTTAGCTGCCGGCCAAGTGAAACGGAGAGGCGGGGAAAGCTTACCAAGAATCCACCAGCAAAGGACCATCAAGAAGAATGTGCCGTGTCCGAAACTGAGCGTGTCGTGGGGCTGGTTTGTCTTCTTTCGTAGCAGGAAAGCATTGGTTCCGGGAGCCTCTTTTCCAGGAAAGGCATTTTCAGCTTTCGACACGTCATCAACATTTAGCGTCTGAAAAGATAGCTTGCTGTCTGAACCATCGAGACTGAGGACCTCTTGGATCATCCAGTTCAATGGCGTGTCTGACAGTAGATGCTTCTGACCCCGTTCGAGTCCGTAGCCACCTCCGATATCACTGTGGTTACCGGCAAACCAGACCTCTTTGAGATCCACGGGAGGACCATCCTGGTCGAGAATGAACAGAGCAGGCTTGAACTTGAGTCGTCTCTCGTGAATAGACACCGCATGCCGGATGTATCGAGCTGCGGGGCTCGCCATGACCTTGTAGGACGTGCGGTAGAGCGGAATTTCGAATTGACCAACACTGTTGACACAGTCAAACAGGCCCAGGAAATGAATTGCCACATCTGGACGGCAGAAGGTCGTCTTGAATTTCTCCATATACGCAATGAGCTGCTGGTCCTTTTCCGTGGGGGGATCATTTCCTTTAGCTTGTTGGTAATTGCTAAAGGTATCCCAAGCGAATTGGACCATCTCATCCATTCCCTGGGATAAGAGACCTATGTTATGGATCATCTCCGCAAGAAACCGTGCCGTGTATGCACCACGCGAGAAACCGAAGATGTAGATATGATCTCCGGGTCGATAGAAGCGCATAACAAAGCGATACCCATCCAGGACATGGCTTCGGAATGACGAGCCCACCATGCAATCGACTGTGGTGAGGATGGCGGATTTGATCTTGGGAATGAGATTCAAGCGCGTCGAGCTGGACCCTTGGCCTTTGACATAGGTACCAATTCCAGCTGCGCAGTTGATTAGCAACCAAAGCCATTCTCATCGCTTCAAGAAGGACGTACGCTGGTAATAATGGTATTGGCCCGGTGTGTGCCTCTCGAGCATTTGATAGATTTTCACAATATTGGTGTCCGATTCATTGCCATGGAACTGGTTACCAGTACCATCAAAGCAAAGTACAATCCGGCGCGGGCCAGATTCCTCTCCGGGCCTTCCTTCATCTGTTGCGTGAGGCATTTTGAAAAAGAGAAAAGCAGTGCTTGCAAAGCAACAAAATTTGGCAACTTTGGAGACCAAGGATTTGACGGGGGAAAAAAGAAGGTTCTCCTCTAGTATATATGGAAACTTTCGCCCAATTTTCCTGTCACGCCCGAGGCTGGCATGTCTTCGACCACGGACTTGCAGGTACCTATTTGCAAAGTGACTTGCTCAATTCGATCTGTATTTTATTTCTTTTCTCGGTCTTTGTGTATTTCAGCTGTACGTGTATTCCTTTCGGCACAGCGGATCAGGATTGATACACCTATGCAAAGCGGCCCACCTTTGCTGTATCACAGAATCAGCTCAAATGCACACGACTGGAATGAGATCTGAGCACTGCATTAGCACCCGAAGATTTACGGGTTTATCTGCAGTCTAACACAGACTGAGCTGGCTAGTTGACGGAGAAATTGGCCAATGCTTAGTATGACCAGGACTGTGATTTGCTGGGTCTCCCCGATTAACTGGGGATCTCATGTAATGTAACATGTCTGATGTTCCCTGCATATCGAAATCCTCTCTGAACTAGCGAGTGAGCGCCTCATACCTAACCATCGATTTCGGCTTTCCCCTCACCTCCGCTGGCAGTGGATCCGGATATGGCGCAAGAAAGCGCCTATCGTTTTGTAATTCAAGGCATCTCTTGTGGATATTGGCTGGTTGGTTGACCTTTGCGTGGAGAAGGACTCGGATGCTGGTAACGCAGCTGAGCCCCAGGCGCTTCAGTGAATCCTTTCGAGGTGATGGTCCGTTATGTTCAGCTGTGGCCTGCAGCGGGATGATTATGATCTATACTCAACATGGCAGGACGGCAGATAGCACTACCGTGATAGTAGTTTCACACGGCATCTTTGGCTGCGGAATACGGCTTGCGTACGACCATCAGGGAGACTTATTTAAACCCTACGATTTCTCGCCTTTGCCAATTCCATTTCCATCCATCCACCCTTCCCAGAATTCTCAATTAGTTCGGTCGAACCCTTCTCTTGTCGGACTTATATTCGCCAATTTACCTTATTGTCATTGTTTCTTATTCCTTCTTACTCATTTCTATTTCTATTTAGACCAATATGGGGCTGTTCAGCAGTGCAGCCCCCAAGGCTTCCTCTTGGAACCCTCTGACCTGGGGCTCGAGCCCGCCTCCCTCATCAGGACGTGAGTTAACCCTGCTATAATGGCCAAGGAACTTTGACTAACTGAATTGATTATCAAGTTTCCTCGTTCCTTCCCTTTGGCTCTTCGAACAGCGGCTCCTCGTCATGGGCATCGCTAGCCATGGGCACAAAGGACCAGAGCTGGTTCAAGGCTGTGCTTGGAAAGTTCGGCTTTAGCGGAGTCCTGGCCACGATCCTCAGTTTCTTCCTTTATGCCCTCTACCTGAAGTTCATCAAGAAGGACAGCCAAGGGTTGATCGAGTTCCTCAAGGAGAAGATCGCGCAGTATCTGTTCAAGATTCCGGGGTTGAACAAACTTCCGTTCGTGAAGAATCTCTTGCCGTTTGGTAAAGGAAAAGACTTGATCCATATTCCCAAGGGCACACACTCAGCTTTAGGTAGTATTGCTGGAACGGCACCCGGCTTTTTGTCCAAGCTTAACCCCACAAACTGGAAGATCTTCAACAGGCACAAGATTGCCGAAGAGGAAGATGATCAAAAGTACCAAGCTGGTGAGCCTTACGGTGACCCGAATGTCATGGCCACTAGTCTCGTGCAAGACCTCAAGTCGATGGGACTCAAGACCGGTGTGAAAGATCTTCGTACGTTGCTCGAAGTCGCCAAATCCAAGGGAAAGCCTATTGACGACCGACAGATGACTGTGAGTCTCGCGGAACACGAAATTGACGAAAAGGACCTTTACTGACGTCGTCTTCAAATACAGATGGAAAAGATGATTGCGATCGCGGCATCATTGCCACGGACATCCAAGGCGCGCAAGAAGCTGTCGGGGCTCATTATCGACACTCTGTGGAAAAGCTTGCAACATCCTCCCCTGAGCTACTTCGGCAACCAGTACCAGTACCGGACTCCGGATGGAAGCTACAACGTAAGTTGGACGCGTGGGACTCAATTCGATATACGCTTGTTAATCACATTTCGGATGTAGAACCCTCTCCAGCCGAACTTGGGCAAGGCTGGAAGTCCTTACGCGAGAAGCGTCCCGAAGTTGAAGCACTTGCACGGTGTCCCGCCGGACCCTGGTCTTCTGTTCGATCGTACGTCCTCTTGTTCAAGCTTTGATCGATTCGTGTTGCGCTAACATACCGCAGTCCTCATGGCTCGTAGCGACGAGTCTTTCAAGGAGAACCCTGCTGGTGTGTCTTCGGTTCTCTTCTACCACGCAACCATCATTATCCATGGTAAGTTGATATATAGCGCTTCATGGTTTTGGATGGCTGCTTATCACTTTCAGATGTTTTCCGCACCAACCGCTTCGACTCCAATGTCTCCGATACGTCTTCCTATCTCGACCTGGCCCCCTTGTATGGTTCCAGCCGTGAGGACCAGGTGGCCATCCGGACCATGAAGAATGGTCTTCTCAAGCCGGACACCTTTGCCGAAAAGCGACTGCTGGGAATGCCCCCAGGTGTCAATGTTATGCTCATCATGTACAACCGTTTCCACAACTATGTCGCAGATGTCCTGCGGAAGATCAACGAAGGTGGTCGGTTCACCGTGCCTCCCACTAAGACCAAAGAAGACAAGGAGAAAGCTCTTGCGAAGCAAGATGAGGACCTGTTCCAGGTGGCTCGACTGTAAGTATTCTGCTCCCGATCATCAAGATTTCCGGTACTGACAACAAACCTACCAGTGTCGTGAATGGTCTCTACGTCAACATCTCCTTGCACGACTACCTTCGTGGTCTGACCAACAGTCACCACTCCGCAACCGACTGGACCCTTGACCCTCGCGTTGAGGTGTCGAGACTCTTCGACCCCGAGGGCGTTCCGAGAGGTATCGGTAACCAGGTGTCCGCCGAATTCAACCTCCTGTACCGATTCCACTCCGTCATCTCTCGCCGCGATGAGAAGTGGATGAACGAGTTCCTCCAGAGCCTGTTCCCAGACAACACCAAGCCTCTTGACCAGCTTACTCCTCAAGAGTTCGTCCAGGGTCTCCTCCGCTATGAGCAGAACATCCCCGATGAGCCCTCCAAGCGCGAGTTCGGCGGATTGAAGCGTGACGACACTGGCAAGTTCAGCGATGCTGAACTGGTCGACATCATGAAGGAGAGTATGGAAGACCCGGCCGGATTGTTCGGTGCCCGCATGGTTCCCAAGGCGCTCCGTATCATTGAAGTCACTGGTATCCTCACGTCGAGAAAGTGGCATCTCGCTTCTCTGAACGAGATGCGTAACTTCTTCGGTCTCAAGAGCCACGACACTTTCGAAGACATCAACCCTGACCCTGAGATCGCTGATCTTATGCGCAAGCTGTACGATCACCCCGACATGGTCGAAATGTACCCTGGTCTCTTCCTTGAGGATGCCAAACCTCGCATGGATCCAGGCTGTGGTGGTTGCCCTCCGTACACTGTCGGCAGAGCTGTCTTCAGTGATGCTGTTACTCTCGTGCGATCTGACCGATTCCTTACTGTGGATTATACGGCATCGAACCTCACCTGCTGGGGTTACAACGAAGTCCAACAGGACTATGACATGTAAGTTGACATCCCATATCTACACCAAGCTCCTACTAACACTTTTGTACAGTCTTGGTGGATCGATGTTCCATAAGCTGTTCCAGCGTGCGTTCCCGGGCTGGTTCCCTTACAACTCCTTGCACAGCACGCAGCCGATGTTCACCCGCAAGATGAACGAGGAGATTGCACGGGAAATTGGAACCATTGACCAGTACACCCTGGACGACCCTTCGCCTCCACCGAACCCTATCGCTGTGTCCAGGCACTCGGCTGTGACCAAGGTGCTTAACGACCAGGCCAACTTCCGTATCACATGGACCAAGTTCCTGAACGACATGGTTCCCGGAAAGACGTACAACAACTACATGTTGGGTGGTGACCAGCCCGCGAACACCGCGCAGAGAAAGCTGGTTCAAGATATCATGTTCAGCCCTGCCGAATTCATGCAGCTGCTTTCGTCGACGGCCAACTCGGTTAGCAAGGAGCTGCTTGAGGCTGAGACTCTTAACCTTGGGAAGGACTTGAACCAGATTGATATCGTCAGAGAGTATGTGTTTCCCTCTTGTCATTGCTTTAGAAACGACATTGCTAACCTGCTGGTAGTGTTGCGATCCCCTTGAACACTCGCCTCCTTGCCGACCTGTTCTCTCTGGACCTCAAGACCGACGAGAACGAGAAGGGAAGCTACAACGCGGCGACATTGTACACGTACCTCCTCAGTGTCCGTACCTACGGTTTTAACAACAGCGACCCAGCTATCGCCTTGAACCGCAGAAAGGAGGCTCGCGAGGGTGCCGAATCTCTGACCGAAACAACACTTAACGTTGTCAATGGAAGCCCCAAGTCGATCGTTGACGCTCCCAAGGGAATCATCTCGAAGGCCACTGGAGCCGTTACTGGAACAGTCACCGGTGTCGCTTCGCACATTCCTATCGTTGGTGGTCTCTTCAAGCACAAAGGCAAGACGGCCAATGCAAGCACTGGTTCTCTGCGCTGGTACGGTCAGAATGTCGTGAGGGAGATTATTGCTGCTGGAAAGAGCCCAGAGGAGACTGCTGAAATTTGCTGGTTGAGTGCTGTTGCTGGTGTTGGTGCGCCGATTGGATTGGTAAGTATTCAGTCTTTGGTACTGAAAGACGTCGCTGGACTAACTTTGCGCTAGTTTGCCGACGTTCTTAGTTTCTATCTCAAGGAGGAGAACTCCAAGCACTGGGAAGACATTCAGAACTTGGCTATTGGCTCCAACGCCCAGTCTGCTGACAAGAAGCTGCGACAATACGTTCTCGAGGCCCAGCGTCTCACCAGCACCCAGCGAAACCTCCGTATCTGTGTTGGCGAGACCACCATTGACGGAAAGACGTTCAAGCCAGGAGATATTATTGCGTGTTTATTCGTAAGTCTTACCTTCTCAAGAAGCGCTTGGAAAATTGCTAACAATTTGTGACTAGGGCCCTGCTTGCAAGGATCCCGAAGTGGTTCCCGACCCCGAAGCATTCAAGCTCGACAGACCGGACAGCGCCTACATCCACTTCAGCTACGGTCCTCACGCGTGCCTTGGCCGGGAAATTGCGTTGGCTTTCGTGGTTTCGCTCATCAGGCTCTGCGCTGGTTTGAAGAACTTGCGTCCGGCTCCTGGTGACATGGGAACTCTGAAGAGCGTCGACATCGGTGGGGAGAAGTGCTACCTCAACGACAGCTGGTCGTATTTGGCCTTTGACCCAACCAGTAAGTTTCCTCTGCTTATTGTGTGATTCACCCATGTATGATGCTAATATTTCTTCTCCTTTAGCATGGAAGGTTCACTACGATGGCCAGGGCAAGGGTATCCACCACGCCCCCCAGATTCCCATCACCGCTGGCCGCGACCTGAACGCCATGTCCAACGCTCTCAAGAAGCAGCAAGAGGACTTTGTGAAGGGCGCCTCGAAGCTTCTCCCCAACGGTAACAAGGCTCCTGAGGCTCCTCAGAAAGCGACCAACGGCGTACCTCAGACCAACGGTGAACAGGCTGGAGCAAATGTTCCTGTGCCTGACGAAGCCCCGACAGCGGATCCTAACCAGCAAAACGGTCAGCAGAATGGCCAACAGGTGCCTTCAAATGAACAACAGGTTCAAAACGGCCAGAAGAACAACGGACTCCTGCACAAAGTTGTCTCTGATGCTGTCGACGTACCTAAGAACGCGATCAGTACCGCGCACGATGTCACCCATGACGTTGTCGGCCTCATCCCTGGTGGTAAACAAGCTGAGAACATCACGCATGGAATCGCTGACAACTTGATCCCTGGTGGACATGGTCTCCTTCCTGGCTCGCATCAAAACGAGCAGCAAGAGCAGCAGAAACAGCACGGACTGCTTCCCAATCCTTTGGACGCGGCGAAGCAGCTTCCAGGGAATCTCTTCAACCGGTAAATAGTAAGGAGGAAGGCAAAAATGATTCTGGAGATATTTGTGTTTATTTTTAGGGTTCTACGTGGTCTAGTGGATGGTTTAGATAGGGAGTAAAAGTGGTTCAATACATTTCTTGTTACGTTTGAAAGGTTATCAAGATCACTATCCGAAAATATATCGCTATGGGACCGTTTTGGTGGAGGTGTCTAAGTCATGAGCAGAAGATTCTGCCTGGCAGGTCTCCCGATGTTCGAACTGCACGGGTTCGAACTCGAGACTGGCCGTCCAGGGGAATATCTGTGGAGACTGGCCTCAAGCGCCGAAGCGTGTCTCGTGTCCATTCATGGGGGAAGCCATATGCTTTGCCCAGGTTTGGATTCTTGGTCTTTATTTTATATTTTCCCCTGAATTTCCTGAGTTTTTCGTGAGTTTTGCTGTTTTTCTGCTGGTCTTAATGCATTATTGTTACGTTGGCAAGGTTACGGGCCATAAATTGTGTAATATTCTCAACGTGAGACCATTTTGGTAGAGGGGTTATCCCCGTGTCCAGAGGAAAGTCTTCTGCCATGCTAGTCACCCAGAGTTCTTGACTGCGCACGGGTTCGAACTCGGGTCTGCCTGTCAGGGGGGATACCTACTAGTTCCAAAATGGCTCATACTCGTGCGTGGTCTTTTTTTATTTTTTATTTCTTGGATTTTTCCCCTGTTTTATTTCTTCTTTAAGGTGGTTCGTTGACTTGGTAGCCTCAGAGCCTCAGGCGTATTGTAGCCCCAGGCATGGTGTTGTGTCTGTTGAGTACGTTTTCCGTTTTCGGTAATATCTCGATCTCGGTCTGTCAGGGCTTATGTTGGTGATAATCTGGTTTCACCGTGGTTACTTTTTTCTTCTCTTTCTGTGGACACTTCTACCATTCTCTATATTAAGCTAAACATGTTCATATCAGCACCACCTTGTAATCATGGTACCATTTGGTCGTGTGGTCTAACACAGCTGCCAGGAAACCAATTTCCCGACGCCGACCAGTCACGATACGACGAGCTCGAGACCGAGACAGCGCGAATTAAAGGAGGAAAATGGGAAGAGAAGGGAAGGAACGGAGGGACGGGAGGAAGCGGAGGGAAAGGAGGAACGACCGCCGATGAGAACCCGGATGCATAACGTATACGACCGCCGATTACGAACGATTACACGACAGAAACGACTAATGAATTCGAGACTACGAAAGAGAGCATTGGAGGAGAGCTGAGGCAGCCACCACGGCTGCCTTTACGAGACCAACGCCAAACTGGTGCCATGGTTTTTGTTTTTATTTTTTATTATTGTTATTTTTTATTTTACTTCAAGTTAACTCTTCTTAACTTATGTTTGTTGTTTTATTGTTGTTATTATTTTCTATCTTCTTATTTACTTGTACCCTCTCTCTTTGTTCTTGCGGAGTAGATGTAGGGCTAAGCATTACCATGTCTTGGCGGAAAGGGCGGAACCCTAGCACTAGTGCTCGATCATGTGACGCGCATCCCTTTTTATCCCCGCTTCTTCCCCTTCTTCCCTTTCTTCTCCCAACTACCTCTCAGGGTCAACATGTTTTCTGTTCTTGTTTTGCTTTGTTTTGCTTTGCTTCACGCACTGTCTGGATACGATTTAATTCAAGGACAACAGTGCTGACATCAAGGGTTTAGTGAATGATTAGCGTTGGAAGAGAACTCCCTTGGGCTACAGTCGGGTTAGTATCCCCATCCTTTACATCGAAAATGGATCATCGCTAACATATTTATTCTTCAGCCATTTGGCCACAGCGAATACGAGACGTGCTACCAGGCTCACGTCTACGACTCATTGATTGATTCCAGCTCGACGAACGAGTGGATGACCACGGTTGACAGGAAGTCAACAAACAGACACCAGAGATCACGACGATCTACTATACGGACACCGCGCGCAGCGCATTGGAGCGTGCCGACAACAGCCAGAATTGTCGGACGCATTACGAACTACCATACGGTACTTTTTTCCAAGAGGACATTTCCACGCACGAGAATCGAAAAGGTAAGAACTTCTTTCCTTTATTTTGTTTATTGTATCCAGACTTGCGTTTTGCGTTTTTGCTTGGTTGCCAATGGAGTCTTGTATTATAATATTACAATTATCATATTCAATTCTCTCTCATCTCTCATCACCTGAACTCCTGTGTATGTAATTAAATACGATCGCTTCATCTTAAGAAGTCGGATACTTGTCTCCGTACTCTCCCACAATCCAAGCGCAGAAGTCCTCCCACTGGTCGTTCCACTCACGGATGTACTCGGCCTTGATACCATTGCCGTGCTCTGCACTGTCAACGTCTCGCACCCAGTCCTCATTGGACTGGTCTTCAAAGTTCGACCACCGAAGACTGTTCTGGGCCAAGGCACCCTGTTCATCGTTAGCGGACTCAACGTGCCGTCAGGAGAAAAGACTCACCAAACCAGCAAGACCAAGGTTATCAAAACCCTGAATGGCCTCATAAAAGTCATAGCTCAGACCTGCAACGTCCTGACCCAAGATAGCCGGATCATCGTTGCTGATCGCAGTGGGAATACCATGGGCAATCATAGCGGGCAGCGGATGATGCAAAATATCCGTGTTCAAGCGAAGCACTTCATTGGAAATGGGGCAGACTTCAACCATGATATCCTGCTCAACCACCTGCCGAATCAAGTTCGGGTGCTTGTACAGGGAGAAGCCGTGGCCAATCCGGCGGGAGTTGAAAAGAACAGCATCGAACAAGTTGTTATCTGTCGAGTTTCCGTCTCCAAGCGTCTCTCCGGCGTGGAAAAAGTAGGGGATCGTGAGGTTGAGTTCCTCCGTCTGCTGGCGGAACCAGACTAGTTCTGGTGCGAGATCGGAAAGAGGACGGCCGAGGTCCTCTTGGGCGACGAGGTCGTAGCCGCTGAAGAGTTCGGGGTATTTCTGCTTGCGCTCGAGAGCGATTTTCATGCCTGTCCGTGTCAGTGATTTGCTTTCAGCGAATTGATTGAAGTTGACATACTCTTCGTGATCTTAGCACGATCCTTGCCACGCGCATCCGACCAGATAACCCGGACACCCCAGAAGTTCCGACCTTTCTCAGACGTCTTGAACTTGTAAACCTCATCAAGCAGAACATCCCACCAGACGTCCAGGTCAGGGTCAATATCCTCATCGCCGTCGTGGACGAGCTTGCCACTCGACCCACCACTACGAATCTCAACCCAATTGATACCGTCATTCACCAGGTCTGTGAAGAGCTGCTTATAGAAAGCTCTGACAACAGGCTCATACTGGATAAGCGTATCAGCCGGTCCGAAGCAAGCTTGGAATCGTCTCCAGACCTCGTCGACACCAAGCTCATGACGCTGAGACTCCTCTGGCGGGACAGTGGTCTTCTCCTTGATGAAATCAAGGAAACCTTCCACACCACCAGGGAAGCTACCAGCAGCCTGCTTAATCGGGACCGGTGTGTCGGGGATGTAGCTCGGATCGCTAATGGACGTCTCATTAGTCGGGAGTGTAGTGTTAACATGCGCAAAGGTGATGCTAGCGTTAAATCTAGCGTCCTCGCTATCGATCGGCTGGGACGCGGAAATCACCATCCCGTCCGTGTCGAGAATTGTCCTGACGATCTTCTCATACGGCAGCATGGCTGACAAGTGTGCATGCAGGAGGGAACCCTTGGGCATGCGCCTGACTACCTGCCAGAGGGTGGTATTGGCGATGCGATCCCGAGCACGCGGGAACATCTCGCCTGCGAATTGCTCCTCTTCCGCATCTTGTGGGGGAGCGGGGATGCGCCAGTAGTTGTCGATTTCGTCCTGGCGGATTGCTTGGACGATTTCGTCGGCATACCGGGCTGTTGGGGAGAGGTTCTGGCGGAAGAGGTGGTCTATAGCTATTAGCTTTATGCATACGGGATCTGGGCGATGAGGACCAACCCTGTCGGTGCGTCTTTTCCAGAGTGATCAACTTCTGTCGGTCTCTCAGGTGCTGCTGCACAAGGGTACTGTTGACATCTGGCTCTCCTTCGACGAGTGCAGCAGAGGCACCGAGGGATAGAGTGGCTACCCCGAGGATCGAGAGAAGACGCATGGTGTTGAGGCAAAGATACTCGAATTATGGCTCACGTCCTTCAAGGACCCCTGGGGCATGCTACGGTATATATACTCGTCTACTCCGTGCTAGTCCTCCGTATGTGATCCCCGCTAATCTCTAAGGGCCGGGCCGGAGCGCTCTCACGTTCGTCACACGAGCATCGCTCGATCAGCATTCTATTTTCTTCATAGGTATCTCTCCGTTCCCCAATTTGCTCCGTGTTTACTAGTACAAGTTCCCCGTATGAGACATCAATGGATACTACTGTGATTCCTTGCACCATCCCTTGTGAGATGGCGACGCACATTGGCCGTTTATTCTCCGTGGATTCGGGAACGCACAGCCGATGCGACCTTAGTTCAATAGTTCCTGCCATATAGGGAAATTAGTAAACAGACTATTGGGGTGGGTAAAAGTTATTGTTTTCTTTCCCCTGACTGGGCTGAGACCGACTTTTGCATTGTGAGTCGGAGGTTCAGCTTGAATAATGAGGTGGCTGGCTGGGTGGATGGTGGAATGTTTGATTGGGTTCTTGGCTGGTTTGTACTTAGTAGCATGGTCCGAGGAAGCGTGAGCTGTTTGATCCGAGGATATATAAAGACGTTCCTACCCATGTAGTAGGAGTTCATCTCTGTTTACTCTGTTCCTTAGTATGCTACTCTGTACTCCGTAGTGTTTGGTGCAGGCATCAGCAGTCAACATATAGACTCATAGCCATGGTCTGCCTTTATATGATAACAAAGAATTCAACATAGTTACTTGCCCTATTCACATTTTGTCCTTCTGTACTTCGTATTTGGTACACTGTCTACATACTATGATACCCTCGGGCCGCGGCTGTTTCCGGATATGGAAGCTCCTCCTCCGCAAATCTTGGCACTCCCCGATTTGTTATTCACAAGTCTTCATTGGCTTCTGTATCTATACTCTTATACCTATGCTCTAATTGAACAGCTTCTCATGTTTACTATCCCTAATACCCAACAGAGGAAATAGAAATGGCCAAAACATTCACCCGCGACGAAGTCGCCCAACGCACCACCGAAGACGCCATCTGGTGCATCATCGACCACCGCGTCTACGACCTAACCGACTTCCTCGACGCCCACCCAGGCGGCAACGTTGTCCTGCAACAAGTCGCCGGCAAAGACGCCACCTCTGAATTCTACAACCTGCACCGCCAGGAAGTCCTCGACAAATACAAAGACAGTCTCTGCATCGGCACCGTCGCCGGCGAGACCCCCGACATCCATACCCCCGAGCCGGGGAGCCTGAGCGAGGTCCCGTATGCGGAGCCGTTATGGCTAAGGAAGCAGTTCAGGAGCCCGTATTACAAGGAGAGTCATCGGAAACTGCAGAGGGCGGTTCGTGAGTTTACGGATCGGTATATTACGCCCGAGGCGCAGGAGAAGGAGAGGGATGGGACGTATATTAGTCAGGGGTTGATTGATAGGATGGCGGAGACGAATGTATTGGCTATGAGGCTTGGACCTGGGAAGCATTTGCATGGGCGGACGTTGTTGGGGGGTGCGATTGAGCCGGAGGAGTTTGATTATTTGCATGATTTGGTGATTGCGCAGGAGTTGGTCAGGGCTAATGCGAGAGGTTTGTCTTTTCCTACTTGTGATGGGGGTAAGACTAACAACGAGCAGGATTCCAGGATGGGAACATGGCTGGTATGGCTATTAGTTTGACGGCTGTTCAGCAGTGGCTGCGAAATGTTCCTCTTCGTGAGAGAATCAACGAGGAAGTCTTGTCTGGAAAGAAGAAGATGTGTTTGGCCATCACGGAAGCATTTGCTGGTAGTGATGTCGCAGGTCTCAAGACTACTGCAACCAAGACTCCTGACGGAAAGCACTACATCGTCAACGGCACCAAGTATGTCAACCTTCATCTCCTTAGGTGACAGAAGCTAACGACCCAGGAAATGGATCACAAACGGCATGTTCGCCGACTACTTCGTAACCGGCTGCCGTACCGAAAAAGGCTTCTCAGTCCTCCTAATCCCCCGCGACGACAACGTCGAAACCAAGCAAATCAAAACCTCCTACTCCACCGCAGCTGGCACCGCCTATGTGCAATTCGACAACGTCAAGGTCCCCGCCGACCACCTCCTCGGCGAAGAACACAAGGGCTTCACCGTGATCATGAGCAACTTCAACCACGAGCGCTTCATGATGGTCTGCGGCGTCGTTCGCATGTCCATGACCGTCGTCGAGGAGTGTCTGAAATGGTGCAACCAGCGCATTGTCTTCGGGAAGAAACTCGTTGAACAACCCGTTATGCGCCAGAAACTGGCTCGCATGATCTCACTCTGCGAATCAAACCAGGCCTGGCTTGAGTCGATCGCTTACCAGATGTGCAACATGACCTACGCCGAACAAGCTAGCAACCTTGGCGGTCCGATCGGTCTTCTCAAGTCCTTTGCCACGCACTCCGCGCAGGAGATCGCTGACCATGCGACGAACATCTTTGGTGGCCGTGGTATCACGCAGACGGGCATGGGCAAGGTGATTGAGATGTTCCATCGGACGTACAAGTTTGATGCGATCCTTGGTGGAACGGAGGAGATTCTGGCGGATTTGGGTGTTAGGCAGGCTATGAAGAAGTTCCCGAAGGCTATGCTGTAGTCTGTCTTCTGGTCATGGTTGTATTGATACTCTTATTATTCTTATTGTTTACTGTTTCCTAGTATAGAGTATGGCGTGGGATTGTGTACTAAATAATGGTATTGTTATTCTTCATGCAGCCTCGTGTTTATAGAAATGATCGACGTAACCCTAGTCGCAGCTGCAAGAACATGAATCCATGTTCAAGTTGCGAATAACGAAATGTAAAGATCATTCTATATACTAGCAGTATAACCTGCATTGGTTGCATACAGCAATAGCAACGCCAGCAATGTGTCATGCCATGGGTATCAATATATACTCATCTATCGCTGGCCCGGACTCTATCTAGTCCCCGTCCTTCTCGTTGTCGTATTCGTCGTCCGTAAAAGGCTCAGTATCACTCCCATCGTCATCGATAATTTCAGTATCGACAGTGCCAACACTCTCCGTATCCGAAAAGTCTCCCAACATGAAATCGGGCTTATTGACTTGCGCCGCGGCAAAGAACAAATCCCCATCCACCTCTCGTTTATACCATCCAGCCAGCCAATTCAGGTATTCCGGGAGGGAGTCGAAGACCTTGCTGTTCTCTTTCTGGCCAGAGCCCTCGTAGAAGATGCGCCATTTCCACTCGTAGTCTTTCCTTGTTGTCTTTCTCTCTGGGAATGGGGAGTTGGGAGGGTGGATGTAGTCTTTCCGGTAGCGGGTGTACCCATAGATGCAGTACATTAACGGGGTACGGTCGATCATGAATGCCGTCTTGAATTCCCAGGCGCTGGGTGGTTCGCCGTTCTGGGTGCAGAGTGCGATGGTGCCTTCGACACTGGCGTTCAAAGGCACGAGACAAGCGGCCTCTATGGATGGTGTTAGTGATAACATCATAGTTGAATGGGGTCATGTCACTTACTATCGCCTTGAGGCCAAACGCACCAACTCCCATGCAATCCACCCACGCCGATCGACCGCAGGTCAGGGTCTTGAACTGCATCGCAGTACTCCAAAAGAGCGACATACTCTCCCGGAAGACTGATCGTCTCATGGCAACCCTTATCGTCATTCGTCTGTATATATTCATTCACCCTCACGGTCAGAATCGATAAGAACTTTCTTCTCTCGGCATCTCCGACAGGCGGCCAGTAAGCCACTCCGTCCAGATCTCTAGCACTGATCTGCTCCAAAGGATAGTATCGGTTATAGCGGTCTTCGATCTCGTTAAGCTTGTCTTCCAGTGTAGGCAGCGCGAGGACCATTTTGCGAAACGCCAATTTTCGTGATACCCGCTGCTCGTTGATTACCTTGCCCAGGTTATTGATAAATGAGCTGTTGCTTGCTGCCATGTTCCTGCGAACACGGCGCAAGACAGCGCCAATGCGATCCGATACTTCTTTGGAAATGGGTGTCGCTTTCTTCTTCGCGATCTTGTTCTTGAACAAGCGAGAGCGCAAGGAATTTTCTCGTGTCTTGAACAAAAATCGTCCTTCACAGTCTCTCTGAACGTTGAATTGGTCGCATGGTAGGAGGATTCATGATGGGCAACATGGATGGCTATTGGAAAATCTAGTGGGAAAATCGCGATGGACGACTTTACCTGATAATAGTTGTGATTCATTAAGCTACCATGGATCCACACAGGCAGCCAAGCCATGTGGCTTGTCAGATGTCATTCTGAGAGCTCCAAATATAGGATTAATTAAAAGATATTTGACAATGTATGTGTGATGGTGAGCTCACCGGCATTTACCTCAATCAGCCACCGAGATAGGGCTTTCAGATATGTATGTGTAGACCATAACTATCATAATAGAAGTATTTAATACGGTGGTAGTAGCAGTTATGAGAAGAGCATTGAACGCAGAATGGAAGGACAAACAAAGGACATCCAATTGTCCCAATGCGGAAGGTAGCACTGTTTGCATTGTTTGCCCAGTGGATCAGGCACGTTTAGGATCATCATTTTGCCGATCTCCGCTGACGTCGATACTTTGGATGACATTCCCCGCAACTTCTTCGCCATCAAACAACATCGCGAAAATATGGCAGGAAATACAGATCTTCTTAGCGCCGACAACATTCTCGGGGTCGCGACCAGTGCGTTGCGCAGAGATGGCGGCGATCAGCCAAGTCTCAAAAACCCCTATGAAGCTGTTGCTCTCGTCGGTCATGCTTGTATGATCGCCGTTGGCTTCAGACTTGTTGGACTGGGCGAAGAGCACACTCTAGGTTTGCGGCTCTATCTTTCTGATGTTTGATGCTGGCTAACTTATCTCCTCGATTCGCAGAATCAGAAAGCTCCTCGCTCCCGATAGGATGGAACGTTAACGACAATTATGCCTTTCGATATGCTCATTCACAATCTTCGATGCAATATCTACTCAAGATTAGCCGGATAGGAAATAATGCACTGGTGTACGCCTTGGCTCTAGGTGATGACCGGACTACGTCCTTTGATATCCCCGTGAAAGATTACATCTCCGCGTCTTCGCTTCCGTTGGCTTCCACAGCAGATCTCACGAACGCCCTAAAAGAAGTATTCATTTCAACGTCTCGGTTAAACGATTTGATAGGATTGTTCAAAATCAATGTGGTTCAGAAGCTGGCGCCCGGTTTGTACAAGGAAGGATATGAAGATACCACTCAGAGCTTGCGAGAAACACAACAGGAGAGGCCTCCACAGTACGACCCATTACGGGACGATACTCAGCCTCAACCTGCACGTCCGTATCCATTTGATGACCCCCTGGCAGCGGGACCTCGTCGACCAGCACCTGCTGGAGATTTTGCTCCCCCGGGATTCGAAGATGAGTTTGAAATCTACAGACCACCTCGCGGATGGCCCACAGGAGGTGGTGGAAACCTGGGAGGATACGGGGACAGGGACTTATACCCCCCTGGACTAGGCCCGAATGATCCTTTACGAGGCGGCGTTGGCCCCGGACTCGGAGGGGGCGGAGGCGGGGGCGGGGGAATGCACCCGACTTTCGATGACTTGTTTGGCGGCGGCCATCGCAATGGAGGTTATGATCCCCAGGCACCTCCGGGATCGCGATACGATCCTGTTGGACCTGGAGGACCTCCATTTGGTAGTGGACGAGGACCATTTGGACGCGGTTCGGGCGGAGGATTTGGCGGGTTTGGCGGTGACATCATTTAAGCGCGCGGCTAGCGGCAGTAGTGCACATACCAGATCTATCACAAATTGAATATGCTCTACTGATACACATAATGATACTGTGCTTCCTGTACAGAGTAGATATAAACTCATTAAAATAACATCTATCTTGTATGTAATAAGCTGTGGCGGTGTGGCTAGTGCCTCAGCCCAAATTCAGACCCAAAGAGCGGGCGGGCCAACCAGACGCGGCCAGCAGAACCTCTCACACTCCCTTCGCACACCACCACCACTACTTCACTTCATCCCCTTATCCCAGCCCCAAGTCCATCCCATTGCTATCTCTGATATCCCCATCGATTTTATCGCATTCTCAGCGACAGGTACTTCTCTCTTTTGGACTTTGTCTTTTGGAGATCCCCCGTGGGTAAACTACCTGTAATCGCGAAAGGAAAAACAAAATCCCCCTCCCAGTTTTCCGCCCCTCCTCCTCATTTCCTCCCTCCAACCAAGTACTCAAGTAATCTCAAAGAGCTGCCCACCACCGCTTTACTTCCCCATATTCGTCAATTAATTGTGCATTCTCAATGGATACCACCATGGAAATCGATGCGGCGCGGTCGCCCGAACCTCACCACCTCTCCCCGATTACCGACTCCGGGTCTATACCGACACTCGATGGCTGGATTGAGAGCTTGATGACCTGCAAACAACTCGCAGAGGAAGATGTGCGGAGGCTGTGTGACCGGGTGGGTTTTGCTGTTCTCTTCTGGAGCTGGGATATGGTCATGGGACATCAGTATTGATCGATCGGGTTTTATTTGCAGGCAAGAGAAGTATTGCAGGAAGAGTCAAACGTTCAGCCAGTGGTATGTTATTCCTGTTTATGTTCTTAATTATGGCGCTGGAACCGCCCTGGTTGAGGTTGAAACTGACACGTGCCAGAAATGCCCAGTGACGGTCTGCGGTGATATACACGGTCAGTTTCATGACTTAATGGAACTGTTCCGTATTGGAGGCCCTAATCCTGACACAAACTATCTCTTTATGGGTATTTATATATTTCTCGAGATTTATAGGGAGCTGTATACTGATCCTGACAGGTGACTACGTCGACCGTGGTTACTACTCTGTGGAGACCGTCACTCTCCTTGTCTGTCTTAAGATCCGTTACCCCCAGCGTATCACCATTCTCCGAGGAAATCACGAATCCCGCCAGATTACACAAGTCTACGGTTTTTACGACGAGTGCTTGCGCAAATACGGCAATGCCAATGTCTGGAAATACTTCACCGACCTCTTCGACTACCTCCCCCTCACCGCTCTTATTGAGAATCAGATTTTCTGCCTTCACGGCGGTCTGAGTCCCTCGATCGACACCCTCGACAACATTCGTTCCCTCGACCGCATTCAAGAAGTTCCCCACGAGGGACCCATGTGTGACTTGCTGTGGAGTGACCCCGACGACCGGTGCGGCTGGGGCATTTCTCCCCGAGGTGCTGGATACACATTCGGGCAGGATATTTCGGAGGCATTTAATCACAACAATGGCTTGACTCTGGTTGCACGAGCACACCAGCTGGTGATGGAAGGTTATAACTGGTCGCAGGATAGAAACGTGGTCACGATTTTCTCAGGTATGCTCCGCCCTGTGGGGTTCACGTGCATTCACTAATCTCCCTAGCTCCTAACTACTGTTACCGCTGCGGTAACCAAGCCGCAATTATGGAAATTGACGAGCATCTCAAGTATACATTGTACGTTGTCACCTGTGGCCTACTGTTGATTTTGTCTAACTTGGATAGCTTGCAATTCGACCCCAGCCCCCGTGCGGGTGAACCCATGGTTTCGCGACGCACCCCTGACTATTTCCTGTGATCCGATACACGAACTCGCTTTCTCCTCTAGCCAGCTGAGGTTCTCACCCTTCGATAGGGCTCCTGGGATCGGGAATGCATGCACGTGGCGGGTTGCCATTCTAATTGTATGTTCGTATTTGTTGATACCATTCATGAAAATAAAAGAGTTCCGCTTGCTTTCTCTTGTAATAGAATGACAAAACTGCCCCAATGCATTGCTCAGATGGACCAAAAACGAGGTACACGACTTTTGACTTCTATTATGGAGTGGATGCATTATATACATTAGTCTAATCTATCAATATCATACCAGTCATGACACATAAGCTATGCCTGCTCCTTATCCTGCTCCTGCTCCTGTCCCTGCTCCTCATTAGAAGCTTTCTTAGCCCTCTTCTTCCCAATAAACCCACCCAAAAACATCAACACCGGGATCCCAGTCACCCCCGTAAGAATCGACAACGCCCAAGTCATCGTCTCCCAGCCAGCATCATCGCGAATAAACCCTGCAAAGAAAGGCCCAATAATACTACCCGCCGCCCACGCAGAGTTCAAAACCCCATACGCCAACGCCATGGCACCCCCCTCCCCAAAAGCATTTGGCGCAGCAGCCTCCTTCTCATTCACCACACACGAAACCTCAACCATAACTGGCGGCATCAAACACGCAACACAAAGCCCCGCCAGCGCCAACAACGTACACAACAACACCTTATCCCCAATAACATTCTCATCCACAAACCGCATACAAACCAACACCGGCACCGACGCAAACAACGCACCAGAGCAGAAAAATCGACTCGACCAGGGCCATTTGTCAACGACCCAGCCGACGATGGGGTCTACCGAACAGGGCACTGAGATGGCAATGAAGATTAGCCCTTGCGCGGTTTGCTTCCAGTGGAATGTTGATTCGACGAAGAGCGGGAGCACGCTGTCGAAGGATGTTACTGTCAGCGAGACTATCATGTATGTCCAGATGGAGACCATTAGGCGTGAGGAGTTGAGGAGTGTGCGCAGGCGGCCGAAGCGGCGGGTTGATGGTGCTGCTGCTGCTGTTGTTGTTTCTGTTGCTGCGGGTTCTGGTTCGGGTGTTGGTGCGATTGATCTGGGTGCGGTGTCGTTCGTGGTTGGTGGTTTTTCGGATGAAGAACGCTCGTGAGCCTGGCTCTGGTCTTGATCCTCTGATAACGCCGCTTCTTCGGCCTTGAACCAAGGCATCGCATCCTTTCTTTCAATCATAACCACCCGCGCCAGGATATCAATGCCGATCAACCCAAACGCCAACCCGTACACACTATAATACCCCCCGTTCTGATAGAGCACGCCTCCAATTAATGGCCCACACATGAGCCCCAATGTCATCGCCATGCCCACATACCCCATTGCCCTCCCCAGGGTCTTCGAGTCCATGGTATCAGCGAGCAATGCGAGACCGGCAGTCCAGACGACAGCCGTGGAAGCACCCTGGAGAATACGCCCGGCGATCCAGAGACCTAAGTTCGTGCCTATGCAGAGCAGTGCGGTGGAGATAGCCAAGGCGACGAGGCCGAACAGCAGGGGCCATTGGCGCGATTGGATTCGGTCGGCTAGGTAGCCGGTTAATGCTGTGTTTGTTAGTACGGAGCACTGATATTGTGTTTGAAGAGGGGACTGGACTCACGAGAAGCAGCCAGGAGAGAAGCTCCGTAAAGCGCTAGCAGGATTGACGTCCATTCTTGTTCTGCGGCCGTTAGCATGCATTAACAGACTATGCACAGGATGTATGCATACGCTGATCCGCATCAAGCCCAACTCTATCCTGAAGAGCTGTAGGTGCCACGGGGACAATCTATACATATCAATCAGTATGCCTATACATTTACTTCGTTCTCAGTGAATAATAGACACACCATCCCGTATAAAAACATATCCTAGATACCATTAGCACGGCCCACGGTCCAGACACGGAAATAATACCCGACATACCGTAAAAACTGCAAACGCAACCACAAACAGAATGTAATTTGGATGTGCTCGCCAGTGCAGCATAGCAGGGCGTTTCGTGCCCTTACCGGGGGTAAGCCATGTCGCCACCATGTTATGACAGCTAGTATCTATACAGGAGATATCAATTGCGAAGAATGAAATAAGAAAATCATGAAAATGCAAACAAAATGCTTAGCGACAACATTAAATATATCAAGAATAAGCACTGGAAAAGAAAGAAAAGAAATGTACAGAACCCTCGGTGTCCGCGGGTCCCGAGCCGGATTTCACGATGATGTCTTTTTACCCGTTTGGGGTAAGCGACGGAGACCGCAAAAGCCGAAAGAAGAAGGTCGACTGAGAAATTGACGGTGCGGGTTTCCGCCGGAAAACAGTGACTTGTATATGTATATCTCTGAACGGAGTATTGTTGAAGCGAAAGTGAGCCGGCAAGAGGTGGTCTCGATCTCTTGTATATTTTTAATGATTGAGTGGTTTTCCGGGTCTCGTCCCTTGCCGGTCTGCTCACATTCTGGTATGTTTGTTGATCTGTTGGATGCACATCCCCGAGATCGATGACTAATATGTACATATGTACTATGTAGATCTGTCCTATGCAAGGTGGTCATATCATACAAGTACAGCTGTGACTATTGCTATGACTACGACGTGAATGCTACAAAAACCCTCACCAAATCATCCAAAGACACCGCATCATACTCGAAAAGAACAGACCTGCGCTGACTTTCTTCACCGTATGGCTTTGATACCTGTCCAGCAATGCGATTGTCCGCACTAGGCCCGTACGTCCGCGCTGTGAAGCCAGTTGTCGTCTCTCCGGGTTTGATCGCGGGCCATGGTGCGATCCCGTGGCAGTATTTGAACATATCCTCTGCAAAAGCGGCCCCGACACTTTTCTGCTCGGGGGTCAGATACTCCCGGAAATTCTGGAATAGATATGCCACGTCTAGGATGTGAGAGGCACGGTTCTTCCATGGTCCGTCCCAGGGGTTACCCTCATTGAAGTAGTATACGTATGCGGCTCCGGGCCAGCCGCGTGCTAGAGTCAGTGTAGGCGCGAAGAAGAGGAGGTCGTTGAGGTAGTTGAGGATTGCGGGGAAGGCTTCTTCGTCGGGTTGGTTGGGGGTGATGTTGTATTTGTGTAGGATTTGTTGTGCTATGGACGGGTGAGAGGATAGGACGGTGTTAATGGCGTTGGTGAATTTGTTTGCGCAGCCTTGTTTCGTGTGAGGGATTAGGATTGCCATGATGCTTGTCTGGTGTTATTAGCAGGGGACATCTTGTCAACTCGCGGTCAGGGGTGTAACTTACATCCATTTGCGTGTCTCCCACGAGTAAACTGTCACACCAGGTCTTTCCCCTGGGCACGTTGGCCCCCTTATCACCAACTTGCGTATAGGTAACACCAGAAGGCACAATGTCACCGTCAAATGCAGGTACAAACCGAACAGACGGGGGAAGCTTGCCAATAAGGTCCTGACCGGGTGTCTCCAGCAGAAATCGGATTCTTTCCTCTGGCGTTGCATTCTCCAATCCCAGTGCCGCTATTGCCTGTTTGTAGTTCTCCTCATGCACGTCGTACGGCAAAGCCGGGAGAAGGAAGAAGCTTCCGCTCATGACGATGGCGCGTTTGAAGAGTGGTTTCTCGGAGTGAAGGTGGTAGGTTACGGATGCCGCACCAGCGCTTTCGCCTGCTACGGTCACATTTCCTGGATCACCTCCGAAGTCTTGAATGTGCTTCTGTACCCATTCTAGTGCGACTCTTTGGTCCCGGAGACCGTTGTTGGCGTTGTAGCCGGCTTTGCGGAGTTCATCTGAAGTCAGGAACCCGAAAGCGCCCAATCGATAGCTTCAGAAGTCAGCAACTATTCTCAAGTAAAAGCAACAAGTCTTACTTGATCGAAACAGCAACAACAGGCGACATTTTTTCCTTGGACAATCGGACAAACCGCCCATAATCGAACTGAGGCCACGAATTGGCACCGAGCATAAACCCCCCACCGTGGATAAAGATGAAGACCGGAAGCTTCGAAGACGCAGTGGTGCCAGCGGAAACGGTGATGTTCAGATTTAGACAGTCCACGTCTGACTGCTGGAGGTCCTTTTTGGGAAGGGTGTGTTGAATAGCGCTGAGCTCGAGGTCACAGCCGAATAGAGGGGAGACGGCAGTTGGTCTGTCAGGTTCATGTCAGTGATATTGAGCAATAGGATGGGTTAGACGAACCCGTCTCTGGTTGCGTCGAGTACATCGGCCTCGCGGCTTTTGATGAGTTCTGCGTCTGCGAATCTGTTCTTAAGAGTCGCGTATTTGATTCCAAGGTATTGGGTGGCACCATTGGCGTCTTTGCCTCGGATCTCTCCTAGTGAGGTCGTTTTGAGAGTTGCAGCCATGCTGGTACCTGTGAGGTGAGAAAGAAGGGAAGTAGTTGACTTTGAATTGGCAGTTGAGGGAGAATGGGACAATGTACAATTATTGGTCCCCTTTGGGTATTTAACCGTTGGATAAGAGCCGTGGTTATGGGAGGGGGATTTCCGATATGTATCGGAAGCGTTATTGGCCCCACCGTGGGGTATTCATGTACGGAGGATCACGAGTACGTAGGTACATATAAGTGTCTGTAAACCAATTTGTAGTTACGGAGTCCTTGGAATATATTGCTGATTGAGTTGAGCATTAAATGGATTTATATACACGCTATACCTACACCGGAATAAGTTGGTATGCAGTCAAGGTATTCTAGAAATATTCATGTTGTATAGACCCATTCGCTATTATGCACAAATCAGATGCAGAATATGATCAACATGCTATCACTGGAAATTCATGCTGTAACCACCCGTCTTGGGATCTTGAACAAAGTTGAAGTTGTCCGTGGACAGCCCAAACGGTTTGAGGATACCATTTCCCAACTGCAAAAATCAGTTACTCAATCAAGAATAGACGAATCGCATGACTTACATCCTTCAGTTTGCCCATCATTTCCGACGTCTCCTTCTCCCGAGCCTGGTTTATCCTCGCAGGAAGCTCCCGAAGAGCCTTCTGAACAACCCGTCTGTCATCCGGTGGCAGATTATCCATGGCAGTAAGTGTCTTATAGTCCTCTTCCGCTCCTTGAAGATTTGCCCAGCCGCCCTGTTGGGACCGTGCCTTAGCCCGTCGCGTGAGGGCTTTGCCTCGTATCCGTTCAACATCGCGCTTCTGTTCATCAATCTTTCGCAGTCGTTCTAGTTCCTCCTTTTCCGCATCTTCATCATCTCCGGAGATCTCAACCACGGCATCTTCTTGGGGTTCGGCCGTTTCCTTCCCCTTCGATTGGTCTGTATCCTGCTGTGCGGACGGTGGAATCACCCGGTCCAAACAATCAAGACATGCTGTTGCAGAATCGACAGCTGCCTTCCAATCCTCCAATTTCAGATAACATGCGCTAATGTTACTCCGGAGAACCGCGACATCGTAATCGAGATAGTTCGGACACGAGGCGAGGGCACGGTCGTAAGAGGATATCGCTTGATCGTAGCACGCAGAAATAAACAGCTTATTCGCTTCCGATTTGATTGTCTGAGACTCTTTTAGGAGACGCTATCATGGAGACTCGTGTGTCAGCATTCTGCATACTGCGTGGATGGGGGTAGGACGAGTGAGGGGTTTGCAGCTCACGGATTCTTCTTCAGCGGGGAACCGGGCATCGTGAAAGATGTCTTCTGCTTCGCTGTCAGAGTCAGCTGAAGACTGCTGGTTCGTGTCCTTCTTTGGAATGCTTGATGTAGCACTGGTGTCCGTCATTTTGCGCAGTGAGATCTGTCTGGTTGGAGGGGAGCTACAAGATCGTCTGGCGGCGGTCGGCGTCGGAGGTACTGGACTACCGATTATTGGCCACTGAACAATGATGCGCAGATTTTCAGGGTATTACCAGAGGAGAAGAGTTGGTTCAGTAACTACTTGTGAGACAGTACTGCGTAGAGTGCTCCGTACAGATTGCGCTGTAAAGCATGGTATTTTCACACTGGACTCTCTCATCCCGATACAATGCCTTAGTGCCTTAGTGCCTGAAGCTTGATCTCCAGGGACTAACTAGCTACACGTGACCGTTCCGCTATCCGCTTTCCCCGCACTGCGGAGAAGCTGCTAACCGATCTGGTCAGGTGACGCAAAGCAGCGCTTCTTTCGAGTCCCCGCGGGAGGCTCAGACGATCATGGTGTAGCCGGTATATATACTCCTTCGCTGCTGATTCTCTGTGTCTCCCGGTCTCCATTCATACTTTCTTCCCTACACTTTCGAACGGACTTCGCTAGGTTGTCACAATGAGTCTCTCCTCTGGGTTATCTCTTCCGTTGCGACGGTTACACGCTTCTAAACCGATATGTTCAGTCAACCGCGCGCAATCGCCAGCTTCGCTTTCAAGAGCTTTCTCGACGACTTTGAAACGGGATGCTAGCTGGGGGTTTATTGGGTTAGGGCAGATGGGTGCGTTCCATGTTCTCAGTCATACGCGGGGAATTGAACCCCGGATCAGCTACCGTCCGTCAGAATCTAACGTCATCTCTCAGGATACTGCATGGCCAAGAACCTGCGGACCAAGATTCCTGCAACAGATACGCTGGTTATCCGTGATGTGAATGAAGACGCTATGAAGAGATTTGTGGAGGAAGCACGCGAGACTGCAAAGGGTGCCGGTGCAACGGAGGACGCTTACAAGGTCGAAGTTGCGGGGTGTGCAAGAGAAGTGGCTGAGAAATCGGTAAGTGGGCTTCACCTGCGGATTGCACGACTCGCTGGGAGGTTCTAACCTACTCTACGGACAGACGGTGACTATTAGCAGCCTTCCGGAACCGCAGCACGTTAAGAATGTGTTCCACTCCATTCTGAAGCCCGGTGACCTTCCAGCCCTCGAGAAAGAACGATTGTTCATTGACACATCCACGATCGATCCGGTTTCGACCAAGGAAGTTGCAAACGCAGTTCACGCAGTACGCGCAGGACGCTTCGTCGACGCACCAATGTCTGGAGGAGTGGTAGGAGCTCGTGCTGGCACGCTGTCTTTCATGTTCGGTGCATGCTCGACAGACGGGAAGCTCGTAGAGCAGGTACAATCGGTTCTGTTGTTGATGGGAAAGAAAGCCTGGCATCTTGGCGGGCCAGGAGCTGGCGTCTCGGGGAAACTCGCCAACAACTACATCCTAGGAATCAACAATATCGCTGCTGCAGAAGCTATGAACCTGGGAGTTCGCTGGGGTCTCGATCCGAAAACACTGGCTGATATGATCAATTCCTCTACAGGCCGTTGCTGGCCAACGGAAGTAAACAACCCTGTTCCCGGGGTCGTCGAGACTGCTGCTGCATCGCGAGGATACGAAGGTGGTTTCGGGGTCAGCTTGATGCACAAGGACCTGCGCTTGGCGCTCACTGCTGCAAAGGAGTCTGGTACTCCGCTTGTTCTGGGTGACGAAGCCCAAAGAGTGTACAATGATGTCGAAGAAGCACACCGAGGGAAGGATTTCTCAGTTGTATACAAGTGGCTGCAGGAGAAATCCCAATAGTATAAGTTATGAACTACGAATATTTACATTATCTTATCTAGTATGGTCGAGTCTCTTTTCTGTGCATAGTACCTCGGGATAGTAAATAATGAACAGTGAATAGCAACGACTTCTACGATTACGAAGATCTGATAATATTAGTTAACTACGATCGATATTCATTTAAACTAAGAAATGAAGTGAATTAACGATATCCCACTGTATTGTTTACTCATGGTTGCGTTCTACGTTGGTATTGTGTCCGACCCTCGCACCTTCCCAAACGAGCGACTGCCTAGTTCTCAACCACCGAAGAGCCTCTTTCCTTCCTAACCTGGACAGGAGGCTCCTGCCTTCTGGCCGTCGTGCCTTCCGTCTTTGGGCCTCTAAAAACCCTCCTCCCTCCGTCTTCTCTCCATCCTCTTCTTCTTCTCTTTCTTTCTCTCCTCAACCTCTTCCCATCGTATCCCTTCTACCATTCGTCTTCTTTTCCCTATCTATCATCTCCATTGATGCCAGAGCTGCATTTGCTGCTCATTCTGTCTCTTTTAAACTTCTTCGAGGCCATATTGTCTATTCTCACCATCGAGCTCTTGCTCTCGTTCTTTTTCCAAATCCTTGTCCTCCTGTCTGGAGGTTCGGCTACCTGGATCCAAGGTACTTCACTTTTGTTGGCCATATCTCTGTGGTACTTCTCTCGACACTAAGTAAGTTGATAGCCTTGTCCCTCTGAGTCCACCTGGCTATCCTGTCTCTGGTTTGATACTGACAGATCAAGACAGTCGTTCTCCGTGCTCGTTAGAGCGTCTGCTATTCCACCCGGTCTTATCGTGGTACATCTCGTTTGTCTCTACACCCTCTCTAATTTACCTTGATAACCCTATCTCATTTCGTTCTTCTGGACCCTTTAGCAGACTGCACATGTCAATTGACACTTCCTTCTTCGAGCATATGGCTAACCATCATGAAGATCCTCTATTTAGGACTGCAACCATGCAACTCCCGACTCAACAGCAGACTGCCTCCACTGATTCCGTCCCGGCTTCCAACGGCCAACCTGGACAGTTTCCGAATGAGAACCACGCTCCGTACGCTCCGGGTTACCAGCAGATCCCACCTGTCAACAACCGTGATGCCAACGGACAGACCCTCCCACAACTCTTCGCTGGTCTCAACCTCCAGAACCAGCGTCCGGGTGCCAAGTTTGGTCCCATGAAAGGCAACCTTCCTTTGCCAGTGGCTCCTTTCGATCTCTCTGGATCTCGTACGCTGTACAATGGTCAATTTGTTTATCTTCCCAACGGGGCTCTTGCCAATGGAACCTTGTTCAATGGCATGCCTCAAGTCCCTTCTTTTGCTCCTACTCTTCCTGGACACGAACAGCTGGGCCAATTCCCATATCTGTCTACTGGAATGTACCCAAACGTTAACCCTGGCTGCTCCATCGTCCCGGGCGCTATGTCGGGATACCCTCTCCCGTATTTGGTGAACGGTGAGGTCCAGGACCAGACGGGCCAAAAGAAGAACTCCTGGGGCTCTAGTGAGGAAAGCAAGGCATCTGCTCCAGCGTCCTCTGATGCCCAGCCGGAGTACTACGCCAATTCTACTGTTCCCAGTGTGGAAGGTTCCAACATCCCGAACTATCCATACAGCATTCCTCAGCAGTTGGGCCAAGCTTGTTTGCCGTTGCAGATGATGAAGACTCCAACCGGTTATGCCTTGCAGGATCTCGAGGCGTTGACGCAACAGGAGCCGTCGATCCCACGGGCCGTTCCTGCCATGTGGACCAATCCTTCGGAGATGACCCTGGCTAAATGTCTCGAGAATCGTGAGGGCATCACAAACGTCTACATCCGTGGTTTTCTTCCTGAGACCACGGATGAGATGCTACACGATTACGCATCTCGTTTCGGAAAGATTGACCGCTGCAAAGCAATCGTGGACTTGGATTCTGGTCTCTGCAAAGGGTATGTATGCACCTTCCCCGTTCTTTGCTCTACTTGATACTGATCCTAAGCTTGCAGGTTCGGCTTCGTCCAGTACTTCAATTTCGAGTCTTGCGAGAACTGCATTCGAGGCTTTTTCTACCTCGGATACCAAGCTAGCTTCGCCCAGGTGAGTTTACCCAATGACTCGTTCTCCCGTCGACTCTGCTAACGTGGTGCAAAGAAATCACGTAATTCACGACTCAAAGACCTCGAAGACAGAATGTCAACCAACATCTACTGCACCAACCTTCCGATTGACTGGACTGAAGCGGTAAGCGAACCGAAATCCCATCGATCATTGCTTATGTGCTAACTTGGGAATGTCTCTTGAAGGACCTTCGCATTCATTTCGAACCATACCGCGTCGTTTCTGAGAAGATCAGCCGTGACGAGAAAACCGGAGTGAGCAAGGAAGTCGGTTTTGCACGGTAGATACCATCGACCCGGTTATCCAGAGCATGCCCAATGAGCTAACACCATCCCCAGTTTCGAAACACGAGACATTGCAGAGAAAGTCTTGGGCGAATTCCATAACGTGATTGCAGAAAATGGTGTGAAGTTGCTTCTTCGCTTCGCAGACACGAAGGCCCAGAAGATGTTGAAACACCAGAGCAATGAACGCCGTGCCTATCGTGCTGGAGAGTATAGTTACTCGGTCGAGGTGGTCCAGGGTTCTACCCCGTCACCTTCGTTGCATCGTCTCCGGCAGACCGCTTCTCATATCAGCCCTAACTCCCAGCTGAGTTATGCATCGCCACTCGGAGTAGGTTCCACTTGGACTCCCGCAACGTCAATTTCCCCGTCGTACGTATACAGAAATGTCTGACATTCGGCTCTTAAGTGTACTGATAAGAGAAGCAGCTGCGCTCTGGCGAAAAACCCCGCGAACGGCACACGGTTCAATCCTCGGTCGGCACGCAACAGTCCTAATGCCCTCGAGGATACCCCGGTCTACCGTGGACGGCTGTCTTCTGTGAACCGCAACGGGTTGACCGACATTTCCGCTGGCTCTGGTAAGACCGTCCTTCCGAGTACTCCGTGTTCCCAATCGAAGTCGCAGTCCAAGTCCGAATCCTGCAGCCCTCAAAAGCAGCACACCAGGTCTGGGTCCACGTCGCCGTCCTCTTCCCGTGAGGAAGTTATTGTGTGTTCGCCCCGTTCGCTTGTTTGAAACGACTTTTTTTCTATGCTACTATACCTTCCAGTCAGCGTGACGTATTTATATGCCAGCCGCTCTTCCCGTTGTGCATGAGTTCGTTCCAATACATGGAAAGATGCCGCTTTTTTACTCGATTTATGATAACAGCTGTATTGCAGTCATATATTTTTGAGCGTGACATTTGCCATTTGTTTCTTTGGGCCGATTTCTTCTTTGTTTTCGAATTTGATTTCCTGTTGCCATTGTTTTTGTTTGACGTTAATCACCATTGTTATCCACTAATAGGTGCTGTCGGAGAAGACATTGAAAGGGATATCTTGTTCTTTATCTGTCTATTGATGTATGTCTTTCCTGTTTGTACCCCAAAAGAAATGCAATTAGTCAACATGGTATGTCTCTTACTCCATCCAATATAAAACGAATCACCCAGCGGTAACGCTCACAACTAGATACACCAATACCATTGCAGATACTCGGTAACGATCTAGCGTACAGCCTTATTTAGCTCACCACGGTGCCTTCAGGGTTCAATTGCGGCCCAACCGTTCCTCCAAATCCTCTGTTAATTCGTAGGCAGGTCGGAAGCGTTTATCCCCTTCCTCCGAGCTGTCGACACACAATATAGGATTGGGGTAGGTGTCTGTGGTGCCACCGAGACTGGTGTAGCCCTGATCGTAGAGAGAACAGTACTCGAAACCAAGATGACGGATAAACGACCAGATCTCAGCGTAATGCCAATCGATAACGGGATGAATGCGGACGAAGTCGGGCCATCCTCTATCCGTACGATCAAAATGCGTCAACTTGGCGCCATGAGGGTCCGTACGACGAGTCCCAACGAAAATCGCCTTCACAGCCGGATTCAACGCCAAATAATCCTCAAAACTCGACCTCAGCGTCGTCCGCGGCGGATCCGTCGTATACTTGATAATCGAAAGATGATATTCCCTCGCCGAAGACTTCACAAACCCCTCCACATCCGGGAACGGGTCCGGTGGTAGTGCATAGATAGCGGGGATCGAGACAAGCCCACCTTCCTCGGGGGGCGGATGGGGATGCAGACTTGCGAGAAAGAGAACAAGGAGCACGAGACAGTCTTTCCCGCCGTTGTAAGAGAGGGAGAGTTGCGCGAGGGGATACTGGGAGAGGGCTGTTGCGAAGACGTCGAGGGAAGTGCGGGTTTGGTGCTGGACGGCGGCAAGGAGGGAGTCGGGGGGATGGGATTCGGAGAGGAAGGAGTGGATGCGAGTATAGAGGGATGCGATTACGGTGGAGAGGGGTGGTAGCGTTTGCTGTGGTGGTTCTGGTATCGAGTTCTCGGATTGTAGGTGTGGTTGTGGTTGAGGTGGTTGATTCAGAGGTGCGGTGCCATTGGGATTAGGGAGCGCTGTGCCGTTGCTGCTGCTGTCTGGACTAGTGTTGGAGATTGTTGTCATTCTGTTTCTTTCCAGGATTCCGGATTGGGTTCTTGTCTGGTTGTATCTGGTCTTTTCCTTTGTTCGGAGGTTAGGAATTAAGGGCGGTGTTGAAATGTGTCAATGGAGGCGGACGAGGAAAGAGAGGACAGCATTAATTTTATAGCAGCAACATAAGGAGAGTGAGTCAAGCAGATTAACCAGGTGTAAGAGTCCCGAGACAACGACAGATAAGGGAGAATTGCAGCGAACGCAGGATGACAGGTTTCTTTGCGAGAGAATCTTCTGGGCGCCGAAGCCGCCGTTAGCCCCGCATCCCGTGAAATCAGCGCCGCGGCCGATTGCTCTTTAGGGTATTCTACGAGATATGAACATGTGGCTTGTGGTTATCAATTCTCATTCAAAAACAATCCAACGCCGAGTCGCTACTAAGAATATAAAGAATACAGTCGATTATCCCAGAACTTTCATCTTTTTCTTCTTCTTCTTGCCCTCTCCATCCTCACCACTCTTCTTCCGCCCCTTTTGCCAATCTCGCCAAGTCGATATTCGCTCTTCCCGCGTATCTTCCCAAGCCTTATCTGAATCGCGTTTCCGTTTCCGCTCCTCAATCTCCTCATCTTCCTTGCGCCGCTCCCGTCCTTCTTCCTGCAACTTCGCCTTAGCCTGTCGCCGGCGTCGCGCTTCTTCCTCCAATAGCACGTGTACCGTCTTCTGTCGCCATTCCTTCTTGAATTCTTCGGTCTTTAACTCCGGGGAGTCGAGGGTGTACTTGTGCTCGCGGATAAGGAGTCGTCGCGCGTCGGCGATACACTCGTCCAGGTACGTGCGAGATTTCTCTTCTAGCAACGCGGTTTGTGCTTTCTTGAGACGATCGAAGGCATCTGGGGCGGCAGGGTTCTTGGTCTTATCGGGGTGAATGAGGAGGGACTTTTTGCGGTATTGGATTTTGATGTCGGATTCGGCGACACCGGGTTGGAGGTCTAGCACGGAGTATCTGTTCAGGCCAAGCTTGTCAGCAGCGAACGAGGTAAGCGTAGATACAGGACTCACGCGTCTAGCTGGAATGCCTTGCGAATGCGATCAATCTCTGCGTCCTGTAGTCATGTTAGTTCTGGTTCCTGGCGTAATAACACCACGGTATCTCGGTGCATACCTTGGTAAAGTCCGACGCCTCCTTCTCTAGCGCATCCAATGCATCTTGTTCCTCGTCCGGCATCTTGTCGATAGCTCTCTGAAACGTAGAACTCCAAATCCAGAACAAACGAGACGTTGGAGTCTGTAGCGTCGGCAGAGGAAAGCGCAGATAAGCGCCGAAGCGCGCCAATCTTATCGGGGGCTGAGTCAGCAGGTGGGCGGTCGAAAAAAATTGCTTCACCGCCCGCCGGTGGAATTATTCACTTTATCCTACTTTTTCTCCAAAACAGAGGATACCAAAAGAGCACGGAAGAGTTTCATCATGGCGCCCGGGAAGCTCAGGAAACCGCAGCAAAAAGACAAGACGCTGAAGCGCAAGCGCGGACAGGAAGAGCTGTCGTCGCTTGTCTCACGGGTCGAACAACTCGACATCAAGGAATCGTTCAAGACCTTCTCCGATCTCCCTCTCTCTGAACCTACGGCCTCCGGATTGACTGCTTCGCATTACAAGACGCTTACGGATATCCAATCTCGTGCGATTACCCATGCGCTCAAGGGTCGGGATATTCTAGGTGCCGCGAAAACCGGTAGTGGCAAGACGCTTGCGTTCCTCGTCCCCGTTCTCGAGAACCTTTATCGCAAGAAGTGGACGGATTACGATGGATTGGGCGCGTTGATTCTGTCGCCGACTCGCGAACTGGCGATTCAGATTTTCGAGGTCCTTCGCAAGGTCGGGCGGTTCCATGCGTTTTCGGCGGGTTTGGTTATTGGAGGGAAAAGTTTGCGGGAGGAACAGGAGCGGTTGGGACGGATGAATATTCTTGTTTGCACACCGGGTCGGATGTTGCAGCATTTGGATCAGACGGCGCTGTTTGATACTTTCAATCTGCAGATGCTGGTTATGGATGAGGCGGATCGTATTTTGGATATGGGATTCCAGCGCACGGTGGACGCGATTATCGAACATATCCCCAAGGAGCGACAGACCATGCTTTTCAGTGCGACGCAGACGAGAAAGGTTTCGGATCTGGCCCGTTTGAGTCTCCAGGATCCTGAATATGTGGCTGTCCATGAGGCAGCTTCTTCCGCTACGCCCTCGACGCTTCAGCAACACTACGTCATCACCCCTCTTCCGCAGAAGCTGGATGTTCTGTGGAGTTTTATCCGGAGTAATTTGAAAACAAAGACGATTGTGTTCATGTCGGCAGGGAAACAGGTGCGGTTTGTCTACGAGGCTTTCCGGCATCTGCAGCCTGGTGTTCCGTTGATGCATCTTCACGGGCGGCAGAAACAGGGAGGGCGAATGGATATCATGACCAAGTTTGCGCAAGCGCAGGAGGCTGTTTTGTTTGCTACGGATATTGCAGCGCGTGGGTTGGATTTCCCAGCTGTGGATTGGGTCATCCAGTTGGATTGCCCGGAAGATTCTGATACGTATATCCACCGTGTTGGACGGACGGCACGGTACGAGCGCGATGGTCGTGCTGTTATTTTCTTGGAGCCCAGTGAGGAAGCGGGCATGTTGAAGCGCCTCGAGCAGAAGAAGGTCAAGGTCGAACGGATCAACGTCAAAGCCAACAAGCAACAGAGCATCAAGGATCAACTACAAAACATGTGCTTCAAGGATCCAGAGTTGAAATACCTGGGACAAAAGGCGTTTATCGCTTACGTGAAGTCGATCCACCTACAGAAAGACAAGGAAGTGTTCAAGCTAAAGGAGCTTCCGCTGGATGAATTTGCAGGCAGTATGGGTCTACCCGGAGCACCGCGTATCAAGTTCATCAAGGGAGACGACACCAAGGACCGCAAGAACGCCCCACGAGGCCTCAACCACCTATCGAGCGACGAGAGCTCCGAAGACGAGAGCGGAGAGAAGAAGCAGAAGAAGAAGGACGAACAGCAGGTCCGCACCAAGTACGACCGGATGTTCGAGCGACGCAACCAGGACGTTCTGGCGGGTCACTACTCGAGACTCATCAACGACGACGGCACGGTTGTTGGTGAGAAGTCTGCTACCACTGACGCCGATGAAGACGACGATTTCCTTTCCGTCAAGCGCCGCTTCGAAGCCGGCGACAAGGACCTGGACGTTGGTTCCGACGAGGAGGAAGAAGAAGGAGGAGGAGAAGGCAAAGACGTCAAGGTGGTCAACGTCGACGGCCGCGACGACAATCCCCTCGTCATCGACTCGAAACGCCGCGAAAAACTCCTCCAATCCAAGAAGAAACTCCTCAAATTCAAGGGCAAGGGCACGAAACTCGTCTACGACGACGAAGGCAACGCGCACGAACTCTACGAAATGGAAGACGAGAAGGACTTCCAGGCCCGCGGCGCCGCCAAGGACCAAATGGCCAAGTTCCTTGCGGAGGAGGCAGAGCGCACACAACAGGCAGATGTCCAGGACAAGGCACTGGCCAAGCAGAAGAAGCGCGAGAAGAAGGAGAAGCGCAAGGCTCGCGAGCGCGAACTCGAGGCGGAGGAAATGGGTGTCGAGACTGGTGGGGAGCTGCCCTTCGTTGGACCCATGGAAGACCTCGGTGGCTACAGCGACGACGACAGAGATCAGGACGTACAGGAAGAAAAGGAGAAGCGACCAAGCAAGAAACGCGTGCAGTTTGCCGAATCCGAGAGCGAGGAAGAGGAAGAGCCTCGACCCAAGAAGAGCAAGAAGTCCGACAAGAAGGTGGAGCCAGAAAAGGTCCAGACACTGGAGGATTTGGAAGCGCTTGCCAGTGGATTGCTTGGGTGATTTGTGGTGTATATTGTGTTTTGTGGTGGGTTTCTTCGTATACTTTGTTCATGTCGATGTCGAATGTTTTCTATCTGTTCGAGCGAAAAAGGGTACCTCAGCATTGATTGTTTTATAGCATTGTACATAGATAAAATAATTCGTTTACACATTTCATCAAGTTCAATTCTCAGAAAAATGATAACCAACACCCAGGGTATGCACCATAAAATCCAAATGAGAAAGGTGGACCTGATCGGGAACGAGGTCGGATTAGGTCGCACTCTTCCCCGATTGGTCAGGTCTTTTGGACCCTTAACCGGTAATAGAGGGATCTGATATAGCTCAAAGGATCATAGTAGATGCTGAGTGATATATATACTGAAGCCAAGCTGTACCTGCATATTTCAATGCCGCTGTTGTGAACCGTGGTACATGGCAGCTGTCCTACTCATAGCCCTACTTCGACTTACAATCAGGGTTGCCAGTTTCTGTTTATGGCTGATCATAATGTATTCAATCGGAACTGCCCGTTCTCAAGAATAGACGGCCAGTCACATGCTCTCCTTCCCGAAGCACGGGATCTCCTCATCTCCACCGGATCTGACGCCATCGCTGTCAACCACACAGTCCTTCATCATTATCGCGCATATCTTAAATTTCTTCAATTGACAGAATCACCATGATTTTCAGGTCCTGCATGCGATTCATTGACGCTCCATCACCCCCCAATCACCAGCCAAAATGACGGTCCGCGACGTCGAAAAGCAGCACCCACAGACATCGGAGATTTCCCCAGATCCCCACAACCCCAGCAATCATGTCAACGCGGATAAACTGGCTCGCAACTTGTCGGCCCGCCAGGTGCAAATGATTGCTATTGGAGGGACCATTGGAACTGGTTTATTTCTCGGAACGGGCAAGGCGTTGGCAACCGGTGGACCGGCGTCAATGCTCATTGCATATGCTATATGCGGGGGGATTGTCTTCGTGACGATGTTGTGTCTGGGTGAGATGGCGGCTTTTGTTCCGGTTGCGGGGTCTTTTTGTACTTTTGCGGGGTGAGCTCTCTGCTTTATGATATGGGAAAGGCCAAGCTAGCTAACTATATTAGCCGGTTCGTCGACGATGCACTCGGGTTCGCGTTGACGTGGAACTACTGGTTTAATGATGCTGTGTCGACGGCGTCGGATGTTATAGCGCTTCAGCTGTTGCTTGAATTCTGGACGGAGAATTTTCCGGGCTGGGCGATTAGTTTGATATTCCTCGTGGTTGTGATTGCGTTGAATGTCTTGTCCGTCAAGGTTTATGGAGAGGTAAGACTGTTCTCTTTGAGTTGCGGAACAGAGCTAACTGCAACAGGTCGAGTATTGGCTCAGTTTGCTCAAGGTCGTGACTATCGTGGTATGTTCCGCATCTTTGAATGAGAGACGACGGTTTTAATGCAGACAGATCTTTATCATCATTGGAATTGCTGTCAATTGTGGTGGAAACACGGATCACAAGTACATCGGGGATAAGTTCTTTTATACCGGCGATGCCCCGTTTGTTGGTGGAATTGGTGGCTTCGCATCCGTTTTTGTCACGGCCTCATTTGCCTAGTAAGTCATTTCATTCGAGGACCAAGATCGATTGACTGACACTCTCAGCGGCGGCACCGAATCCATCGCAGTCACAGCCGGGGAGACAAAAGACCCCTCCAAGAACCTCCCCCGAGTCGTCCGCAACGTCTTTTGGCGCATCATCCTCTTCTACATCGTCTCCATCATCATCATCGCCCTAAACGTCCCCTACACCTACCCTGGCCTCTCCAACGGCGAAACCGCCACCAGCCCCTTTACCATCGTCTTCACGCAAGTCGGTTCCGCCGCCGCAGGAAGTTTCATCAACGCCGTGCTCATGACCAGCGCCATATCTGCAGCAAACCACGCACTCTTCGCAGGCTCCCGCCTCCTCTACTCCCTAGCGGTCGACGGCTACGCCCCCCGCTTCTTCGGCCACCTCAACCGCTTCCAAGTCCCCTGGGTAGCCGTGCTCTCAACATCCGTAATTAGCGGTCTCTGCTTCGGAGCAAGCTATATCGGCGCCGGGCAACTCTGGTCCTGGCTGCAGAACATCGTCGGCGTCTCGAACCAGCTCTCCTGGGTGTGCATCTGCATATCCTCGCTACGCTTCCGCTCCGCTATCAAGCACCAGAACCTCGAACACCTGTTACCCTTCAAGAACTGGACGTATCCGTACGGTCCTATTGTCGCGGCGGGGCTGAATATCGTGCTTATATTGGTGCAGGGGTGGAGTTGTTTTAGTCCACGGTTCAAGGTGGTTGATTTTGTATCGTTTTATGTCGAAATTCCGATTATGCTGGGGATGTTTTTGGTTTGGAAGATGTTTAAGAGGACGAGGTTTGTGAGGAAGGGGGTTATGGATTTAGTTACAGATCGGTATGACTTGAGTCGGGAAGGTGTGAATGGGGTTGAAGAAGATCAGGATGTGCAACAGGGTAATACAGGTATATGGAGGCGCTTTGGTAGAGGGGAGAAGAGTGGTAAAATAGCAGGGAAGATGAAGAGGGTAGGGATGTGGCTATTCCTTTGATACCCGTCTACAACATCCAGAATCGAGCCCATAATATCTAAAAAAATTCACTGATATTAAACATACAAGTCAAGTCTAACCTATATCCCAGCATGTATACCATATATACGTATCTTTACAAAAACATCTCCAAACGTAAATGCAAGATAAGAGCAAGCGGATGCATCAATCAAAGAACGCAGAATCAAAGCAAGAGCAAAAAAACAAGTAAACCAGCAAAGAAAAACGAGTAAGTAAACCAAAAGAACGAATGGACGTCAACCCAACGCCGTCGGTGCCAAAACCCCGATGGCCCCGTAATGCCATAGCCATAATAAAACGAGTCGAGAGTAAAGTTCAACGCAATCCCAGAAATAACGAGTCATTGGGTATCCTAAGCGAGCAAGCGAGAGCGAAGTGACATAGGAGGTGAGGGATGCTGGATGTGGGTGATGTGAGGTGGATTATGTCAGAGAGTGAGATATGAGAAAAGGAAAGATCGATCATAGTCAAACAAAGGAAATATTAGAGAGAGTAGACAAAGGGAAGAGATCACAAAGGAAATAATGGTGGGACACCTCACATCCAGCAGTGGAGAGAATCGAGTCGACAGTAAAAGGAAAGATGGTGTTAGTGCAGATCATCGACAACCATGACAAAAGCAAGAAAACAGAAATTGAAAACAAAAAAAAAAAAAAAAAAGAAAAAAGAAAAAAGAAAAAAGAAAAAAGAAAAAAGAAAAAAGAAAAAAGAAAAAACCAAAGAGAGACATTAAAACCATCTACAGCTGTAGACCCAGCTACAAAAATAAAATCCTCTGTAGCCCCGATCCTAAGCGGAGCGGTGAGGAAATGCAAATTGTCAACGACAATAACAGCGAATGGTTTAATCATTAACCATATCATCCAAGGCCATCTTTCGACGCTTGGTGGGCCTTCCATCGCCACTTTCGCCCTCCGCCCCGGACTGCGATTCATCCCTTGCTTGTGCATGTACATGTGCATGTGTGCTGGACGAAGGCAAGTGGACTGAGTGCCGGTGCGCGGGGGTAACGGACTCTGGCGGTCGCGGGAGGGTCTGCTTCTGAGGGAAGTTGAAGTCGGTAGGAGCAGGGTGGTAGTGGTGGGTCTGCGTTTGAGGCGAGATGGGGTCCATGAGACTCGGGTGGTGTTGGTGTTGGACCATTGGGGGAGGGAGTTCCTCGCGGGTGCGCGGGGACCAGGACGGTGGGAAGGGGTCGCTCAATCGGTGGCTTTGGCCTGGGGGGGGTTGCACCTGCGCTTGGCATCGGGGGGTAGATTGGGGGGAGTCGAACTGGGGACTCGAGGTAGGTGTCTTGGGGGTCCCGCGAGAGGGGCGATTCGCCCATAGGCTGGCGACTCATGTATGGCGAGCCACCGTAGACGGGTTGGTACGTCGGCGGGGAGGTGGTTTGCGGTTGGAAGGGCTGGTTCGCGTAGGATGATGGTGGTCTTCCCATGACTGGGGCCATACGGCTTCCTCCGAAAACGGGGCTAAGGGGTCCGGCCATGGGGACGTATCCTGGTGGCGGAGGAGCTGCTCCTCCCAGCGGCTGGATCGATCCCGCTGAAGAGAACCTCCTGTGTCCTGGGTTTCCTGGCATCGCCAACGCAGGGTCGACCGCTTGAGGGGTGAACATCGAGGTAGACCATCTCTGCGGCGGCAGTCCCATTGATCCTGGATGCGCAGGCATTTGCAAGTCCGTCAGGGGTCGGATCTCGCGAGAACCAGTGGTTCTGTGTAGGGTACGCCGGGCCTGCGAAGCCTGGTCTCCTGACGCTGTATGGTCGAACCGCGTGCTATACGGTCTCAGAGAAGCCTCCTCTGCCTTGAGCGGCGGCCTTCCTCGTTTCTTGTGCGTAACATCAACGCATGTCGAGGATTTGCCAGACAGAACACACCGTCGACACGGCCGTGCGGAATCACAACCCAGATGCTTCTTCTTGCAATTGACACACGCAGACGCCACATGAGCCTTTGTACGCCGGGTCGGCTTCTGGGTCAGATTTCTCGACGCTGATCCAGGGGACGTAGTAGTCGGGATGACAGGCGGATACGACATTTCAGGCTGCGAAACGTCTTGCGGGCCAAACGACGGCGACCATCTTGGGGCTGGCGGATCATGATAAGCAAGCGGTGGCTGGGCATGCTCCTGAGTCGACGCAGCCATGGACGACGTCGGAGCGCCAATAGCACTCGACACACCCGTGGTCGTATTCAACGGCTGAGGAAGCTCTGGATGTCCCCAACGTCTTGCATGGCCCGAGATATCCAAGGGATCGTCACCACCAACCGAGTCGGACATAGGTCGAGGGAGTGGAAGGGCCCGAGGGCTGTACCCTCGAGCATGAGTTGAACAAGATCGATCCAACGGGAACCTCTCCGGGCTCGAATTAAACCTGGGCAGTCCGAACTGGGGCGTCGTGACAAAGGGGGCAGGAGGGAGAATTAAGGATTGCATCTGGCAGCAGAGCACAGGAGAATAAAACAAGACACTTGACACGAAGCGAGGAGAGGAAGAAGGGATGGTGAATTCACAAGATGCTGACAGGAAAGACAGTCACAGCATATCCGGCCCTCGCAGCGAAATCTCTCCGTGGTTGGCAAGTAATCTCAAGTTCCTCCCGTCAATAAATCGAGAGTATTTATTATCCTGATGCTTCGGAATCGAGGAGACTAAAGGAGCTTATAATATATGTCAGTCTGAAGATCCACGATTGGAGTAGTCACATAAGAAAGGGTCCGTCGGTCAGCGGCCAGACGCCCCCGGATCAGGATGACAGTATATAGTGACTATGTATGCACTATTTTCCCAATCTGGAGCTCCGATGGCCTCCATGCCGGCGTTGATTTATTGCAGCACAGGGCGATCAATGGAGCTAGGGAAGAGACAGCGCAGAGTGCAGACCAGTAGTGGAAGATAATAAAAGAAGCACGAATATTAAAAAAAGAAGGGCCTTACATCCCGAAAAAAAAAAAAAAAAAAAAAAAGGACGCTATACCTTACCTTCTCGAAGCGAAAATAAATGCACGTTAATTGTCTTTATAGGCGAACACGTCCAACTCTCTATGCGCAGAATGCAGCCAAAGAGTTAAAAAAAAAAAAAACGGCGAACTATACCGGAGGCGCAGGATATCGGTGGAACGAAAGACCTTATTTTATGATCTCCCCAAAAAGAGGAAATTAAAAATAAGAAAGGGCAATAGATTTAGAGCAAAAGAAAAGCCGGAAGTAATCGGAGAGATGAGCTCTCTTTCCTTAAGCAAGAGCCTGGTGGTCCGGTATACTTTCTTTTGAATCTGCGACAAGGAAAAGAGAATAAGAAAACGGAGGGATCTCCAGCAACAGTATTGGTCTCTGGCAATGTCAGCTGTCGTCTTGCAGGTTATCGACAACGCTTATACCTGCAGCACAACGAGAGCAAAGGTCGAGAAGGGGAGGGGAAAGGGAAAAATGGGTTAAGTGATGGATGGTCATACATCCATTTTCGCAGTAGAACGGACAAATGCTAAGTTTAAAGTATAAGAGGAGTAAGTGGCCAAAGTCACTGCGACTAGCAACCGATAGACTTGATCTCCATCCGGGCAGATCTAATGGGGATCCTCCCCTCCTCTTCTTCCCATTCGGGAAATACGGCAGTGTATTGTAGCTTATGCGAGACTGCTTTTTTTTTTTTTTTTTTTTTTTTTTTCCCGCCTACCTTTTCCTGTCTGCCTTCTGTAAGTGGGTAAAATAGGAGGAGTTAGAATGCTTCCAATCCTCCGGGGACCCAGTCCAATAAGCTCGATCTTCAGACGGTTCCATACCGGGAGTGGGTTCGTTAAAGGATCGCCAAATAGTATAATTTTGAGAAAAAGAAAAAGTGAAAAAGTGAAAAAGTGAAAAAAAAAATAAATAAATAAAATAATAAAATAAAATAAAAGTATTATTTCTTTTTCCTGAATTATTCTGTAATGCTCGCTTTTTCCCCTTCAGTGGTCCGGACAGAGTAGTCTTCCGGTATTGGAGACGACCAATTCGGAATGAATGCCACGGTCCAAGTCAATGATACCCGTCGCAAAAAGTGGACTAGTACTCTGTAGTAGATGAAAAGGGAGAGGGGCTAGAAGAAAAATAGAAAAGAAAAAGCCGGGCCATAATAATACTGTATAGTGAAAGTGGTCCGGTCTGTATGGACTTGGACTATTATGGAGACGGGGACGGAAGTGCAGCCAGAGTCCTCCACCTCCACGGTGGAAGGATTACATGCGTATAGTATCTCTCTGTACTCCGTACTCCCGTCTACTATGCAGATGGACTCAATTGGGGTGGTGACATGAAGCAAGTCCGCATGGGGAGCAAATCAGGAGAGCTAGAGGGGGGGGGGGGGAGGAAGAACTGTTGAAGCAAGGCGAGAGACGGATCGACGCCGGCGCCCGCCGGCCATTGGCAATAGTTCCTCGGCAAGGATGAGCATTCCTGGGCGATCTGGTGAAATAGGAGCATTTCTTTTTTTTTTTCTTTCTTTTTTTTTCGTTTTATTTCTCGTCAAGGTCACCGGGCATACATACTTCGACCAGGGAACAATAATAATAATAATAATAATAATAATAGCATCCTGGAGTTTCTTCCTTCTCATTCAGACCATTGAGACCACTCAGACCCGAGGTGATATCCGCTCGTCACGAATGAGAATTGAATGGTTCGGTCCATAGACTGTTGCTTTTAAAGCATATGCTTAATTTTCTTGGATTTTCCTTGAATCCCTTCAATCAGCAGCAAACTCCTGGTCTCGGAACATTATGATTGGAGCGCTTCCCCTCTTTTTTTTTCTTTTTCTTTTTTTCTTTTTCTTTTTTGGAGAATTGGAGGGGAGGGATGCGTGTATCTTGTCCCGGATTTGGTTGCAATAAGATGCAGCATCGCAGCTCTCCCGGTCACTCGGAAACTCGTTGTCCTTTGCCCCCAGCGCCAGGTCAATCATCTTACTTTGCTCAATATGCGGCTCTCCATCCCATGCGGGTCTCTGGTGATTTCTACTCCCGTACGGAGTACCATGCTGTTTACGGGCACACTCCTCCTCGAAGGAATGACATCAAGGTTTTGACGATCTGAATCCTTTTTCCGAAGCAAGACCGTAAAATATGGGACTCTGGGTACATATGTCACTCTCGGATGGACACACAATAGGGAGACCCAGGGGCATGGGTCCCTATGATCAGCCCCCGAAAACTTACTTCGGCGTCTTCGCACCCCAAGACTTGTCGTGTCAATAAAATACTAAACGACCCCAAAAGACGCTGCCTGACAGGTGGATTTGAGAGGGTTTTTTTTTTTTTTTTTTTTTTTTTTGTGTGACTGTGACGCCAGGACGATAATCGGCCGAGCAACACTTATGTGCACATTTTATTTCTCCGCAGCGGTTCCGTGGCGCGTTGCTGAGAACGACCCACCACCATATTGTAGCACTGCCGGGTTGGTCTACCTGAGCATCTTGGTACATCTGACTTTCAAGTATTCCGATGTACTCGTACACTGCAATAACCTCATGGAACCGAGTCCCTGAAATCCAACGGCTTGGGTGAACGGCCTCGGAACAATTAGAAAAAGGAACAACAGTGAAGAAAATGAGACATGCAGAGCTCCATGGGTCCAGCAAAGCCTCCACAGTGTAAAGCCGGTTTAGGCAAGGTACAGTAGGGATTCCAAATCAGTCTCAAATCCAGAGGGATCAGACAGCTGCAGGCGCTTAGTCCGGATGGCTGGGCATCACATGAGTTTTGAGTTGCACCGTTCGCCGTTGTCAGATTCAACGGTGTGTACTCCGTATGTTCTCCTTTGTGGTATACTACTAGTACTCCGTACATACTCCGTACATACTCCGTACGCTCATCATTGGGCTCATGATGCAAAAGGGGGGCAAAAAATGGGAAATTGAGACGGTAGGAAAATTTTGGCGTTGTGATCTTCCGGAGAGGGGACCATGATCAACCTCCTGGTTAACGGACTCCGATTACCGGTTGAATTCTCCTTCTCCCTAGCTCCATCCGGACATTATTGTCAGAAATCGCGAAATTTCATGGGAGGAGAAAAAAGACTCTTTTTTTCCGGACTATTGCACAATAACCCATTCGGGCCGTCTGATAAGATCCACATCCAGCACGGAGCAATGGAGCTGATCGAGCGGAAGGGCCACAGCGATCAACAATGAATTGAGTGACGGGTTCACTAAAGCTAAGGGTCAACGGTCATGGCTGCCGTGTGCATTAGGAGTCCAGTGCACGTAAATCATGTTTTGTAAGAATTTCAAAAGGATGAATGTTATTGGGAATACTCCTGATTATTCCATCGGTTTACGCCGAGTCTTTCGGGAAATTGTCTACTGTCTTTGTGTTGTCATTGGCATCTTTTTTCTTTTCTTTTTCTTTTTCTTTTTTTTTTTTTTTTTTTTTTTTTTTCCGGGTCCTGTTTATGGATGGATCCAGTTCTACAGTCTACATAGTACGGAACAGAATGCTAAAACCTTTTCGAGAAAGAGAACGAGATTCCCCGATCACCACCGAACCTCTATTTCGCGGTTGGAAAATAATTAAACAGAATTCTTCCCATGGAACATGCCATAGTACGCGGAGTACAGCAAGGGGCGGCAGATGGTGCATAGCAGCGGAAATTATTATTCGGATTGGACAACCCCTCTGAAAAGACAAGAATCATCTCTCGACCGTCCAGTAACGTCCAGTAACATCCATCGAAATGTGCATTCATCATGATTCACGCAAGCCGCGGCGCAAAACCAGCACGATCTACCTGCTAGGCCCCAGTAGGAGAGTCGATAGTTCGGGGGGGGGGCCGCCAAATGCCAGATCAGATATGATGATAGTCCCCAAATGCCGTAGCGTCATGCTAGACTGGAAGGATTGGCGAGATCTCGCTGTCTTTTGCTCTGCCAAGTCTGTCGGTCAAGTCATCATGCGTTGGATGCCAACATTTCTGCAGAGAGCTGGAGCTTAAGATCGTCATGCATCTACATTCCCAATCCATGGCTGGCTGCATTGCTGCTTCTTACTCTGTAGTACTCTGTACTATTCTCTTATCTGAAGCTCTCCGTAAGGGAGAATAGAGAGATGAAGCCTTCCCAAACTGGTTTAGCATACCTAACTCCATTCGGAAACACGCATCGCCCAGACAGGAAAAGATCGATCCTACTGGATTTGTCATGTGAGCCGCAACTATCAAGACGCTATTGTGACGAATTCATTGGCTTCAGCTCCGGGGTTGGAATGGATTGGCGCTGCCTCTCAACGCCGATTCTCGCCCGGCCGGATATTTCTAGAGTTAATTCGGCGCCTGGTTAAATCATCCTAGTTTCCCCGATGGACCAGCTTCGGCTCCGGATGGCGGATTAAGGGGGAGAGGGTTGGAAAATTCACCGTCCCTGATATCAACGGAATGTCTACCGTGAGTCCAGAAGGACGGACTACTTTAGTATTGTGTGATACAGACTATTAGATTGTACTACGTGATGGACTCGACCCGGAGAGATGCTGATCCTTATCCTTTTCCACAGACAAATCCTCCGAAAGGGTCTTATGTCACAGCTCAGTCTGCTTGGCGAAATTGCTACGGAGGATTGAGAGAGGGAAAGTCTAGAACGCTTTGCGCCCCTAGTGCTATCATAGATTCAAGAGTCGGAGTGACTGCGCCGTAACGTCTATGCCGGTGTACTGCATGGCGTTGCTTTCCTGCTGATATCTGACACTCCATACATGCTCCGTACTTTGCCATACCAATGTGAATGGTAGCTCAGCTCCTGCGCAAGTGGCAATAGCGGAGTTCGTGGCGGAACTAGAACAACTCGGCACTTGGACAAAGAGGCCATGATGTGCTCACATGGATGCGCGAGTCCAGCAACTCCTCCCAGTTCAATGGGAAGCTAGTAGCGTCGGTGTGACCATGGCTACCATGATAGTCCATGTCCATTACTATGCAGCGCCCCGCAACTGAATGGGACTCGCGAATGAAAAAGAAGGAGAAGGTAAGGGCAACGAAGAGCTGAAATCGCAAGCTGACGGTGAGCATCGTACAGGAGACACGAGTCAATTGTGCTCAAATGATTTTCCTTCAGCTAGCCTGACAGACGTTCACATATTCCGCTCACATATACGTGCATGCATATTGATTGAATGCAACATAGCTGGTGTATCTATATCGATGCAACTGGCAGATGTATGGAGATGTAGCATCGCATCGCATTGCATTGCATGAACCCGCAACATCCTTGCGCGGATCTCACCTCACGACGCTTTAGAAGAAACATCCAAATTACCCTGGGACGTCGCCACTCGAGCGGCCCTCGTCATCTTGCCGGACCGTGCTGCTTCCGCTAACCACCGACTGGATGGCGATAATCACGGAGCGGCTGTGTTGAAGGTCCGAAGTACTCTGTACACAGAGGAGAATTTGCTTCTTCTCTTCCAGACACTCGCACGGGCCTGTCAGTCGATCCGGTCCGTAGTATACATATTTGTACGTAGCCTTTACCTTGGAATACATCTGCCTGTCCGCAGCACCAGCTGTGCAATTCGCCACAGTACTCAGAATCTATTGCCGGGCTGAAGTTGCAGCAGACCAATTGAGAAAGACACCGTCGTATCCGATATCAAGGAATACCTCCCAGGATGCTCTCGCATCAAGCGATGGTTATTCGGGCGAGACAGACATCGAGGACGAATAACGAATAATTCCAAGAATGGAAACAACAACAGCTTGTCAGTAGCCAATGACCAGTCACTTACAGAACATGTCGAATACGGAGGGCCATGCAGAGTTCAATATACATAGTACGAAAACAACTGTCGGTGAGAATATGACGAGTTCGATTTACGAGTTGTCAACATCACCTCAACTTATCATTCCAGAAGCTGGATTTATCATTATTCCTCACGAGACCATCTCATTCCACTGATCATGTGAATGAAGATACCACAATGTTCTTTCAGGATTCTATTCTACTATGCACATACCACCTGCCCTCTCCGTACTCTGTACTCTGTACAACTCATTCCCCGCAAACTATTTGTATTCCCCAGAGAAAATGCGATACATCTCAGATCCAGATAAGCGAAGGGGAGATCCCTGTCGTTGATCATGTTCGTCTTTATGCAATTTGATCCATCGGCTATCTCGGTTTGCTCTTGGTCATGCATATACAAGTACATTGTTAGCGGCTAGCGGCGATGTGAACAATAGTACGGAGTACTCTGTATGGAATTGGAACATCTGCCCTTTTCGTATGTATGAGTTCAAGTGGAAGTATTCAGACTATTCGATGCATATTCTCACTCAGTCGGTATCTCCATACTTGGCTAAGGCTCAAGATTTACTCAGTAGAGTCGCAGTGCTCCCGTGATACTGAGGCCTACTATTAGTTCAACTGGAGCAATGTCGCACAATGTACACTTTTTAAATCTATCCACAAACACCAGGTATATCCCAAAGTATATACAACCAAGAACAATCAAACTACCTCTTCTTCGAAGGCCTCGCATTCTTCTCTTTCCTCCTCTGCTCAAGCTTCCTCGTCTTGCGAATATCATCCGTACTATTAATCTCACTCTTCCCCTTGAACGCCGCACCGCCCGCCTTAGCCAACGTCCTCTCCTTAGCCGCGTCAAACCGCTTCTTCCTCTTCTCGTAGTCACCACGCAGCGGATCCGCAGCCTTAGGCGCCTGCTCCTTGTTATGTCTGTACCGACGTCCACCCATATGCGCACCAGCAGCGAGATTGGGCGCCTCGGCCTCGCCAACACGCGGCAGACGACCGAGTCGCTTACCCCTTTTCCAGGCATCGAAGCGTCCACTACGGAACGAGGCAGCGATCTTGGCGCCGGATTCCCCGCGGACGAGACGAGAGCCCTTGGAGCCGTCTTCGTCGTTCTGGCGAGCGACGTATTTCTTGTGGCGCTTGTCCCAGCGGAGTTGGGTGCGTGGTTCGCCAATGCCCTTGGCACCTTCGTCGCCGCCGATGTCCATCATTGCGCTGCGGGAGGCTTGCGCGAAGTTGACGTTTGTGCCGGAGTGCACGCCGTAGCCGCGGTCTTCGGCGAGGTTGGCGTTGGTGGGGGTGTAGGACATGAAGTAGTCGGGGTTTTGGAAGGAGGCGGCGGTGGGTTTGGAGGTGTCATTGGGTTGTTGGGAGTAGGAGGAGAAGGTGACTTCGAGGTCGGAGTCGTCGGCTAGGGACATGTTATCGGCGACGCCATCGGCTTCGTCTTCGTCTTCGTCTTCGTTCTCGGGGGAGGCGTCTTCGTCGGTCTTGCCAGCTGTGGTGCCTTCTTTGAGAGAGCCGTCGACGAATTCTGATGCTCCGGCTGCTTTCTCTGCGCGGCGCTTCTTGTTATCCCGGGAAGTGCGAATACGCTTGATCGTGTCGATTGTCTCATCGCTCTCAGCAGTCTTGCCGTTTCGTCGGTTGTTCGCTTCGAAGATAGTTTCCTGTGGACGGTAGCCTCCAATCCGTGCGAGCATTTGTTCACGCACCGCTTCGAGGTTACTGCTTTCGTCGTTGAAGAGGGCATGAATGGAACTCCAGGCGTCAGTAGTAACCACTTCCTTCGCACGTTTTGCACTCTCCAGCGAGGCAGAGTTCCTTGTACGGATGTAGAGCTTCTCACCCTTGGCGGCAACTCCGCGCTGGGCAACGATATCGTCATCCTCGTCCAAGACTTTGTTCACCCACTCGCAGCTCCGCGAAAGACCGTCACGGGGAAGCGCGCCGACAACCACGTCCTCTGCAAAGTTGGCTTTCCCGGCATTCTCCCGACCAAGAACCAGTTTCCGTCCCAGGAAGAGCTGCAGGTCAAGAAGGTAGGGGGCGTCCGAATCACGGACCAAGCTGTAACTCCAACCCTTCTTACCCGCACGAGCCGTACGACCGACACGATGGACGAAGATCTTAGGCTGAGAGGGGAAGTCGTAGTTGATGACATTGGCTAGAATGGGAATATCAATACCACGAGCGGCGACGTCGGTGACAACCAGGATGTTCGAAGCACCTGCCCGGAAATTCTGGACTTGGATCTTCCGTGCTGTTTGATCCAGAGCACCGTATGCGTAGGACACTGCGAAACCGGCTTCTTTTAGTAGACTCGCCAGATAGTCGACGTGGTGCTTGGTCGCTGCGAAGACGATGGTCGAGTGCTGTGTGGGCGACTCCTTGTTAACAGCATTGTTGAACCGCGGACGCTTGCGCTTCTTGCTGTGGTGAGATTCGTCTTCGTCTTCGGCCAGTGCTTGCGCAACACCCGTCGGCCCAGTTGGCATTTTGATGACTTCGTGTAGAACGTGAAGCAGAGCACCCTCTTTGTCTGCGCTCTTGATAGAGAAGAATGCACTCTGCAGATCCGGAGATACCTTACTCTCAGTATCCAAACGGATAAGCGTAGGTTCCTGCAAACCAGCACGAGCAAACTCAACCAACGACTTGGGCAGTGTAGCAGAGAACAGCAACGTCTGGCGAGTGAAAGGGAGACCGTGCAGAATCTCCGTCAACTGAGCAGCGAAACCCATTTCGAAAAGACGATCGGCTTCATCAAACACCACATACTTGATACTCGACAAGTCGAGCTCCATTTCCACCTTTAAATGCAGGAAACGACCGGGTGTGGCGATGACAATGTCAGGGTTGCTAGCCATCATAGAGAATTGGTCCTCCAAGCTGTCACCACCAACCAGCAAAACACACTTCAGGTCCGTCCCGCGCCCCAGCTCCTTGACAACCTTCAACGTCTGCAGCGCCAATTCACGCGACGGAGACATAATCAACCCTCTTGCTCCGACCTGGGTGCTGTGACTCCTGAGTTTCTGAATCATGGGAATAACGAAGGCGGCCGTTTTTCCTGAACCCGTCCGAGCCATACCGACCACATCCTGATCGTCCATAATCGTGGGGATCGTCTTGCGCTGAATCGGAGTCGGAACCGAGAAACCCTTCCGGGTGATAGCCTTCAACAGATTCGCATTCAAACCCATCGCCTGGAAACCACCACCTTTCTTCACGGTACGGCCCTTAAGGTTCGCGCCCTTGCGGTTCGCCGATGTCTGCTGCGCGGCGATGAACGCCTCATCATCTTCGTCATCGTCGCCGTTAATCTCTGCTCCCAGGAAATCGAGGTTCTGAGCCGGTACTTTCTTCTGTTGCTTCTTCGGCGCTGTCACGGTCTGCTCGTTGTCGGAGTCGCCATCGTGCTGGAAGAGGGCACTGGTAATGTCGAACTCGTTCTCCGACGCTGCCGGAGAGGCCGCGCGACGCGGCATTTTGGTTTATCGGTGCGACCGGTTTATTCGTATAGAAGTATGTTGACTGAATTAATCGTCTTGCGGAGCGGAAAACTCGTTATCGGTCGACAGAGATTTTATGCGTGATTAAATGCCAACTAAACTGTATGAACATCTGTTAGCGAGGATGCGATAGTCTCTTTAATCCGAATCTAGCAACTCACAGAAACAAATCTCTTCTCTGTAAAGCTCTGTCTATCTTGAACTTTTACTTTTTCGGCGATGGAAAAAAAGTCCCGGGCGGTGAGGGAGCAAAGTTCCTCCGAAAATCTGCCAAACAGCCCAAACACTGCAAACAAGATAAACACTCCCCGCGACGCGTCCAACACGTCTGGCGTCCCGAATTGGTAAAATGGCATCGAGCAGTTTGCAGTGCACATCACCTTATATTGCACACTTCTAATAACAGATAAAATGGGTAAGCTTTGCTTCCACCGGGGCTTTTGGAACGCGCTGACAATGCAGATTACGGTAACTCATTCGGAGGGGGCGGCTTTACGCCTGGCGAGATGAGCGCCAGTCCGGGAGGAGGAGGAAAGGTACTTGCCATCGTTCTGAGGATGAAAGAATAAATACTAATAAACATGACAGGGCGACCTCAACAACACCACCCTCCGCCCAATCACAATCAAACAAGCCCTCGATGCCTCGCAGCCCTACCCGGAAGCAAACTACCAAATCGACGGCGCCGACGCCTCCTCCATAACCTTCGTCGGCCAAGTCCGCAACATCAGCACCCAGACCACAAACGTAACCTACAAGATCGACGACGGCACCGGCGAGATCGAAGTCAAGCAGTGGATCGACACGAGCACGGCGCAGGATACCATGGAGACGGATGATGGGAAGGGTCCCGGCGCGCCGGGGAAGGACCAGGTCGAGTTGAATGGGTATGCGAGGGTTTTTGGGCGCATGCGCGCGTTTGCGAATAAGCGGTTTGTTAGTGCGCATTGTGTGCGGCCGTTGGGGAATATTAATGAGTTGCATGTGCATTTGCTGGAGGCTGCTGCTGTGCATTTGTTTTTTGCTCGTGGGCCGCCGGGTGGTGCTGGGGCTGGGGCTGGGGGTGCTGGTCCTGGTCCTGGTGATGCTGCGATGGGTGGTACGGATGACTATGCGGCACAGGCTAAAGGGCTTCCGGCTATGTCGCCTGTGGCGCGCAGGGTGTTTAATCTGCTCAAGACTGAGTTTCAGAGTAACGAGGGTCTGCATATGCAGGTGATTGCGACCAAGTTGGGGCTTCCGATGGCAGATGTGCAGCAGGCTATTGATGAGCTACTTTCGGCAGGTGTTATTTTCTCGACGGTTGATGAGTATACCTGGGCGGTTCTGGAGTATTATTAGCGTTTTGATTATGAAAAGATTCCCATTCAATTACTCATTGACATGCATCCACCTATCCGGGATAATAAACAAATAAACGAGAGAACTCGAACAGATATTCATTATCATTATCATAAACCCACCACTACTGAAATACATACACCATCCCAGCCCGATCAGCACTAATAACCATCCCATACGGCACTCTCAACACCGCCACATCCTGTATAAAGTCCAAATGACTCTTAAGCAACTGCTGTTGCTGTAGACTAATCACTGTACTTCGTGGCGGACGTCCACTCGCTCCTTTCCTTCCGCTCTTGCTCCCGCCCCCAGACCCGGTCCCGGCACTACCTGCCCCAGCCGAGGAATTACTGCTGGGCAGATACTCCGCCGTGATGAGCATATTGGGACTTGGCTGGGAAAGCTCGTACCGCGGTTTCCCTGTTAACCCGTTATTCTCAGACACGGGGTCTAAGCCGCTGACGATAGACGAGAATTCCGGCCGAGCAAGATCCCAAAAGCGGATTTTGCGGTCACAGCCCGCCGAAACGATGAACCCGCAGCGCGTGCTGTGCGTGTTGTCTTTGCCGTCATCGGGCGAGTCATATCCCACAGCCAGCGCGCAGATACCAGCTGGACTAGCACTATTGGGACCTGAGGGCTCCATTCCCGTTGACGGCGGACCGGTCGTTGCGAAGCGGCTTAGCATTCCTTCTGGTCTGTCGCCGTCGACGTGCCAGGCTTCGTAGTCTTTGGTGTTGGCAAGTGTGTGGGCGTGTGTGCCGTTTCTGGTGGTACCCGTGCCCGGGGAATCTACACGGTAGACTTCCCGACAGCGGATCTTTTCAATGTCCCAGATGGTGACTTCGTTGCCGTAGCTTCCGCTGCCGGAGACACATACCCATCGTCCCCGTCCTTTGGTTGGATGCACCTGTAGTCGATGGATTGGTCCTGAGCCCGAGAGACCCCATGCCTTGAGGCGGACGCGGAAGCGGAGATCCCAGAGGTCTAGGATTCCGTGCGTAGTGCCTACGAGCAACCAGTTGTGCTTACGGTCGCAGCAAAATGTGGTTGGTGTGCCATGATGGATAGGGTTGTGTAGTGAGTAGATCGGGAGCATGGTTTTCATGTCCAGGGCTAGGATTCGGCATGTGTTGGTTGCGATTAGGAGGGTTGATTGTGCCTCGACGCGGAAGTGTTCCATCCACATGGCGTATTCTGGGGATCCGTCCTCGGCTGTAGGAAGTTGGTAATCACGGACGAGCTGGAGTTTGCCGTACCGAACAGTATCGTTAACATTATGGTAGTCAACTTTGACAGCATTGATGCTTCCATCAGTAGCTCCACTCAGGAAAGTATACGTGTTTTCGATAAAGGTTAATGTCTTCACCTTCGCCCCCGGGGCGTGACGATGGGTCTGGCGGGATCGCGGGGTCAAGTTCTTCTCCAGACGGGTGGTATCCCAGATCTTGACTGTGCCGTCGTCCGACGCAGTCACGAAAAATGCATGGTCTGGAGCCACCGCGATGCGATTTACAGCAGCACTATGTTCACCGAAGATGGCAACGAGCCCGCCCTCTGGTTTCCAGACCTTGTTCGCATCTTGCCCGCTAGCCTTCTTGATTGGCCGTCGCGGGTCGACTTCCTTGACGTACGGACCCAGATCGAAGAGGTCGGTGGGATAATTCTCCGCGAAAACATTGTCGAGTAACCGTAGGACCGTAGGATCATCTCCCCCGTAGGAATGATTAGCATGGAACTGTGGCGGCTCGAACTCGAGCGGTTTCCTCTCATGCGTGAGTGAAAGGGGTGATTGCTGTCGTTCCCGTTGTGATGGCAAGTCAACTTTGCCAACAGCGTTCGCAGAGCTCATGCTAGTCTCTGCATCAGCCTTGACTTGGTCCTTGCGGTTCAATAGGCTCATGGCACTCGATTTTCGTTGCACACCGCCCAAATTCTTCAGCGTGGGATCCGCATCAGTCGGTGATAATGAGCTATTATCCTGTGTGGGACTATTGGGACTATTCCGGCTCCCCGGTACTCTCTGCTCAGTATCAGAGGAAGGTGGTGACTCAGGAGCACCCGGTGACGAGGCCATCGGGGATGTCGCAGCCGAAGATTCCCCCCGGATATTGTCCTGTCGCAGGACTGCCAGCGTAGTTATGTCTTTCTGCGCTTGGCTCCTCGACCGCAAGTGCTTGCGCCGATTATTAGGTGTACTGTCAATTGTAGTCGAAGCATCGAGCAGCGCATCAGTGATCGTATGTGGCCTCTGCTCCCCATTCCTGGCGCTTTCAGGCCTACTTACTGAGCCTCGCCGGGGATTGATATTCTGGTTCTTATCGAAGAAAACAGTCTGCGGCGTAACCTCGTACTGTGTGAGAGGGATGAGGTCGTTCAATGTCGGTTCAGCAGTTGAGTCTTTTGACTGGCGCATTGATACTCTCCAAATGTATTCGCGTAGTGCGAGCAGTTTGAATTCATCTTCTGAGCTCATGCCCAGGCCCCTCAATCGAGACAGCCACTGCTCATCCTCTTCGTTCTTTGGCTGCGAGTTCATCGAGAGTCCAGCGTGTCTCTGGCTTCGAGCAGTATAGCCATCATCACCACCCAGACTAAACAAGCTCTCACGACTGGTCGACTTCCAGAAGACGCCTCTCTCGACCTTGGATGCCCAAACAAAAGCCATATCATACACGTTTCTCGGAACCGGCTTCCTCAATGCATCGAGGATTTCAGCCTCCGTGAATCCCACAATGTTAACCTTGAGAAAAGGCCGAATCATCGGCGTGAGGATCGAGTATTTATCAGCAATAGATAAAAACTTGGTTGAGTTGACAAGGAAGTGCACAGCCGCTTCGCGGATCCATATACTCGGGTGGACTAAAAAGCGCAAAGTGATGTTGAGTAGATCCCACGTCGTCGACCGCTGAAACAGCCCGACATCTGCCATTGCAGCCAGAGAACGAAGAACTCTTTCCACCACAAACTCTTCCGGTTCTGTCATGGATTGGACCATTAGCGGCAATATGTATTGTTCCAGGCTGGTGCTTCCAACGTAGGTAGCAACACCGATGACTGCCTCGAAGAAGGCACATTTCAAGATCCAATCCCGGTCATTGAGGTAGGTGTTCAAGTGGCTTAAAATGACTTCGTTCGTTTTGTGGTTGCCGAAGAAAACGCAGAGACTGGACACTGAACCCAAGAACGCGCGGCGGACAGACGCATCAGTGTCTGTGAGGAGGGCTTTAGTATGAGCCTCGAAATAGTCAAGGAGGTCAACCCTCGCAACGTCGTACAAGTTGTGATAAGTAGCATCTTCAGTCCATCTCGGCTCGGATCCAGCTGGAATCAAAGCTGGTAGGCGCGCGTCAGATCGTAAAACTTGAATCATGTCCAAGAATCTAAGAGACGACTGCGCCAACGATGCAATGCAAGATGCATATGCAGCTCGAACCATGGGGCTGGGGTTGGCGCTGGAACCGGACACAAAAGGTTGAAGCCTGGGGAAGATATACTCGGAAAACAAATAAGCGTTGACCGGGGATACCACATAGACCATTTCGAGGAGCTGAGCAAGGGTACGGATAGCGGCAACTTTCACTGTGTCTGTCCGGTCATTCAACATGGTCATGACATAGGGAAGAATGCGGTCCAGCTTGGCCTCGTCTGACAGTCTTTCTGCAAAAGCCAGAAGAATGTCACAGGCTTTGATACGAGCGGACGCTCTGGCTGTGTTTCGTAGGTTAGATACCACGAGCGTCAGAAAGATCAGCACGCCGTCATCCGTTTGTAATCCTTTGGACTTTGAAACTGGATGACCGTAATGCGGCAGATCCAGCTGCACAGGAAACATGCTGCCGGTAAGCCTGGAATCAATACGGTCAGAGCCATCCTTGGGCGGTTTGGACGGTTCCCCCAAGAAGTAAGAGATCTTATCAAAATCCAAGTAGACACGCTCAATCCTGTCATCAGATTCGCCTCTATTCGCCGACTCAGCATCCACCTGCGCCCTACCAGAGGATGGATCAGTCATCAGAGACATGTACTGATGCAGGAAGCCGTAAAAGTACTCTGGAAACGCTTTGTTTTTCCAAAAGTTCAGATACTCATCTGCGGAGTATCTCGATTCCGGTTCAAGCTGGATCATATGAAGGATCAATTCCCGAATCTCCGGGTCCTCAATCTTGGCCAACTGGCTATGTTCCGGACTATACTCGCCTTTTCGGTATTTGTACATTTGGCTGAGAGTGAATATGGGTGCTTCCAGGAACAATTCTGCAATCACGCAGCCAGCGCTGAAGATGTCCATGGCCCAGTTAACATGCCTGCTGCCCGGTTCTTCTCCGGCCTCAAGGAACCGCTCCGGGGCTAGATAGCATGTCCGTCGCCCAGAAGTATCGAAGTAAAACGAGAAATCCGCTGGGTTGTCCTCTGGGAGGAAAGTTGGCTTGAAAGAGGATGAAAAGTCGGAGAGGTAGAGCCAGTTCCACGACGTGACGAGAACATTTTCTGATTTGATGTCACCGTGAAAAACATCCAGGGAATGGCAGTCCCGGAGAGCACAGAGCAGCTGGAAAGCAATCCATTTCTTCTCGATGTCTTCCAGGAACGGACGGGTGCTGTCCACGTTAGTGGGGTAATCTGAGATACTAAGATCGGACACGCTCGTACCTTATCCGGTCATATAAAGAGCTGTGAATAAACTGCCGGACAAGATAACCACCTGTCCCAGTTTCCAAAATCCTCTGGTAGCTCAACGAATTTGGCACATCCGCAAGCAACTTGCGCTCCCCTAGCCACTGTCAGACAACCTCGTCACAAATCCCCAAAGAAGTAAAAATAACATACGATTAATAGCCTTGATATACAGCTCCAGATTCATACTCGGATAAGGCTTCATAATTACCTTTACAAAAACGAGGCCATTCCGCTGCCGAGCCCGGATGCTCTTCATGAACCGGCCCCCGCCCATCGACTTCTCATACACCAGGTCGGACAGCTCGGGCACGTCGATCCCGGCCGAACCCGCCGAAAGGGTTGTCAGGGAGTATCCTTGTCCCATGGTGTCGAGGGCACTTCATCTCACGGGGGTAGAAGGGTGGATGGTAGTGGTCATCATCCACATTGGGACCAGCAGGAATATGGCCACTTTAATGGGATGCGATGACCAGGTCCTCGGGTATTATTGAGCCAACGACACCTGTTATCGTCGAGTCGTGATAAATGTTAGATACTTGGAGACGAATGAAGTTAGACGACGATGTGGGGAGAGAATCACGTGGTAAACCGAGGCGGTGAGGCGAGAGTGTGATGGCATTCTTTGAGATCGATCAGTTTTAGTAGATTCTTGTACGTTTTGATTGATGGTCTATTGCTTGTATTATTGGAGGATAAGAGACTGATAAAGCGTCTTGGTGTCGAATACATTTTGGTGGTGAAACTCGAGGACAGTTCACCATCACTTGGTGGAATATTATTGCACTAACGCCACAGATATAAGCATTGCATGGCGTGCATTTCTTGGTATTTATTTCAGTTTAGTAAACTACTGATTGCATGTGTTTATTTTGCTGCCAAAAATAATTTCTCTTGGGGCTTCACCAACCGGATCCAAGTTACAGTAACAGTGGATATATATTTATGGTGAGCGGAGCTTGTCTACAATCGAGATCTCCTGCTAACTCGCATAGGAAAATCGTATTATTATCACTGAAATATACAGAACTCCATGGCTTCTGAAAGCCTGAGATCTTCTTATATATCCGCCCAGCCAACCGAGAAGGAACCGGATATCCCGATTATCGAGGACGATGAGCCACTCGTTGATGTGGTTCGAAAGCTATCCAAGTAAGATCATCCGTTACTGTTACTATCGATGGTCTGACTGAATTATGATTAGTTACTTGAGCCAGGCAATTCCGGAGGTCTCTTATACATTTGAGCAACTGAGATCGTCACCTCATGGTCATGATATCCGGCTGCTTGTCCATTCCCTGGCGGACAACTCGCGCAATCCATTGATCATTGCTGCTTTGATGTACGTGGAAAGAATGCACCCAAATTTCGAAGTTATGAGCTAACGTGCACAAGGATCCTAAAATGGCAATTCGAAAACAGCGCTGATACAGACTGGGGCGTCAACGAGAGCCGTGGATTCGCCTGTGAATACATAGCTTGGCAATTCCTTTGTCATCTGACCCAATATGAAGAAATTGAATTTCTATTGTGGGAGATTCCCAGTCCCCAGCGCAGCTCTGCTTCGTTCTCCTTGGACGAAAGAGAAGCTGCCTTCAGAACTGGGGAACAAGGTAATTCGCATGATATTGAAAGGACACCGCTGCGGAGGTCTTCCTATATCTCTCGCTTCCTTGGAAGGAAAAGTGAGGATGTTCCCTCAGGCGAAGACGCTGGAGATACTGAGGATCCTTTTTATGCAAGACTTTCGCTATTCTTTGGCTTGAATGCCCTCGAGATTGCGACTATAGCTCAAGCGAAGAAGTTTCTCAGTCAGAAGGTTGTCCAAAAAGTCATCGATAATATCTGGAAGGGTGAGGTTGTATTCTGGGACTCACTGAGTGTGCACTCCAGAAAGAGACCACACTTCTTCAACGAGAAGTATGTTCAATAACTCTTGGATATTGTCAACAGACTAACTCTTCATAGAACGGCAGACCCATACTCACGACTTAGAGTTCCTGTGTACCGCAAAGCTTTCGAAGCCGGATTCTTCGTCTCATTCTTGTGCCTCTACTACGCCGTCCTGGTCGAAAGAAAGCCCACAGGGATAGGCATCTTCGAGACCTTGATGTACATTTGGATTGCCGCATTCGCATACGATGAGCTGAGCGGGATGACCGACGCAGGAGTGGCGTTCTACCAGATGGACTTTTGGAAGATCTGGAATTTGGGCATAATCGGCACGGGCCTTGCCTTTGTTATTGCAAGTGAGTCACTGTGCCTTGTCAGCATTCAGCTGTCCCCTACTCAGCTGAACTGTGCTCTGTGCCATCGGAATGGCCGTATTAGATTGTAGCCCACTAACGGGGCGTTAGGAATTGTGGGACTGGCAAAGGAGAGCGACGCTATCACGGACATCTCCTTTGATATTCTATCCTTGGAAGCGTTGTTCCTTGTTCCGAGGTATGTTCGACTGCAACAAGGTTTAGTAGCGTATGGAAATTGACCGCGATACAGGATATGTTCGCTCGTTAGCCTGAATTCTTATTTTGGAAGTCTTGTATGCCCGACGGCCTGTCCGAGCGTTTTCTGGATCGTCCACTTACGCTTCTATGCATAGATACCAGTGTTGAAGGAAATGGTATCCGACGCCTAGTTACATCACTAGCACCCGAGAGAGCAGTAAGGCTGACTGTCGAACCCTCTAGACCAAAGCGTTCTTCCGTTTTATCCCTGTAGTCATCGTGCTGTACCTGGGTAAGTGAGCCTACAGGGTATACACTCGAAACTCTATACCTGCTGAGCCACGACGCCACACTGTGGAGAGACAAACCAATACCAACCATTGATTATCATTTGCAGGGTTCCTGACAACGTTCACGATGCTGGCGCGAGACCGACTGACTCTCCGACAAATGTCATGGATCCTGGTCAAGGTGTTCTTTGGGTACGCGGTGAAAACACGCCACACAGATCCCAAAATTGCAAGAATACTAACGCAAGGCAGATCAAACGTCTTGGGATTTGTGCGTTCACTGCCCTTTTCCTCTCGTAGCATGTCTTCCTATCGTTCAAATTCCGGGCGGAAATGGTTGGCTGTCGATGCACGTTGAGCTTTTCACTAACGGTGGCTTAATGCATGATCGATTGGTCCACATAGGATATTGCTCATGATGTAAGTGCATATTTTATTGAACGTTTTCGCTGTCATGCATCGGGGTTGGAGTTTGTCCGGAGATTGGTTGGCTGTGGTGTGTTGTTGGAGATGACGCTAATGTGCTTAGATTTCCCCGATCTTCGGCTACGGTTTGATGTGAGTGCGCCGCTTTTACCTGCTATTTGCATTTTATTATTTTTTGTGAAAGAATATCGTCGCATACGGATTTGATCACGTTTCTTTTCTCGAATCCATTGTGGCGTGGACTGTGCAGATGGAGTTTCCGGGGATGCGGTGGCCAGTCCTTGGAGGGGGAAAACGGCTAATGATGCTCGCAGGCTGATTTTCGTCTCCATGACCAATTTGCTGTTAATTTCCTCTTTGGTCAGTTTGATGAGTATGAGTTTAGAGGGTGTATGTCGTTGTTATTCCGTGGCTATAACGGAAATATGTAGCTAACCAGGATAGGTGCTGTCGCATGCCCGCGAGGAATATCTCTTCCAGTGAGTTGAGTATTAAGCGGAAGCGGAACTAAAGAATTGGAATTGAATGGACCAATCACTGACACCGGAGACTAGATTATCCATTTACGTGCTGGAAAGCAGTAATTCTCGACGACTGACCTACTTCATGCCACCAATGGTTAGTATCATTCCACTGTTTCGAGTCATGTAGATTGCTGTCTTCTCGGGTATCAACCTGTCACACTTGGAGCCTCTAACGATCACAATGCAACACAGAATCTGATTCCCCTCTTGTGCATCCGACCTCTGCGGCTCTTTCTATCTGCAGAATCTATCCGTCGAGTTCGCATTCTCCTGCTCCGTGCTACACATCTCCCATTTGTCGCTCTAATCCGGACATACGAAGCCATCCGACGACACCGTCCCATCACCACCCATACTACAAATAGACGAAGGAGGAGCACAAGTACTAGGAGATACTGTTACGACCACGACCCGTTTATAGACAGAGACGAAGCCCCGACGGCGTTAGGGCCCGACCCTGGTAGGGCATCCAGGACTAAAACTAAGGCGGGAGGACAACCCGAAGCACGCGGACCGGCACCGGAACAGACCGGTCGGGATGTGGTTGAACTGGCGGATGTGATCGACGAGGTGGATCGGTTGCGCACCCAGGTGGATCGGGTGGTTGCTCTGATGGCTGTTCGGAGGAGGCATTAACTGCTGAGTACGGAGTAGACTAGAAATTGAGTGATGGTGGTGATGATGGTGATGGTGGTGATGGTAGAGATGTGTGATGATATGGCAGAATGACTCAAGAAGGCTGGAAAAAGAAAAGAGAAGAGGGGAAGAATTGACCGATGGTGGAGAGGACGGGCCACAGCGAAGGGGGATATAGACACGCACAAACCATGGATGCTGGATGTGGTGCTCCGTACTCCGTACCATGGATACTTCTATACATCACTCTATTATTTGGAATACTAAAGTATACTACAAGTATACGATTCGATCTATTCAATACACAGCTTATGTCTACTCTGTACATAGTATACGAATTGTGAACACTACAGAGTGCTCTACCAAAGTACTATGGCTCCTTCTTAAATAAGCAACTGCTGTCTGCAGAGACCGGCTGTCATTGTCCGTTGTGAATGAGCCAATTCTTTTCTTCTCGTTATCCCAATTAACATAATTAACAATATACAAATTAACAAGGGTAAATACATTTTGGCGACACGCACTGCCAAGACGTTACCAAACTGCCGGGTCAGGGCTAAACCCGTTTTGTATGTACGGTGCATCAGGGCAAAATCAGAAATTGAAATACTTACAGCAAACAGGTCATAGTTCAGATATTTGGATATCATCTGTGTATATTTGCATATAATACAAGAGAATCACTGGCTGCCAGTATTTCTTAATAGTGTACAGCCATCATGCTAACCCAGTCCTGTATCCATAGGGCCCGTGGCTGTGATCGTCTGCCCTAATGAATCAATCGTCAACGCCCTTTCAGATGACCCGTAATAATTCCCTTCTGTCGTTCTCTCCGGCGCTAAATCATCATGCATCATATGGACCCGGTTCTGGCTGTCGGGCTGCCTGGCTACAGTCTGTCACTCGCGCCTATCTGCCTGTCTGGCTCCAGCTGTCTGGTCACCCCTCTTCCTTCCTCCCTCTTTTTTATTTTTATTCCCCCCCCCCTTCTTTTTACTTTCTACAGTAATTTCCGGTTTCTTTCTTTCTTTTTTTTTTTTCTATTTTCTATTTTCTCTATTCTGTATTTTATTATTTTTTTTATTCGTCCACCGCTTCAACACACATCTCCGTTTCTTCCGATTCTGCCTTGTCTTTTTGCAGGCGTTTAACTGCTGATTCCCGCAGTGTTTAGGCGGTCACTCCTCCATCTCTTCACTATCCATCATCATCGTTCCTCTCTTTTTATGACTGCTTTCCTATTTGGTCTTTCGTTTCATCAGCCACAGTCATCCATGTTTGCCGCGGTTGTGCCCGTCCAGCAGTCCAGCTGTTGACCCTGGTGGCTTTATATACGCCTCTTCCCTCACCTCTGAACTGGTGACTTATAGATCCAGCAACTTGTATATATCATCTTTTTATTACTTCTTCATTACTTCTCTTGCTGGTTCACCCAAGACGAACATTCGAACATTCAACAGTACGCTCGCTTCACCATGGATTGGTCTCCCAACTCCTTCTCTCCATCCTCGCCTCGAGCCCGCGCCTGGTCCGGAAGCCATATGGCCTTCGATCCCTACGCTTCCTCCCTACCGTCAGACTCTTCCCCCGTTTCCGCTCGCTACCCTGATTACCCTCCTGTCACGGGGCTGGGCATTGCTCATTGTGGATTCGAATCCCACCCCGGTCACTTGAGACTCTGTCCGCCTTCCGAAGCATACACAACCCTCCCCACAACTGGCTGGCCCATACCTTCCGATCCTCTACAGCAGAGACAAGAGCACATCCTGGAGGCTGGGCAATATCCTTCGACAACGACGACGACATCATCATACGAACCCTATCATGAGATCGCATCTCCCCTCAGTTTGTACAGCGCCCAAACACTCAGTGCCTCGCCAAGCTACAGCTCTGTTATGGAACGGGGAGACCATCACAGTGCCTTGCCAGGCCAGTCTTTTGGGTACTGGTCGACCACACCCCGCTCCGACATCACTACGCCACCAGAAACCTTCATCAAGGACGAGCCGCTTGAGTACTGGAGTCCACCCGTGATTCCTGAGGATAGGAATCCATTCGAAGCATCGACAATGATGATGATGATGCCCATGCCACAGGTCGTCCTTAACGATGGCTTTTCCGACCCACAGCTACCAGAACACACCACCACCAACAGTCAGCGGTCATTCGATAAACAAGACCACCAGGTCGAGATTAAACAGGAGCCTCGAAATACCCCCGAGGCCCCTAATACTGAACGGCAACCCACACAATCAGCCTCAAGCACCGACAGAGACGACACCAAGTCCCCTCCGGTATTGAAACCACGCACGACCAACGTTCGCGCTACCAGCGGCCTTCAGTGCTCCATTTGCGGGGCTTGGTTTACCCGGCGCTCCAACCGTCGCGAGCACGAGAAGAGACACGACCCAAGTCGCAAAAGCGTCTATCAGTGTGAGTTGTGCGGTCGAACCTTCGGAAGGAAGACGGATCGGAAGCGGCATACGGAGAGCGTTAGTGTCCCTAGCTTTGAAATCAGCAGTTGATCCTTACTAAAACTCGGGATGTACTACAGATTCACCAAGGACTACGGAAATTCGGTTGTGACCAGTGCGGTCGTCGTTTCACGAGACACGACACGCTGTCGAGGTGTGTACAAATAGCTTTCGACTATTTGCCTTACCATCATACGAGCGTGGGCACTGACCAAGAGCTTCTTTTTTCAGACACAGAACCGATGGCTGCAGCCAGAAAGGCCCCAAACCCTCCAAATGAATTCCTGGAAGCTAAACGACAGACTTGGGCCGGAACCCTCGTCCGCGGCCGCGGCTGAGAGAACCAATTGCCGAATCTCACTAATTGGAGAATGTCCTTTTGGCGACTTGGTATGATCATCCGGGAGGGTCGAAAAAAAATTCCGCAAATGAATATAGTAACGACCTACATTGTGACGGGACTTTTTTTTTTTTTTTTTCTTTCTTGGTGACCACTATGTTCGACCGACCCGCAAGACGGCACTAACCATCTTACCCATCTTCCGACGTTGCTCCGAACACGTACCTCGGCAAGGAACTCACCACCATTTATTTGTCTTCATTTGGAATGTGATACTATGAAAGACGGGCCCATGGCATTCATGACTTGGGAGGTTGTTTACTTTTTGTTGATTGAATTGGTGGCATGGTTGGGTCATTCTCTATTCTTTTGTTCTCGTTCTCGTTCTTGACAGCCATTTTTGGAAACCCTTCTAGATTCAGCATATTTTGGGGGATAGAGTTAGGCGTTTGTGCAGGGGCCCAAATGATCGGCCCTTGATTGAGATCATCTTGAGGCTAGAGGTCCTTTTTTTTTCTTTCTTTTTTTCTTTTTCTTTTTGTCATTCTTGTTTCGCTTCGCTTTTGACAAATACGGAACCATATACCTGCATTGGTTGACAGCGGAAGAGCCCCGGAGGCTGCATTGTCACCGATTTGGATAGCATGTTATGGCCTGGTGCCAGACCATTTTTTGTTCACGATTCACAATTTGATTTTGATAAATTTGAATAACATTGTGCCCACGGCTTTCATACTGAATTTGTCAGAGACCAACTGTTTCAGGTCGACTCAGTGATGGGAAAAGGATGGATAGAGTGTCTTTGACAAGCTCTTAGCCGTCCACGTCCGTCGCTTGGATGGGTCCCAACCAAGGTTTGCGAGTCGTGCTATCCAAAGATGGTGCGAGATGGATCCAACCTCAGGGTCAGAACCCGTCGATGAAAAAGTCACATCCAGGATCGACGGGCATTTGCGACAGACGCCGGATAGGAAAGAAGTTCAGAACTTTCTCCGTACTCCGTACTGCTTACCGAAAACGTCACCGCGAGCAGCACAGAGACCACCGGTTCTTGCTTTCGTGGTCACGGTGGAGAACGAGAAAAGCGCCGATGGACCAGTCGTTAACTGCCACGCGCGGCGATGGGCCGTCGAACAGAAGGAGAATGCATTATTCGACACCCAAGAGCCCACAACAAGAGCATTGAGTGATTTGAATAAAAAATCTCGTCCTTTTGTTGGTTTAATTTGGTTCGGAATACGCAGATTTTCCCGAGTCGAACTTTTCGGAGGGGGATCCACAGCCTTTCCGTAAAACGAATCCGCAGGAACAAACGCCAATCGCTATCTCCGATGGAGTCCCGGAACGCTCCTCCGTCCTGAGCTAGTCATGCTCCAGTCTCTCCACAATGGGGGACCTCTATCCTCAACAAGGTAAGAAACCTTCGGCGCGCGCAGTTTTTGACGCTTGTCAACACTACTTTACCTCCAAGACGAGACCGGATTCGCGCGGCTGACGGACCCATCCTCCGTACTTGTACTATGAACGGAGTACAGAAGGGCTTCACTTGTAGAAAACAGGAATAGAGGGTCGTCGGGAAACTGGAATTCGATCCGCGGCCCATCTCGGAATCAGAAAGCGAATTTAATGCAGAGAACAAGCGCGCGATGGTCAGCTTTTTGGTTCTTTGTTCGTTCGCCCTTCCCTCCTCTTTCAGCGTCTCCTCCCCGGGCAGGCAGGGGGCAGCAGTTCAGATACCGGAACACACAGGCCATCGCGGACCGTTATCCGATGGTTTTGCAGAATCCTGAAGATCGCACTCTCGAGTCAGTCTCCGTACAAGTACGGAGTACGGATGACCGTACATAGTGCTAGTGCTACTGTGCTTCGTGCAGCGCTTTGTACTTCGTACGAATGCCATTGCGTATACGAGACGGAGCAACTACGGGGTATCCCTCCCTAGTCTGTCCAATAGTCATCAGACGAACGGGGCGAGTACTCCGTGGACAACAGTCTGACCCGGTATTCGTTCAGTGTTTCGACTCGGGATTTGGAGTCAACTCACTTGGAGTCCATGTCATTCTTCAGTGGAGTATCTCTGTACTTCGTACTCCGTACACGAGGTCGTATCCATGACATATGAACTGGGACTCAATTGACCCTGTACGGAGTGTAGACGCTCATGATGACAATGGAGTGCTACAACGATAGGCCAATGGCCAAGCCCAAGTCACACAGCATAACCAAACAACCAACACATATCCTTCCCTAGCATGCTGCCATTTCCCCTCAGCTGAATCTGATGTTGCATTCATGCCAAACCTGCCATTGGATATTCACAACCCAACCAGCCATTGCAGCAAAGGATGAGATACTATTTGCCAGTGGCCATATAACAAGCCCAGAATAATCACCATTGTGCTACACAACATCGTTGTTTATCCCCCTAGACCTTGGATGTGATTTTGCCGGGGTTGACCGCCCCGCGATGCGGGCGGATTTATTATTGACTGGTGGCCATCTCCATCTCCCCGAGTCTCACCCGTACCCCAGATTCAGTGACAGAATTAATTCTAGCCAGTCGAGTCAGTAAAATCGAAAAAAATGAGTGCTACCGAGACCGTGACGCGGATCACCGCAGAGAACGTGGCGACGATTTTCCCCGACGTGGACACTTCGCTCGCTCATGAAGTTTTCCCGACTGCTTCGACGACGGCTGCGCGCGAGGGCAATGAACTCGAGGGGTATGATGAGGAGCAGGTGCGGTTGATGGATGAGGTGTGTATCGTTTTGGACGATGATGATAAGCCCATTGGGAGTGCCAGCAAGAAGACTTGTACGTCTCCCCTTTTCTTTTCACAAAAAATATCGAACACTGGTTAATAGAATGTAGGCCACATAATGGAAAACATCAACCGCGGCCTCCTCCACCGCGCCTTCTCCGTCTTCCTCTTCGATTCTAACAAGCGTCTCCTCCTGCAACAGCGCGCCGCCGAGAAAATCACCTTCCCCAACATGTGGACAAACACCTGCTGCTCGCATCCGCTGGGCATTCCCGGGGAGACAGGCGCGGAGCTGGACGCGGCTATTCTGGGCGTGAAGCGCGCGGCGCAGCGCAAGTTGGAGCAGGAGTTGGGGATTCCGCCGGAGCAGGTGCCGTTGGAGAAGTTTGAGTTTTTTACGAGGATTCATTATAAGGCGCCGAGTGATGGGAAGTGGGGGGAGCATGAGAGTACGTTTTTCCCCAGATAATGACTTTTGTTTGATGAGGGTGCTAACGTGAACAGTCGACTATATTCTCTTTATCCAGGCCGATGTCGATCTGAATGTCAACCCCAATGAAGTGCGCGATGCGAAATACGTTTCCGAGGAGGAATTGAAGCAGATGTTCCAGGAGCCCGGGCTCATCTTCACGCCGTGGTTCAAGCTCATCTGCGACACGATGTTGTTCGAGTGGTGGAGCCAACTCGGTTCGCCTTCGCTGGACAAGTACAAGGGGGAGACGGGCATTCGACGGATGTAACTTGCATACATACATACCTACATACATAATCAGATACCATACTTTTCTTTCCATCACCAGAGAAAATCATTGAGTCTTCGCATCCGTAACCAAAAACAAAACACAACACCCCAAGATCACACCCCCCACAATCCCAACAATCATCTGCGTCTTCCACCCACTCTGCACTAACGCCGCCCGCCGACTATACTTCCACACCGTCCTTACATAATTCGCCAACCCATTCGCCAAACACGCCAGACTAAGCACCCAAAACACCAGTCCCAGCGGCAACGCCATATGCTTTTCCAGTTTCGTCGGCGGAGACCGGAAATGGAAGGAGATTATTATCGCGGAGGAGACGATTGCGAGATACATTGATAATCGCAGCCAGGAGAGGAAGGTGCGTTCGTTTGCGCAGTGGTCGCGGGCGTCGGAGGTGGTGTTTTTGAAGAGGAGGGGGGATGTTAGGGGGGTTGTGAGGAAGATGTGCTTTTTTGGGGGGTCATTTTCGTCGTCGTTGATGGTGTCGTTGGCGTTGGGGTTTTCGGGGTAGTGGTAGATTCTGTTCTTGTTAGTATCGATGTAGGTTGGGAAGGTTGGAGGAGGGAATACTCGTCAACTAGAACGGGGCGCGAATTGAAGAGGTTGATTAGTGGGTTGTAGGGTGTTTTGAGGGGGTCTGGGTCTTCTGGGTCTGTCATTTTGTCTTTTTTCTTCAAACAGTGGAAATTGGATTGTGTTATGTACAGAGTTGAGTTGAGTATGGGAGTTGGAGATGAAAGATGACGCTTATCGATATGACATGACGCACGTGATTTTATCGGCAATTAGGAAGTATACAGTATACGAGTCGGATTCCTGGAGTATGAACGAATATATGTATGTACAATTCTTTTCAATGGCTGTATCTATGTGCAGATTACGATATACATTCCTTGAGAATATGGTGACTGGCTGTGCACTCGGCACTAACGCGGAGAGATTACTGATTAACGAACTTGGTGGTATTCCAGTCCGATGCAAACTGGCTCGTTAGTATACCTTCTCCTTATAACGAGAATGATACTCACATTCCAGGCATCAATCTTAAGTAGCGACGAATTCGCCGTCTTCCCGACATTCGTCAAAACCCCGATAGCTACACCAAAATCAGCACACGCACTCAACCACAAACCAGGGTCCCATGGCTCCATACCAACAATATTATTCACCCAATAATACTTCTTACTCCCCGTCTCCAACAAAACCCTTAGATGCAACTGTCCCGACGGCGACTTCGGCCCCGACGTCCGTATAAAGATATCCTCCCCATCGTTCGTCCGGAGGTTATACCGCGTGTCGGCGGAGAAAATATCCGTTGCGGGGTCTGTGGTGCCCCAATCTGCGCCGACGTTGAGGATTTGACCTTTACCTTAGTTAACATATGCTTTTTGTTGAGTATGGAGGTGCAGTACCTGATAGACGGGGCCCGGTAAAGTTCCCGCCGACTATGGGGATTGTCTTCCGCATGCCGGCTGGACCGCTGGGCCCGGGGTCTTCCAGTTTGTTACCGGCGCATTGGACGTAGGCTGTGTAGAGGTAGGAGAGGTTGGGGGTTTGTGGTTGTGATGCGGTTGTGAGGGGGAAGGAAAAGAGAGAGAGGAGGGGGAGGATGTAATTGAGGAGCATTTTGCTGACGAGTTGATTGACTGACTAGTTGACGGCAGCAGTAAATAAGGACTAGAGAAGCTTTATATATGCCGACATCCGGATATGCCGACATGATGTTAGGGCATCTTGTAGGTGGTGCGGGGAGGATGCGGGGTTGGTTAATTTAATCGTAGGCAAAATAGCCAGAATAGCACGAGTATATCCCTGCATTCTCATTGGTCATTCCATAACGTGCTCGTCCTCGGCCCGTCACGTTATCCGACCACATTCCTTATCGTCACTTCACCAGTTCATTGACTCAATTCATCATTAACAGAACACGATGTCTGGCGGAAACTGATCGCATTATTTTGCATGATCCACTACCGCTATGACTCGCAACGATCGCTCCGGCGACCGATACCACCACCCATTAACCTCCGGCTACTCGACCTCTCCCCTTGCCGAAACCGTCATCGCCCGCGACATCCAAAACTACTACGCAGACGATCAAGGGTCGATGCTCACAAGCGACGACGAGGACTCAGAGACACACACGGTGCGCCCGCTGAACGGCAGCGAACCCGGGACGAACCCTCACTCGCTAGCGGGGTCTTATCGGCGACCTAGCTTTTTCACAACCGTCTCCCATGCAACGGTTGTTCCATACCATGCGGATCGGGATGGACTGACGCGCGGGGAGCGCGACCAGGCGATTGAGGAGGAGAGACGGTTGCTGAGTGATAATCATGTTATTGAGGGTGGGTATGGGGGGAGGGGGATGAGTCTGCCGCAGAAGATTTCGGGATTTTTGTCGCGTCGGTCTACAGAGCCTTTGAGACGGCATAGTGTGCATGCTGTAACGGAGGATACATCGTTGCTCAGGCCAGACAACTCTCAAGCCCAAGAACCAGACCAAGAAGAGATTGATCGCAAATGGGAGGAGGCAGTGGCTGCGGGGCGGATACGAACGTCATGGAAGCGCGAAGCATTGGTGATAAACAAATATGCCACGCCGTTGGTGTTAACTTTTCTGCTACAGTACTCCTTGACTGTCGCTAGTATCTTTACAGTGGGTCATCTGGGAAAGAGGGAGCTTGGCGCGGTCAGTCTGGCGAGTATGAGCGTGAATATCACTGGATATGCAGTATACCAAGGTCTGGCGACTAGTCTGGATACTCTCTGCGCGCAAGCGTATGGTTCCGGGAAGAAGAAGTTGGTTGGTTTACAGATGCAAAGGATGGTTATTTTTCTTTGGACATGTACCATTCCTATTGCGCTGCTGTGGTTTTTTGCGGATAGGATCTTGATGAAGATTGTACCGGATCAGGAGGTTGCTTCTTTGGCAGGATTGTACACCAAGGTGGTCATCTTGGGGGCCCCAGGGTATGCTTGTTTCGAGAGTGGGAAGCGGTTTATGCAGGCGCAGGGGTTGTTTTCTGCGTCTCTTTATATCCTTCTTATTTGCGCGCCGCTCAATGCGTTCATGAACTGGCTGTTTGTCTGGGTAAGTCTTGATCCCTCGGTGTTGGCGAGGATGCTGACAGTATAGCACTTTGGCTGGGGCTTCGTTGGAGCACCAATTGCAGTGACGATCACTGATAATCTGATGCCCATCCTACTATGCCTCTACGTCTACTTTATCGCCGGCTCTGAATGCTGGAACGGTCTCTCAAAACGCGCACTGACAAACTGGCTCCCGATGATTCAACTAGCCCTCCCAGGTCTCATCATGGTCGAGGCAGAATGTCTCGCATTCGAAATCCTGACCCTCGCATCTTCTTACCTGGGTACAGACGAACTCGCCGCCCAATCCGTCCTCTCCACCCTCGCAAGCATCACCTTCCAAATCCCCTTCCCCCTCTCCATCGCAGCCAGCACCCGCGTCGCAAACCTAATCGGCTCAACCCTCGTCGACTCCGCACGCACCTGCGCCAAGGTATCCTTCACCGGCGCAACCATCGTCGGCCTCCTCAACGTCCTCCTCCTCTCCTCCCTCCGCTCTTACCTCCCCCGCCTCTTCAGCTCCGACGAACAAGTCATCGATCTCGTCGCAGCCGTCCTCCCCCTATGCGCCGCATTCCAACTCTTCGACGCCCTCGCAACAAACTGCAACGGCCTCCTCCGTGGTCTGGGACGACAGGCCTTCGGAGGCTGGGTGCAGTTATTCTGCTACTACGCCGTTGCAATGCCGATTAGTTTCGGGACAACTTTCGGGCTGGGATGGGGGCTTTATGGGCTTTGGACGGGTGTTGCTATTGCGTTGGGGTTAGTTTCGTTGATTGAGGGTGTGTTTTTGCGGAGGACGAGGTGGGAATCTGCGGTGGAGGAGGCTATTCAGAGAAATTTGACGGCTTGATGTGCTGTTGGGATTATACGATATGAGTTATGTAGTATATCTGATTATATATGTGTTTGGATCGTGAATATTAAGAGCCTCGTACAGGCTATTTGTTCAAGTCATTACACATTCAAGAGATGTAACTCCATCTCGTACCAACTGGTCGTGGTGTCAGCTGTGGTGTTTGTCCGCATAGTTTTCTCGGGCGAGTTAATCGGGTCAGTACCTCAATGGAATAAATAATGTCCGCGACGTCCCTGCATAGTTATAGACTCAGCACGTGTTTAACCCCACTATCTGATCTCGCCATCGCAGTCTCCGAATTGCTCATACCTAACGCTTCACAACGCCGGTTTTTGCATTGATCCTTTCCCATCGCGGTCTAATGCTGTAACTGACTCCAATTGAAGCACCGGATAACAAGCAGTCTCTACGAGCGTCAATTGGTGTCCACCATGATGATGCAAAAGGACCGCTTCAACCCTATCGCGTGCAGCGCGTCAGGGATGGTGTGCTATCTGCCATGCAGAGCTAAATATTTTCCTATCTTTCTTTTTCTTGACACTCGAATCTGTCTTCATATTTGGTTTCTGGATTAACCTAATTTTCTTGCGCAATAGCTCGGTGTGTCTGCTCCGTTCAAGAGCCTGCCCATTGACACCAGTATCATGACGGAAATCGCAGAGAAGGATGGGTGGCAGGTTTCCCCCGAACTGAAGGATGGAAAGTCAAACTCGCCAGAAGACCAAGTCAACATCAACGAAAGGGCATTGTTGCGGAAACTCGACTTGCGACTACTTCCACCATTGACGATTCTGTACCTTTTGTCGTTCCTCGACCGGAGTAATGTTGGCAATGCGCGCCTGGAAGGCATGGCAGACGACATCAATATGAGTATGCGCTACCAGCTACAACGATTCTCGGAACCAGTGTACTAACCCCAATAGCTGGCGACCAATATCTGACCGGTCTAACGCTGTACTTCATCGGCTACGTTTTATTCGAAATTCCATGCAACATCGTGCTCAGACGGACCACGCCGCGAATCTGGCTGCCGACTCTCACGCTCGTCTGGGGAATTGTCGCCACGCTACTGGGTGTTGTCGAGAACTATGCCGGATATCTCACGTCGCGCACAGCTTTGGGTATCGCAGAGAGTGGATTGTTCCCCGGTGTGGTGTTTTATCTGTCCATGTGGTATAAGCGGAATGAGCAACATTATCGCGTCGCGCTGTTCTTCAGCGCTGCTTCGCTTGCTGGTGCTTTTGGTGGAATTCTCGCTTGGGTTGGTGTCGCCTTCTGCACAATGGATTGAATTTGGTTCTAACTTGCTCAGGGCATTGCGCATATGAAAGGTGTTGGTGGATATAACGGTTGGCGATGGATTTTCATCTTGGAAGGTCTGTTGACCGTTGTCATGTCTGTCGCTGCATACTTCTGGGTGTACAACTACCCTGCAACCGCCGAGTTCCTGTCGGAAGAAGAACGGCAATTCATCCACTTCCGTCTGAAAAACGACAATGATTCCACGCGGGAAGAGAAGTTCACCTGGTCCGCTGTAATGGATGCCTTTAAGGATCCCAAAGTTTGGCTTTATGGACTTGGGTTCCATACAATGGCGCTTCCGTTGTATACTCTTTCCCTTTTCATGGTAAGTCGGGCTTGCCTGCATGCGCAGTGGCTCAGACACTGACAATCATAGCCCACGATCATCCAACAACTCGGATACTCCTCCGCTCAAGCCCAGCTGCTCACCATCCCTCCCTACGCCGTGGCATTCGTCCTCTCGATCATAGTCGCCGTACTCTCCGAGCGCATCCACCTCCGCGCACCATTCATCATGGGTTCCTCCGGCCTCGCCATAATCGGCTACATTCTCCTCCTCGCCCAAGACCGACCCGGAGTCTCCTACCTAGGCACTTTCTTCGCCACAGCAGGCGTCTACCCCGCCGTGGCTATCGTCCTTTCCTGGCCGGCCAACAACGTCTCGGGACAAACGAAACGAGCCATCGCCAACGCCATGCAGATCTCCATTGGAAACTTGGGTTCCGTGCTGGGAACGCAGCTGTACCGTACCGAGTCATCACCGAGATACTTCCTGGGCCATGGATTTGCGCTGGGATACCTTGTGGCTAATATCGTTGTCGTGGGTATTTTGTGGCTTGTTCTGAAGCGGGAGAATGCGGCCAAGGCCGAGGAGAGAGAACGTTTGGGTTTGAATGCTTTGATTGGTGATATTGGGGATTCGGAGGGAGATTTTCGGGGTGACATGGATCCTCGATGGATTTTCCAGACTTAATTAATATAGATATGAGTGACGCTGGTCGTCTGTTAAAAGTCAGTACAGAGTACAGGAGCTTATGAAGTAGTTTAGCCATAATCTCAATGCAGTATTTGAAAGCGATGCGCAATCAATATCATTCACCTCAACGTTTTCCCTTAGTACTAGGGCTGGCATTTGACGGGCCTTCACTTCATTCACCTTACGAACAACCGGTTGATCTTTAGATAAAACTATTTCTTCCTCTCCCACCACCGTGTCCATATTCACCATCCAGCTTCCATCCATCGTCCAACATCCAGACAGATTCTTACAACATTCTCGATACAGAAGCGTCCGTTTACCTACTGTAATATACGATTGCTACAATATTCCACATGCTAAAATCTTGACATATCCTGACATGCCTCCTTCCTTCAATCAATAAGTTGGGAAAGCATACCCCTCAAGATACGCAAATCGTTGAAACGACCACGCGAAGCGTCCTGCGTGCCTTCGCCTGCGGCATTATAGGGCTCTCATATCATTCCCCCATCCTGATAGACAGAGCTGACATTGTTATCAGTGCTGTCCTCCTAGCAATACTTTAGACGTTATTGAATACGCATGTACCATTCGCAATAACCTGACCTGTGCACTGAAGTCGGGACAGCCAATAAATGCCATGACAAGTTTGAGCGCTTTCACGGACATCGCTCAGCAGTTTTAGTAAGTGCCCTTGACAGCAAATGGATTGTATAAAGTATACTAACCAGTATAGACGCCCGGTACTTGCCCAAGCAGCGAAACACCGAGTTATACCTGCCGAAACCAGATCAGACCAGGTTTCACGACATGTTATGCTCTGCTTGCTCTAGTACCTTTCGCGACATCCATCAACGAGATAAATGCCACACAGGGGAGTTGACACGGGATACTAACCCCAACCACTACCTCCTGAATATACGCGAAGAATCTCTGGCGTGAGGCCGCTGGATCCGCGCTCATGGTGACTATAAGGCAACCAGTCGCGGTGCCTTTAAAACCCACACGATGACAACTAACACGAAGATCCCTGCTTACCGTGTGGCCATAAAACCTGGCGGTGTTGAATATTGATTTATGTGTTTTTTAGGGCGCAACACATCGTGTTTGCGTCCGCAACCTCCGGAGGGTTCAGAGAAAGGGCAAGTCTCCGTAATGGAGAAGAAGGTGCTCTCGTTCCGTCGTGAATAAGTGACTCGGAACTATTAATGACTATTGGGTTGCATACATTAGGGGACAAAAGCCAATGGCTTCTTCAACCTATTGAAAAGGGCCACTATAAAACAGTGACAAACACAATGCCGAAAAGAGTTTAGTTATACGACTGGTGTGAAGCCGCATTAGTAAATATTGGCCGTGTTTTAAGGAAGCATTCAAGGTTTTCTTCGGAGAATCCTCCACTGACAAAGTACGTCCCTTCCCTCAGATAATCTGTGCCATTTTTCTTATTTCATCGGCGTTTATGTGACTTGAGACTCATATTTATAGATGTTAAAGAGAAGCAGAAAATGCGACTGGAAATCATCATGTTGTAATACTCTAGTATTATAACGATCTTTCGTGCTGCGTCCTTTTTAAGCAGGACGAAGACATTGCGTCTAGAATCACGATAATGCAAAGACATCTGAAAAAGGGTTGGCAGTACGGGAATCAATCATGGAGACACACTGGCCGAATCCTTTCGCGCTCGCAGTAGGTCGGTTCAGAATATCGCAGATGAGTCCTACCCTAAAGTAATGCAGTACTCGGAAGTACTGGGAGACCAGGACGACATTAAGGAACTCAAAGAATACAACAAAAAGGGAAAAGGCCACTGGCATGTGGAAGTGGAAGTATCCTTGGGATACAATACTATTCGTCCATCCCCCGAGAGTCTCCATGGCGCTAACAAGCATCGAATCCTGGTGAAGTTACTGCTTTCTGCGCTACAAATCAAACCATACGAAGACACTCCTATTTCAGTAAGGAACAAATTGCTTGATTCTCTATCTATGAGCTTGATAATCCATTTATATCGCAACGCCTCGACTGTGTGCCGACATCGAGCCCCAAGCCGCCTGTATGCGCAGGGCTTTTGAGCCTCGGGAGAGTGCTCTCCTTGTGATTTTCGGAGCGGAGTGGGTGTAGCCTAAGCGAAATTTCAGCATAGGCTACCCTCCCTGTTACCCTTCCCCTATTCTACTTGCTTCCTCCAATGCTTCCAGTCCCCATTCCTCATCTTTCTGGGCTCTTTCCACCGCCTGCGGTAGATGCCCCTGGGGTAGAGCTACACTTGTGCCGGCTAGGAAATGTAGCAGTGCCCTGGTAGCTCTGGGCTCCCCTAAAAGTCGTCCTTGTGGGCGCTCTTCTGCAACAGTGGGTCTCATAACCTCATCTGTCTCCAGACCCTTGTAGAGCTTGTTTCATTGGTGTCGCTATTGCCAGCATTCAAAGAAAATATGGTGTGCTGTCTCCTTTGAGGAACCACATCCTTGACAGGTTGCGTCTTCCTGAGTCTGAATCCAGTGTAAATATGCTCCAATGGCCGCATGCCCTGTCTTCAGTTGAAAATAGTGGCTTGCCAAATGCTTGGGAGCCACTGCAGCTAAGGGGTCGAGCCTCCAGTTCTTCTGTGGCCTGTAAATTTGTCAACCCTGTCTGGTTGCCAATGCCGGCTGAGTTCCCTGGCAAGTCATCCCTGCTTCTGTGCTGTAATGGCCTCCGTCCAGGCTCTGTGGGCAAAGGCCAGACGCCAGAGAGATCTCTCTTGGGCCTGTCCCTGGAGGCCTATTAACTGCTTGCTTTGCTGCTTGGTCAGCTCTTTCATTCCCTTCTACCCCTGCGTGTCCTGGGACCTACTGGATGGTGGGTTGACGACCTTGGACTTGTAATCTCTTGGCTATAGTATGCGCCTGGCTTGCTAGTGCTTGACCTGGCCCTGACTGGGTATGCTGTAGCCTTGCAATGGCGGCCTGGGCTTTCACGGGCTCGGAAATAGTAGATACTAACGAATTGAATTCCTATCTAGACTATTGTAGCCATCGACGAGAATATCGAATCTGGGGAAAAAAGAGAAAAGGAAATCTATCTAGAGGAAGAAAGAATTTTATAGGCGTCTGTTTGACATCACTAATGTCTTGTCTGGTGTATTGATGTCGTTTGTCTGTGTCAGTTGTCGACGCAGCGTCGAGCCGTCACATGGGCCCTGGGAGTCCAGCAAGATAGTGACTGGTCTTTGATCTCCCACCTTTCATGCCACCTAGAGGACTTGTCCGCTTGAACAACTCCAAGAAGCTCTGCATCAAAGACTTCATATCCCTTGCCCAATGGGAATCTCTGAGTCTTCCATGCTCCTCCTGGTTCTTGCCACACAAATTACAATTCCTGCTCTGCGCCTGCCATTCTCTAATCTCAAGCCATCTGACCAGATTACCAGACCAGGGGGAAGAGCTCATGCAGCTGCTAGGGGCTAGGCCCTCTGCACTTGGTGGCACTTTTATTCAGCCAGGGAACTGGCTACTGGATATCTGTACTGTGCTTTCAAAGTCCTCAGATGGGTCTGCTGGAAGGATGTTTGCTAATTGTCAAGCTAGATGCTGTCCCAGGGACCATGGACCCTGGTTGCTGCTCTCAGCCCATTGCCAGTTCCTGTCACGGGCTCGGACCGTCCAGTAGATACTAACGAAATGATATTCTTATCTAAACTAGTGTAGCCATCGACGAGATCACGAGAACATCGATTCTGAAAAAGAAAAGAGGAGAAGGCCTATCTACACGAAGAAATTTATAGGGGTTGTGTGGCCTCGCTAAGCGGCTGTTTAACCTTGTTGCTCGCATGGTATGGTTTGCCATGCTGATGTTGTTTGTCAAAAGAGGCGCTGCACTGAGCTGTCACAAGTGGGTTGTTAACAAATTTCATTTCATGAATACTCTTATATGTCCATTGAGCCTGCTCACCTGCACAATTCTGAAAAAGGACAAAATATGGATTTGATAAGCCAAATCTGAATTCATCGCCTTCTACACGCCATCTGAAGCTCAGCACGGCTCTAGAGATAGAGGCGCATAACTTTTGAGTGGGCAAGTATGCTTACTTGGATGCGTGGCCAGTTGGTCACCTGTGCTAACTATCTATCGAGCCTATGCGAGGGCAGTAAGGAACCACATGCCAAACCTGGTACAAACACTGAGGTTCGCGGGCCGGCCCACAACATCCGTAACAGTAGAATATCATCCACACGGCTAGAATATCAAAAAGTACGTAGTACTAGTACTTCAGTCAATTTTCATCGCCATACCCTAAATTTAGACTCCCTTAATGAGCTCCGTAACTTTCTTTCCCTGATTCTTGAGACCCCATGAAATCTGCCAAATAAGCACAGCAATTGGAAACATAAACTGGCACCATGCATTCTACCTGACATGTTCAGGGATAAGGTGATGCTGGTGTGCAAGGGCAAAATCCGAGTAATGTCTGATAAGGTAGGTGTAAGATCGGATGAACCCCAATGCAATCAAATGCTTATTGGTACTGATATCTGCCTTGTTTGACTTCTCATTGTTTGACAATAGATGCAGCATCCAGAATTCATGGTTAAGCAGGCACTTCAGTAATGGCTTTATAAAAACCTTGTCGTGCCGCCAAACAAGATGTAGTTGGGGGTTCTCAGCTGACAATCTCTCGTCCTTTCATTTTCTGTTGGTGAAGTGGGTCAACATTTGCTCCAGACTTCCTGGCTACAAGCCAAAGCCTTGGATAGAGCTCATCTAGGATAGGTGTTTTCAGCAAGCAAGAAATTCATCGATGTCATTCTGGTCTAGGGAAACATTTGGCTCCTGGATAATGGTGCAGATATCACAGTTCCAAACAACAATGGATGGATCCCAGTTAATAAAGCCTCATTTCATGGCCACCTTGAGCAGTCAACACACTCTTGCAATTCTCAGAAGCTAACATTGATGTTCGGGATGAATGTGACCGGACACCACTCTTCCATGCTGCGGTAAATGGCAAAAGTGCAGTGGTAAAATTACTGCTTTCACAAAGTGCTTGTGTGCATGCTCAAGACATATACCACTCAACACCACTATTTGCCGCGGTGAGAAACGGACATGAGATGGTGGTTGAGCTTTTGGTTGCGTTCACGAAAGCTCCTATAGACTTCAAGGATGGCTTGGGTCGGGATTTGTCCTGGTGAGCGGCAAGAAGCGGGTGCACTAAGAGCATTGAACTCGTGCGCCAACTTGCTCAGAACAATGGTGTTGCAATTCTTCAAAGCGACCTTGATATGAAGTGTTCTCCGGTCAAATTTGATGGAAGTACTCGGCGGTGCGATGTGTGCACTCGAAATATTTTGTGCGCCAGTTCCTATTACAAGTGTAGGATTTGCCATGACTTTGACATCTGCCTAGAGTGTTTTGGCATTCGTGTTCGATGCCAGAGCATTTCTCATGAGTGGTTTCTCCATCAGCCTGATTGCACTCAAAATAGATGAGTGCCTTGCAAGTTGAGTTTTCACACCATTTGTCACGGGGCATGGACGCTCGCTAGTTTTATAGCATGTTTGATTACTTTGGTCTGTTAGGAGCAGGGCACAAACCCCTCGCACACACTAGATAGCTCGTCGCTGGCAGGCCCTACCTCTTTTCCTTTCTTTCCTCATGTTAGAATTTCGTCAGATAGTCTACCAATAGATTCCTATTGAACGAGACCGTCACAGCATTTACAGTATGCTTTTTGGTGTTGAATACTGGTGCACCAAACATCGAAGATCCCGCTAGAGAAAGTTGGCTACGTAGACAACCCAGTACACAGCACCGACTTCAAGCAATAAACGTTGACAGATCATCGCATGCTGATCGACATTGAAGTCGTTCTGTTTCAGGGCTAGAGCAATTGGTCGCTTGGGCATAAGCAAAAACGCCAGAATACCTACGTCAAGAATATTGACCATGACAAGAGAAACGTGGTTGCTCTCGCGGTCTCTGAACTGTGCCTGGCACTGTCCTTTCGAGCTCATTCAGATATCGTTGGCTTTTTCGGCACCTTGCGATTTAAGGCTTCGGTACATGATGTACTGGATACCAGTTCGCTCCATGTAGTCTGCGACGAGAGGGCCGGTTTTTGGAGCCCTCGTGAAAGCGATGTTGTCGAGACTAGACTGGCCACACCTCGTCTTCTGATCTTGAGGTTTAGACAATGGATACCGACAAGTTGTCGTAGCCAGCTTATCGGAATGAAATCGATTGGAAACGGACTACCATTGGATTGGCCGTGTCGGCATAGAGGACAAGACGCTTTGGGACTGGAACTTGAGTGATTGGTCGCTTGGGTTTTGGTCGCTTAGGAAGTGAAACGGCCGACGATACGGTAGTCACTTAATCCAACATCAAGCTTGTTGCTCGATGATGGCAACCCTGCATGTACATTATCAGATTAGAACAATGAACACGTTTATAAAAAGAAAGAAAATAACATATATACAAGGATAGACAGCCACCCAAGTATCGATACACAAACCGCAAAACATTATCGCCCATTTTCCTAGAACATAAAGAGATAAATCTCATAGCGGTCATTGCATCGTAGCAATGTCATGCATGCCCTATTCAGAGGACACATCTGACAACGGACTATCACTGCTAGTGCTAGTCTTCGTCACCCGCGACCCCTGGCTCCTTTTCTTTCCCACCTTCTTTTCAGTTCGTTTCTTGCGCTCTCGGTCTCGCTGCGCGTCGTGGAAGTCATCAGGTTGGCTTTGACTCCGGCTGGACTCCCCCCGACGGAGATCCTTGACCTCCTTGATGACTTCGCGGAAGCCTTCCTCGATATTGTTCATGCGCGCTAACACGAGCTTGCTCAATCGATTCTGGTTTTCGGGGCTAATTGGTCGATGGAGACCGGCTGCGTAGGCCATCTCCGTCGTCAGGCTTCCGGATAATCCGCCCATGAATTCGTTGGCTATTGCGCGGTTGTCTCCTATATCAGAGCCCAGACCGTATAAAAAGGGGTTCTGGCCGCGGCCTCCTCTCGGGTGAGAGTCGGGAGCTGAGGTGCCACCAAAATCGGGAACAGGGATAGGGTGGGAACGAGACAAGGTGTCAGTGTTGTAAGTACGGCTAGTGTTGAGGTCGCCTCTTCTAGCGGTCAACTGGTCCACAGAGGTCGAAACGGCCAGCTCAGGGGTCTCCGCTCTGGACCTGACAGGCAAGCTAGGAGTTGCGCCGTCTTCGCCCCGGTGTGGAGCATACCGCATCGTAGCGGTGGAAACGGTCCGTGAATGAATCTTGGGCCGTCGAATGGGACTGTTTCTTCGCGAGAGATGTTTCGCCGTTGATGGACGAGAACTGTAGAATTTCGGTGGTGGGCCCGAAGTCTCTTTAGCTGTTCGTTGCCCTGAAGACCCGCTGCTATTGGAATTCCTAGCAATAGATTGCTTGTCTTCGTTGTCGGTCCGTTCATCGTCTCCCTCAATATCGGTATGTCGTGAGAGCTGTCTTGCCCGCTCAGGAGGAAAAAGGGGATTTCTTCCTCGGTGTACGGCTACCGGTGTTACCCTCTCTTCCGGATTAGAAGCTACCGATCGTGTGGTTTCGGTAAAGTCACGTATACTCTCCTGGAGTCTTCTTTGGAAAGGGAAGCGCAGTCGTTTTGGTAATCTTTCCAGGCGGGTTACCTCGTTCGGGTCCTGCTCAGCCGGTGGACGAATCGGACCGGGTCCCATCCTCTGCATCCAGGTTTTTACAATATTACTGCTGTCCTGATCTTGGGCTGAGCTGGCACGCCTGGTGGACTCGTCTTTGAATAACCGATGGAACACCTCATCCAGAGCACGATCCTTCTGGTAGGTAGCCACTGACGGCTCACGAACGAGTCGAGGAGCTTTGGCACTGAAAGTCTTAAAACGATTATTGCCGGGCCGCCGCATACGCGTCGCTGTCGGTTCAGGGAGATCGACCAGGTCAGTTGGTTCAATGACCTTGGAGGCGAGGATGGTCTTCTCATAAAAACAAATCGTAAACAGGATTGGCAGATGCGTAACTTTGATGATCGTGCGGTTCAGTCTCACGAATTGCCGGAAAGGCATTATGAATCGGAAAGGCGTTATTACCCAAGCGAGCAGGTTCGTCGGCGCGACATAGGAGAAAAGGGCATCAGATTTGACCATCGAGATCGCGTTGACGGCAAACAAGAACTGGTGTTCCTGATATGCATTCTGCACAATGCGCATAAACGAGTTTGTGAGGACGGTGATTAAGATGGTGATGATGACAAAATGGCAGATGAAGAGAAACAACGTCAGGATGGTTTTCCCCAAGAAATTGTATTCATCCCAAAGAGTCCATGCCGCCGGACTAAAGCCCATCAACATCTGAAAGAGGGCGTAGGCCACGGACCCAGCTGACTGTTCGTCCCTGTTACCAAACGACAAAGTAAAGGCAACCAAAAAGCCGCTGCAGGCAATGACAATCAAAACAAATACGGCGATAAGATCAGCGGCCATAATCCGGAATGCGATTAGCAGCTGAGAGAAGTAGCGATAATGGTCCAGGACTGAAAAAAGACGCGGAAAAACCAGGACTGCACTGGCAGCCAGGATATCGTATGCTTCGTCGGCAACCATCTCGTGGCGGGTGAATGGTATCACAGCGCCAAAGAGCCGCATGCAATAGTAGCAAAAGAGAAAGAGCAGGATTCCCAGATCAAACACATTCCAGAAACTCATCAGGTACAAACTGAATCCTTGCTCGTTGAAACCAACGATCTCGTCCAACATGTAACCCGCGCTCCAAAGCCAGAAAAAAATTTCCAAGGTCGAAATCTCTAAATTCCTCTGCTGCAAGACCGCCACAAAGAGCCCCAAGAGCACGGCAAATGAGACGGTTGATAGGAATTGTCTGTATCGGGGAACCCTCAACCGGGAGAGTTTGAAAAGAGACGCATCCCTGGGGTCGTATAGGGTGACAGCACGTCGAACCGGGATCATCCTGTTCTCCGAAATATCGCCGCCAATGCCGGGAGTCGGCCCTCTATCGAGACGACCTTTTGGAGCACGGTGAAGACTATCTGCGGCGGAATAGAAAACAATGGTACCCGCCCAAATAGCTTCCAATTGTTGCACAACCACTGGGTGCGCTAAGAACCGTTTTGCCTGGGCGCGGATCGCGATCTCTAGACACGAGATTCGGGCCGGCCCAGCCAAATGTCTAGGCACGCTCCAACCCCGGGCCATATGCAGGTTACCGTTGGCTCCTGAGACCTGAGCCTGAAGCGGATAGAATTCATAGGAGAGCGCATCAATCAACTCCCTGGTTGTGTAATCCCTCAGCAACTTGATGGCTAGAAGCTCGCTCACCATGGCCCGGGTTTGACTCGTTCCGCTATTGGCTGGATATAGCTGAACTTCCTTGTTGAACTGCAGACAGTTGGTCATCAACGCGTATAGAGTCGCTCGGGAGAAATGCGACGCCATGATTCTCTGCTGGATTGGTTTCACCAAGAACTGGGATATCTGAGGCGAGCGCAATTGGTCCCATGATAGGGTGGTCTCGCAACGGGAGGCAATGAGCGAACGGATGGCATGAGTGATGTCGTACACGGGAAGGGCATCTGATTAAGAGGACCTTTTTGTCAGCCAAATGACAGTCAATTCCACCAGAGCACATTTTTCATACCTAAATGGGATGCAGAGAAGATTGGAAGTAGCGGACTAGACTCGTGGGCTTCGTCTTCGTCAACCTCGCCCTCCTGGTCATCGTCGCCATCTTCGTATTCCTCTTCCTCGATGATATCATCGTCCCCAAAACCATTATCACGGCTGTGGAATCCACCATATCTCGATTGTTGAGGATAATCTTGGTTGAGCGGAGTGGTCTCTCTGGGGGCGTACGGGGAGAACGGAGAGCGTTCTGGGGAAGGGCGTTTCTTTGGACGCAACAAAGAAGCCAGCATGGTGGCGGGTTTCAAGCAGTGTAGTGTCACCAGCAAAAGAGATAACTCTCAAAAATGATGTACATGACCAGGAGAGATGGTGTGGAGGAAGTACGCGACAGCGACGCGTGGTGACAAAGGAGAGTACGGAGTATCTGGAAGCCTGGTGTTATGTAGACTTAAGTACTCCGGACCCTGTAGGCCAGCTATCGTCCCACCACCTCATGGGCGCATTCTGCCTGGTTATAAAAGAAATTTCAGTTGTGATACAAAGAGAGAAAATGACTAGCGATCAAGTATGGGGGGAGGACTGCTTTAATATAGCAGGGAATGTATATTTCACGTGGGTTTGGCATGCAATACTAATGCAATAAGAGTAAAGATAACCAGAGATGGATTATGGAGGGGAGGATCTTTACTGCAAGGATCACTTTGGCTGGATCTAGATCTTGTCCACAGGCAATTTACTATGTATACTCCGGAGTATGCACAGACAAGTATACATATACAGCATCCAATTGCAGGTTAAAACACTCATACAAGTTTTATGCAAGTCACTGCGATAACGCTCACCGCCTGCAGTTGATCCGCCATTCCGGATGTGGCGAAACGGCAGTATAACTCCGCCATCGGAGTACACCAGTACAATGGTACCAGCATTTTGTGTATAATTCCCTCCAATGGTAATAGCAGAGAATACTATTACTTACTACTATCCTGCTTGATGATGCACTTTGTATAACAATTGACTAGTAACACACACTCTACCGTTAGCAGATTCTGCAGGCGGTATTACTCGGCAAAATGACACATGACCTCCGGATCGGGAAGGCGTTGCAGCCAATCGGAGTCCGCAACCAGCCCGCTCATACACAAATTTTTTTTCTTCTTCCATTCCGCCTGATACAATTTTTTTTTTTCTTTTCTTCCTATATTCCTCCTCCCGTGCAAAAGCAGCAGCACAAAAGACTCTCCTCTTGTGTCCCTCCTTTTTTGTATATCTTATTCTTATCCCTCATCAATTGAACAGAGAAGGGTCTTGCAGGCTGCTGATGCTACGGTAGAGTGAATACCTTCTTTTTTTATCTTGACTTTATAGTCCCGTGAGGACCTTACCCCTCCCCTCCCCCTCCCCGCAGACCACCACGATGCCCGTTCACGAAGAAGCTGCTCTGCCTACGAGTCCCTCGACTGGTGGAGCAGTGGCCTACAACCAGACCAACAAGGAATTGCAACCGGCTCCCTCGACCGAGACCGGCAATGGCGCCGTGATTCTCCCCGCCTCCTCTCGGGTACGGGGCAGCAGCCAGAAGATGTTTGCCCTGGAACTGGAGGACGGCACAGTATACCAGGGTTACAGCTTTGGTGCTGAGAAGAGTGTGGCAGGTGAATTGGTCTTCCAGACTGGTATGGTGGGATACCCCGAGTCCATCACGGATCCCTCCTACCGCGGTCAGATTCTCGTCATTACCTTCCCGCTGGTGGGCAACTACGGTGTGCCCTCCCGGGAGACTATGGACGAGCTCCTGAAGGATCTGCCCAAGTACTTCGAGTCCACTCAGATTCACATTTCCGCCCTGGTCGTGTCAACATATGCCGGTGAAGACTACTCGCACTTCCTGGCTGAGTCGTCGCTTGGCCAATGGCTGAAGGAGCAGGGTGTACCCGCCATTCATGGTGTTGACACCCGTTGCCTCACCAAGCAGATCCGTCAGAAGGGTAGCATGCTTGGCCGTCTGCTTCTCTCGCACGAGGAGGTCCCTGACGGCCATGTCGAGGTCTCTGGCGGCAAGGACAGCTGGAGGTCGTCTTTTGAGCAGATTGACTGGGTTGACCCTAACACACAGAACCTTGTGAGCGAAGGTGAGTTCAACAATAGTCTAAAATGGGAATCAAAATGAGGGCTGCTTGTTAACGAATTGGATAGTCTCGGTCAAGGAACCCCGTCTCTTCACGCCCCCCGAGGACGTTGCCCTCAAACACCCCTCCGGTCGTCCCGTCCGTGTTCTCTGCTTGGACGTCGGTATGAAGTTCAACCAGTTGCGTTGCTTGCTCGCACGTGGCGTTGAGGTTCTGGTCGTCCCCTGGGACTACGACGTCCCTACCCTCGCCGGCAAGGACTATGATGGTCTGTTCGTCTCGAACGGTCCTGGTGACCCAGCAACTCTCTCTACTACCGTTGCCAACTTGGCCAAGACCATGGAGGAGAACAGAGTCCCCGTTTTCGGTATCTGTCTTGGTCACCAGCTGATTGCCCGTTCCGTTGGCGCTCAGACAAAGAAGATGAAGTTCGGTAACCGTGGTCACAACATTCCTTGCACCAGCATGATCTCGGGCAAGTGCCACATCACCTCTCAGAACCACGGTTACGCCGTCGATGCCGAGTCTCTTCCCCAGGACTGGAAGGAACTCTTCGTCAACGCCAACGACGGCAGTAACGAGGGTATCCGCCATGTCAGCCGCCCATACTTCAGTGTCCAATTCCACCCCGAAAGCACACCGGGTCCCCGTGACACTGAGTACCTCTTCGATGTCTTCATTGACACTGTCAAGAACACCATGGCTTCCCCCGACGCTCTCAGCAAGCCCGTCTCCTTCCCCGGTGGCACCCTGGAGGAGAACAGGAAAATTGCTCCTCGCGTCCATGCCAAGAAGGTCTTGGTCCTTGGAAGTGGTGGTCTGAGCATTGGTCAGGCCGGTGAGTTCGACTACTCGGGTAGTCAGGCCATCAAGGCGTTGAAGGAAGAAGGCATCTACACCATCTTGATCAACCCCAACATTGCTACTATCCAGACCTCCAAGGGTCTGGCCGACAAGGTCTACTTCCTTCCTGTCAATGCCGACTTTGTGCGCAAGGTCATCAAGCATGAGCGCCCGGATGCCATCTACGTGACTTTCGGCGGTCAGACTGCTCTTCAGGTCGGTATTCAGCTCAAGGATGAGTTCGAATCCCTAGGTGTCAAGATCCTTGGTACTCCCATCGACACCATCATCACCACCGAAGACCGAGAGATGTTCGCCCGCAGCATGGAGTCGATCAACGAGAAGTGTGCCCAGTCTGCATCCGCCTCGAGCCTCGAGGAGGCTCTTGAGGTGGTCGAGCAGATCAAGTTCCCTGTCATCGTCCGTGCCGCTTATGCTCTTGGTGGTCTGGGCAGTGGTTTCGCTGATGACATGGATCAGCTCAAGGATCTCTGCATCAAGGCATTCGCTGCCAGTCCCCAGGTTCTGATCGAGAAGAGTATGAAGGGCTGGAAGGAAATTGAATACGAAGTTGTCCGTGATGCCCAGGACAACTGTATCACCGTCTGCAACATGGAGAACTTCGACCCTCTGGGTATTCACACCGGTGACTCCATCGTTGTTGCTCCTTCTCAAACCCTTTCGGACGAGGACTACAACATGCTGCGTACGACGGCTGTCAACGTCATTCGTCACTTGGGTGTTGTTGGTGAATGCAATATCCAATACGCTTTGAACCCGTTCTCCAAGGAGTACTGCATTATTGAGGTCAATGCTCGTCTCTCCAGATCCTCTGCGCTCGCCTCCAAGGCCACCGGTTACCCGCTTGCCTTCATTGCTGCCAAGCTCGGTCTCGGAATCCCGCTTAACGAAATCAAGAACTCCGTCACCAAGGTCACTTGCGCATGCTTTGAGCCCTCTCTCGACTACTGCGTTGTGAAGATTCCCCGCTGGGATCTGAAGAAGTTCACCCGTGTCTCGACCCAGCTTGGCTCTTCCATGAAGAGTGTTGGTGAGGTCATGAGTATCGGTCGGACGTTTGAAGAGGCTATCCAAAAGGCCATTCGGTCCGTTGACTTCAACAACCTTGGTTTTAACGAGACGAACGCTCTCATGTCCATCAAGGGCGAGTTGCAGACCCCGTCCGACCAGCGTCTCTTCGCCATTGCCAACGCCATGGCCGCCGGTTACAGCGTTGACGACATCTGGAAGCTTACCCAGATCGACCCCTGGTTCTTGAGCAGACTCAAGGGCCTCAGTGACTTCGGCAAGCTCATGACCAGCTACAATACCTCCACCGTCCCCACGCCCCTCATCCGCCGAGCCAAGCAGCTTGGTTTCTCTGATGGACAGCTCGCCAACTTCCTGAGCTCTAACGAGCTCGCGGTTCGACGCATGCGTGTCGAAGCAGGCATCAACCCCATTGTCAAGCAGATTGATACCGTTGCCGCTGAGTTCCCTTCGGTGACCAACTATCTCTACCTCACCTACAATGGCACGGAGCATGACGTTAACTTTGACGACCACGGTGTCATGGTCCTCGGATCTGGTGTTTACCGAATCGGTTCGTCTGTCGAATTCGACTGGTGTTCGGTGCGGACCATTCGCACTCTCCGTGAACAGGGCCACAAGACCGTCATGGTCAACTACAACCCGGAAACTGTCAGCACCGACTACGATGAGGCTGATCGTCTGTACTTCGAAAACATCAACCTGGAGACCGTTCTCGACATCTACCAGCTTGAAGCGTCCAGCGGTGTGATCATGTCCATGGGTGGTCAGACTCCTAACAACATTGCTCTGCCCCTCCACCGTCTCAACGTCAATATTCTCGGTACTTCGCCTGAAATGATTGACGGTGCTGAGAACCGTTACAAGTTCTCGCGCATGCTTGACCGGATCGACGTCGACCAGCCTGCCTGGAAGGAGCTTACCAGCATTGACGAAGCGAGAGGCTTCTGTGACGCCGTCGGTTACCCAGTGCTTGTTCGTCCGTCCTACGTGCTTTCGGGTGCTGCCATGAACACGGTCTACTCTGAGCACGATCTTGCCAGCTACCTGAACCAGGCCGCTGACGTTTCGCGTGACCACCCTGTCGTCATCACCAAGTACATTGAGAACGCAAAGGAAATCGAGATGGACGCTGTCGCCCGCAACGGTGTCATGGTCGGTCACTTCATTTCGGAGCACGTCGAGAACGCCGGTGTGCACTCGGGTGACGCCACTCTGATCTTGCCGCCGCAGGACTTGAGCCCTGAGACTGTCCGTCGTATCGAGGAGGCTACCAGCAAGATTGGCAATGCCTTGAACGTCACCGGTCCTTACAACATTCAGTTCATCGCCAAGGACAACGACATCAAGGTCATTGAGTGCAACGTCCGTGCCTCGCGGTCCTTCCCATTCGTCTCCAAGGTCATGGGTGTTGACCTGATCGAGAT